TTACACATACCTCACTTCCATTATTTCATAAATATTATAGATAAAGATTCAAATCAACCGAATACTTAATATAGTTGAAGCTTATCTTTGACCTAGGTGCATACCTAATGTATACACAGATGTGAAACTATGATTGCGATGCACTTTAGCGGTGAAAGCACCTAGCCAGGTTTTATGCTTTTTAACGGCAATGAAGGCAAGAATTGACAAAACCATTTCAAAAGCAGCTTTACAAAAGTTCTGACAACATTTATGGTAATTGACAGATGAGGTACCTGTCTTATCTCTGTAGGATAACGACGTAGATGAGGGAACTGAAGTAAAAATTGTTGCCAATTTAGCCAAAGAAAGTCCATCAGCCCACGGTGAACGCCAAAACCCATCGAATGAACTTTCTGCGCCACTTTATGGTAAATCTGCTTTTATTGCTTCGATATAATGTGCTAACTGTTAAACTGTGATTCTGGCAATAGATGATACCTTAAATAGCACGAAACATCTGTCCATGCTTGACTGTCTGTTCGGACGGATAAAGCTAGATGTTTATATTGTAGCGTTTTTTTTGGGTTCTTTTGGATGTGGATTAAAACACTGGATTCCACAAAAAGAAATGCACTAAGTTATTTAACTTGATAGAATATTTATGTACACCACTATTTCTGTCTGACTAGTTCTTATATCGCCATTGACTGCACTATACTCCACTCCGGTCTGCTCTGGTGTAATCTGTACACTCTGGCTCCATCTCCCGGCCGCCGAGTTACATATAGTCGCAATTGCGGCTTCGAGAAAGCCGGGTGAACCACAAAGCGACATCTAGAATATGGGAGGTCACTTCGCGTCGTCCACTATCACGGTCCTCAAAGACGCCGCCAGGCGGCTTGTGCGGCCATTAAGCTCTGGCGAGTAGGCGACTCGCCCAACAGATGGCGTCAACAGAACTATTTGTCACACTATGCTAGCTTCTTCGTTTTTTCATTTCAGAGAAAAATATCGATGATTTTATTTTAATCAAAAGCAAGTCCTTGTTTGGTCCACTCAAAATTGATGACAGTTTTCTCGACGAGTGTCCAACTCCACGACCATATAATGATTCTTTTCAACACGATACGACAGAAAGAGCAGTCAAGTTAGTGCAAGACTTCCATGGCTTAATTACTGCTGATGAGGAACAAAAACAATTTTTATAAGAACACAGGCAGGTATATCCTGATTCATCCCTTTTCTTTCAGATCCACCGAAGACGTAGGAACTATAGAGTCAACCGACTTGGCGCCATTTTTCTACGTCATTAAGAAAATCATCATGCTTAACATATCGCAACTGCACTCTGCGTACTTTGCATGATGAAACTATGCACAATTATCCGAATATTTTTGTCTGTGTCGCAAGTAGTATCGGTCACTTCATCCGTTATCGATCTATAATTTACCCAAGGAAATGATTGACACATCGAATAATTTCTAACGAATTATTCATCAACAACGCGGTTATGAACTGTTGTGTTTACATGTAGGTAGTTCATTAAATGCAAGATCAAGACTCTTGAATCTTGTTTATAGACGGCTCTAGAGAAATGACATCATACGGGGTTTTCACAGGTGTGTGGGAATATTCAATCTTCAATCGTTCACTTGTCAACGTTTTAGAAGAGATGTTTTTTGTTTGACCGTGCATTATTGTTACAATTTTGCAAGTCATATACCATCCATCGAGGATTCTCTTGCTATGTCTCACATTTAGATGAACGTCTTCTAATAATTGTGGCAGATTGAATAGGGTCAAATAAGCATGCCGTTTACCACGCCAGACCAAAGATTTCATGAAACTCTATGTTGAAAATGAGTTCTTTTAACAGTAGGATTTTCTACTGCCCAAACATGATTGTTGTGGAAATTGTGCCTAATTCCATCTAAATGTGGACTCGTCTGTGCACAAAATTAATTTCGTAAAATCTCCATTTCTGCCACTGTTAAAATGCAACTATTCTAGGATGATCTTCAGATTGTAACGTTTGTACCCGTTGATAATGATAAGGATAATACTGTCGTATTGCCTTACACTGATATGGAGTATATCAAGAAACAAAAAAAAAAACAACAAAAAAGCCTTCCTGTTAGGATCGAACCCGGGACGGTAGAATACAAACCGAGTATCTAACCACTACACCAAACAATCGACGCTGAATTATTACAGGAAACATAGCTGTACCAAAACCATGGCCAACTAGATTACGCCGAGATATCGAGATAGCTGCCGAGTTGAAACGGCGACCGAACAGCTTGAATAGGAAGCGCATGTGAGGTACCGTTCACAAAGTCACTGGTGCCCAGGATCGAACCCGGGACGGTGGGATACTAAACCGAACATCAGACCACTACATTAGACAGTCGACTGTGAATTAGTTTCAGAAACATCTACACAACCAAAGCCAACTAGATTATGCCGAGAGATCGAGATAGCTGCCGAGTTGAAACGGCAATCGAACGGCCCGATTTTGTGCGATGTGAGAGCTCGCCAGCCGTCGCGCAACGACGGACGGACACTGCAACAGCGCAATTGTGCGCCGGTTGAGGATATTTAAGTAGATTTTCTACTTTTCCCAATGTTGCAGCCGAAGATGCGGGGTTATCCGAAATTGAATTCAAACAAATAAGAAAACGTGTGTTTATGATTATAGGCGAAAAAAAGATAATCAAGGAGCTGCAGCTTTTGAAATGATGCAAAAAAAACTAAGGATTTTATTTGGCTTCTTGTAGAATTTCGGATTTTCCCGTGATTCCACTTGAGTAGACTAATAAATAATTTTAAGGCAAAATATGTATACTAAGTGACATATAAATCCGAACACCCAGTTTAAATGGTTTTATTTTAATAAAAGTTGGTGAATGTATTTATCTTACTGTAAATAACAAGTGAAAAAATTTTCAGCCTTATCAGTTGGACATTCCGGTTTTTATACTGCTTTTTTTAATTCACTAACGCTCTAAAAATGAATATTTCAGCCGCAGTAAAGAATCAACGTTGGCGGATTTTGGTTCTTGACATCCTTTACGATCGGTTACGATGCCTAGAGTACGGAGACCTGTACGATTTCGTCGTTTGATAGGGGCCGTATAGTGGGACTTCGGGAAGCTGGACTTTCTTTTCGGGCAATTGCAGTTAGAGTGCAAAGAAGTGTAGACACTGTGGTTAGGTGTTGTCAGGCATGGCTTCGAGAAGGTCGTACGCAAAGAGCAAGGGGCACTGGACGCCGCCGTAGAACAACAGACCGTGAAGATCGCCGCCTAAGATTATTGGCCTTAAGGGACCGTTTCTCCACTACCAGGTCCATTGCAAATGAATGGTTTGCAGAACACGGAAGACCTATTGGCATGCGAAGTGTTTACCGGCGAACGAGAAGTTTTGGCTTGTTTTCATACCGGCCACACTGGGTCCTCCCTTTAACTCGAGAACACCGACGTAATCGCCTTGAGTGGTGCAGACAACGGTCACTCTGGGATCAGGAATGGAACAGTATTGTCTTTAGTGACGAGTCTCGATTTTGTTTAGGCATGCACGATGGTCGTGCCAGGGTTAGAAGGCGACGTGGTGAAAGGAGGAATCCACAGTTTTTTTTGAAAGACATGTTCATCACACTGTTGGAGTTATGGTTTGGGGTGCTATAGCTTATGGTTCCAGGTCACCTTTAATCTTCATCAGAGGTAACATGAACGCGCAGCGTTGTATCCACGTAGTTCTAGAACCCCATCTTTTACCCTATCTTGACGCCCTGGCAGATCCAACTTTCCAACAAGATGATAATGCCCGACCACATGTTGCAAGAGTCACAATAGACTTCTTTCAACATAATGATGTCACATTGTTACCATGGCCACCAAGATCTCCCGACTTATCCCCAATTGGGCACGTGTGGGATATGATGGGTAGGAGATTGCTCAATTTGCAACGTCCTCCTCAGACTCTAGAAGCACTTCGAGAGGAGTTGGTGGTTGCCTGGAATGAGATACCACAGGAGGACATTGACCACCTGATCAGAAGCATGCCTAGGCGCGTTGGAGAATGCGTAGCACATCAGGGTGCATCCACACATTATTAAAGGTCAAAGGGCTTTAAACCAGTGCAATCATTTTGAAATTTTTATCATTTACTTATTATGCTTCATTAAGTACTAAAACCATTTAAACTGGGTGTTCGGATTTATATGTCACTTAGTATATTTCGACACAAACAAAATCACAACAGACAACCAAAAAGTTGTAATACATAATCCTCAAATTATATATAAAATAAGTCAGCTAGCGTTTTTTAAGCCGAATATCTCTAGACGGTTTTCCACTAAATGGGCAGTTGTGTTTATATTGTGTTTGTATTTTCTAGAAACAAAACCCAAAACTCACATTTCCGTCAAGAGGGTTACGTTTTGTTCGAGTTTTGTTTCTGTTTCCCACTGGTTCTCGCGAGGAAGTTAAAGCACAGTTTTTTTTGTTTACAACCAATTCTCTAAATTAATGACATGTGACAGTTTTATTTTTGATAAGACTTGAAGACTTCCGTAATTTTTTATATAAATCTTAGTAAGACTCAAAAATGAATTAAACATGGAAGGTGACAACGAACTAGCTGCAAAAATAGTGGATATGAAAGAAGAAATTTGCATCGCATTTTTCCGTATTTTACCTGAATATCTGTCTTGGTGAGTTTATTTGTTTTGTTCTATTTCTTGACACTACCCTGCTTAAAAAAATTTCCTACTCTCTGACATCGAAGTAGTCCTTTTGAAAAAGAGCCCTTCAACTTATTTTTTGATCGGGTCAAGTTTACCATGTGAAATTCAAAATGTTGATTGGCCGTTGAGCTACAAACATTGGATTATTGATTTAAATTATTTCAAAATAAACATATTTTATAGTTAAATAATTATGTGAAATAGCATGAAGCTACGATCTTATACTAGCTGGTGTACTGATCAAAACTAGGGCATACTGTCAACATACTGTCAAATTTCAACCTGCAAAGACTTTTCAATCCATTTTTTCCAACAAGTGCTAAATTGAAGAGTTAGAAGAAATTTTGTTAAGAGCTTCGAGCAATGTGCTTTAAATCATGGCGTAAAACTAGATATGGGTGTAACACTAACATCTAAAACTGATGAATTGCTAGAGAAGCTAAATAAAATAAGAAATTGCCAAACAATACTTAATGAGGAAATATCAGTTTTAAATAGCAGGAAATATTGTCTGATACAAGTTAAACCTAGGTAAGAAGTGTCATCGAAAACTTAATTTTCAACTTACCTTTCTACAAAATATTGAGTATTCCGCGGGAAATTTGCTGATACGACTAGACTAAATTGATAGAAATGCTTACAACACTGAAAGGAAATGCACCAAGTTATTTTTTGAATGTATGATTCCATCGTTGGTGTGATGCTGTTTTCCGACATACTAAGTAATTATGAAAACATTTCAAAAACTGACCGCAGACAACTTGAGTCATATCAAAAACTTCCTGCAAAATTGTAAGGTGATTAACTGTATTTTGTTTTTGGGATATTTAGCAAGAACGTCGCTAAATAGAGCTAATAAAGATTCTACGAACGATTTATGGACAGGGTGAAAACAATGACAAAATTCCTAGAGTAAAAAATACGTCAAGAAAAGTGTAAATTGAGTTTTTGAGATGAACGAAGATTTTTTTTAACAAAAAATTGAACTATTTTGAAGCTTACTGCATGAGATAACTTCAATAATGTACATTTGAGTATCGATTTTCGTATTTTAGAATATTTTTATTGTAAAACCAAAAAAAAATCAAATGAAACACACAATTTTCAAGTTTTATGACTTTTTTAACGTATCAAGGACGTTAATTTTATTAAATCTTAATTCCGTCACCCTGTATTCATTCAGTATCAATGTAAGATCCAATTTCATTGCCTCTGCGTGTGTCGCGTATGGCTATGTGCTTGATGCTTTGAAAGAAATTTTATCTTACATTGTCGCTCTAGTAATAATTCCAATCACGGAAAACTGTTTATTGTTTCTCGTTAAACACACATAAAATTCAGTATTATTAATTAGTTCGACATTTTATTATTTTTATCATATTCACACTGTATTTATATAACTTTTATATTGCTTGCAATGAATGAATTTTATAAAACAATAGTCGGGTAGGCGAAAACGTCGCGTTCGTGGATGACATTCTTCACACCAATTCTTACTTCCTGCGCCACTGGTCCAGGAAATATTGTCATCGCGAAAAATTTCGAGAATGATATGTGATGTGGTACGGGACACCCTGTATATTGTATGATCGCCCAACAAATGAAGCTATGTAGGAGCATGAGGAAGGCTATAATATGAAACAACCCAATGTTATTACGCTCCGTAATGAACACCTGCGCAACGTAAATGATACAGTTTATTTGTTTCAATTGTAAACAATAATTTGTCATCCGGCAACGAAATCATGGAGAAATGGCTAGGAAAGTCATCCAATATAACGGGTGATTCATTTGTCGTATGGAATTCTAAAAACAATCAACTCCGTTGGGACATTTTAATTATGAAACAATAGAAGCATCCATGACATTTGTATTTTGAAACCAATTTTTACAAACGTTATCCCCAACTGAAAAGGTCTAGATATGTAGACGAAGATTTATTATTCTTTTCTTTATCTTCCATTTTTGTCATCGCCGTGCACGTCGTACAACTGAAGATACAACCGTGAAACGTGCTACCTTGAAAACACGCACTTTCTCTCGATTTTTCCAGAGAGCAGAGAGTTCGACTTTCCGCTCTGGTGTTCAATGATGAAAAATAAAGAACGGGATTTGCCTATTCATCAAGTTACATTTCACTGATTCGTTGCACTCGCTATAGTAGATCAAATGAAAAACTCATTCATCATCGCATTTCTATGTGTGTGAAAATTGTCATTTGACGTACGTATTTTTGTTTTGTACTATTATATAACATCGTTAAATAACGATAAATAACTTATTAACAAATCTAAAATTAACCGATTTGTGGACAGAGAACTGTATCTTAGAACTATTGAACTCCATCATATTCATATATGTCTTCAAACACGGCTTCAGTCATTCTCCTGAGATTCAATTTATCTGCAAAGGGTGCTTTGATATTCTGTGGATCTGATTTATCGTCCAAGAAAGGTTATTAATGTGAAACAGAACAATGCTGGGAAGAATACCGATCCCTGTGGAAGCCCCGAGCTGACACTGTCATTTGTGAAACTGTGAATCGGATTTACAGTGATAGAACAATGCTGGGAAGAATACCGAAATCCATCCTGTTGTTTATTAGTTGTTTTGTTGAACCGAGCATGAAGCCTTTTTGGGGATAAGTTGAACGTCCTTTGGGAAATGTAGTAGGGTTATAACATATCTGGAAAATGGCGCTTGAAGAACTTAAGAAGCATTATGTTGATACACATCTCCATCACTAGTACTACAGACATATACAAGAGTTGTTAGGCCAATAGTGTCTTGAATAATTCTTAGAGCTTTTTGTGATGACGTGCTAGCATACAAGCCTTCAGTAGCATAGCAAATATTATACTGGAGATGTGTCAAAGAAGACGTTTGGAATATTAACTTTTCGATTCCTTTATGACTATAGACCGAAGAGTTATGTAGCCCTGTTGTTCCTTGGATCGGATTTTGGGTTTGGTCCTCGTTCTTCGGGGGGATGAGTTGAACCTGAGCAATCTCTGGGAAAGCACTACACCGGAGTTATTAGATATATGTGACAAACGAAACGGCGACTTCAAATGGGTTCTAGACTTTTGGGTATCACAATACTAAAAAAGCTCCATTTACCTTAAAATATTTCTCTGTCCGGTGTCGCTTATCACCAACATAAATGAACCGTGTATGTAGGTACCGCGGTGTAGCGAGAGAGTACCCGGATATGTCTCGATCGATCGGAAAGGCGCGTAGGTACAACACTTTGCCGGCGATAGACCGGTATATTGGGTACTGAGCCGCTTCGCGAGTCGGGGTCGCGTATGCTGACGCGACCGCGATGTTCACTTGTTTTATTTGCGGTTGTACGAAAAGGTGGTATCCAAGTGGTACTTATAGACGAGGATACGTAGGATTCCAGGAGAAAATCGCGTACAGGGACTTTACAAATGAAATTATCTATATATACATATATTTATGTGAATGTGTGAATGTCTGACCAGTCTGAACCACGGTACGTAGAGACGTGAAAAATTGTACATTTACTAATTGAAGCTCGTGGAGGGTTCTAGGTAACCTTGACTATGATTTACAAGGTCACTTGAAGGTCAGGACAGGCAAACTCCTATATTTTTTGTCACCGAGAATTTATAGAGCGGGAAATTTTACGTTGAAGTATGTGTTTATGACTTTCACCATGATCTTCATAGGTATTTTCAGAAAGTAAAAAAAGGATAAAGCACAGAAAAGTAGATCGTTGATATAAGAGGAACAGGGGGCAAGACCGATCCCTGGGGAACACCCGCGTTGACGTTGCGGGATGAAGAGGAGAACTCATCAATTACGACGGATATCTTGCGACTAGATACAAAGTCTGCATCGAGTCTTGATTAAAATATTGCCCTTTCTTTGCTCAATATCATTTAAATCAGATGAATAGGAAGCGCATGTGAGGTACCGGTCACAAATGTCAATTTTGTTCCATATGGAGTAGCTCGAGGTTAAAAAAAAAACAAAAAAAAAGTCACCTCTGCCCAGGATCGAACCCGGGACGGTGGGATATTTAACCGAGCATCAGACCACTACACCAAACAGTCGCCTGTGAATTAGTTTCAAAAAGATCTACACAACCAAAGCCAACTAGATTATGCCGAGAGATCGAGATAGCTACCGAGTTGTGAGAGCTCGCGAGCCGTCGCGCAATGACCGACGCACACTGCAACAGCGCAACTGTGCACGAGTTGGGGATATTTCAGTAGATTTACTAATTTTTCCAATGTTGCAGTCAAAGATGCCGCGTTATAGGAAATGAAATTCAAACAAATAAGGAAAATTGTTCTTATGAATATGTGTAGGCCGAAAAATTTACAATCAAGGAGCTGGAGCGCTTAAAATGATGTATGAAAACGAGATGTGTTCGTGCCAGATCATGTCCTCGGTGATCTGGACTCCGACCAGCCGAAATAATAGGACGCTTCTTGTTCGTCCAGGAATACTGTGTTTTGGAAGCATTAAACTGGTCCAGTTCTCTCATCAGAGACGAAGTCGTTGCTAGTCTTCTTCTCTCCAGCTCACTGGCACAGTTCGGCTTGTCACTCTGGATTCCTGCATGTAGAGTGCTGTCATCAGAAAATGAGGTCGTTCATATGTAAGTTCGTTCTCTGGAGAAAAACCGCGTTGACATGCAATTCTCAATATCGCTCCTCTCAGTGAGATTATCAGAGAACTTGCAACTAAGGCATATACAAGAGCAGACATCATTTCTAAGTAGAATCCTTTGGTAAGGGAGGCTGTGATTTACTCTGTCGCTGGTGTTCGCAAAAACACAAACGTCCAAGGCAGACAGTAATTATTGCATGTCAACCACCCACCATCTTGAATTGGCTGTGTTTCTATTATGTGCTAAAATATTAGGTTAGGTTTACGCTCGTTCTGCGAGGACCGTCAGGTCTACTATTTGACGTCTATCAAAAAATAAGTATGAAGCTTTGGTATGAGAGTCTATGAAAGAGTCATACACGTAGAAATGAATATGTCCACTTTGTTGGTGCTTATTGTTCGAAGACGAACTATCAGATATATTACTAAAAGCAATCCTAGAGCTACAAGCAGGTATTTATTTGTAAATCTTAAAATAATGACTCATCGACTTCATTTTAAAAACAGCAATTCTTATTTTTTCTCGAAAAAAATATTTCTCCATTTCGAATCAATTTTTGGTTAGTTGACCTGGTCTATTATCACTGGTATCGGACTTACGCCTCTGGCATCGCTGTTCGCAGGTATCGGATTAAGTGTTCTGAGTATTCGTGGGTCATCCACTTATTTCAAACCCTAGTGGTTTGGGGAATTTTGATTTAGGGTACCACCTGGCGTGGCTTATAGTAACTAAACGAATCTGTCGTGTACAATTTTTGCTTTCGTTCTGCTAAAGACATTTGGTAAACTTTTGGGGAGCTGAATGTTGATTTGACAATCAAATAATCGTGAAGTGTGGTAGAGTAGACTTCTAGGTAGATAACTGTATCGTTTTTCATATAGCTAAAACCTTATCTTGCGATGTTCCGAAACTCCCGGTAGTTTTTGGAGTTCTGGGACATATCCAAAAAGAATAAGTATTTTCAGTCACTGCGCGTCTAACATCAACGTATTAGACGCTTTTGTCATGCCGCGATAATACCACTTAGTTGGATATGTATGAAAATTGATAAACAAATATTAACTGAATTAAAAAAGAACAAATATAAAACGGTCGCTTTTCCAAGGAAACGCAAATACTGCAAACTGGCAGCATTCCAACAAGCTCTTGACAACTTCTGTGTACAGGGTGTCCCACTATAAATTGACCCACTCTTATCATTTCTTTGTATGACCATCCAGAAAAATAGTTTTATACAAATGTTACAGAGTTTAATATGAAGTTTTTGAAGCAGTAACTGTCATTACACGATGTTTGAGAAAAGTGCTACCGAGTAAAGAGGTATTTTTTTAGATGGAATATCCCGTTTATTTTTTGTGAAAATGCCTGTCGCCTTTTTCTGATTCTAAATATGTATGAAGTTTGTTGTATCGTTCATTAACGTTTTCTAAAATTGTTCTGAAAGGTACTACCGCCATCTATGAGACAATAGCAGAGAACACAAAAATAAATTCATTAATCTACTTCAAAAAGAACTAGAAAGAGTGGTTGGTTCTGCTATTGTCTTAAAGATGGCGTTAGGATATTCGACACCTTTTTGGCCTCTTTAATGCTTATTTCGATTGGGTATCTCAGGCATTCTTTAACATTCAGTTTTTGACTTATGTTTATAATATGTAAATCTTGGTGTGAGACCGTATAATATTTGTATTGTAACTCTTTTCCGAAAGTTCATAAACAAGCTAGAGGGAGATCTATTATGTTTATAGCGCACACCCTGTACATTTCAGAGAATGACTTAACATATTGGAAGATACAAGAGCCGCATTCTTGATACAAAACAATATGAGCAATCATTGTTAAATACATATTTATCTCAAAGCATTTCTAAGTACTATCTGGCGATAATGTTTATATAAATACAAAGTGTGTGGATTCCCACTTTTGATTGCTGACCTACGATTATTAATATATAATATGATACCTGTAAGATAACGTACTTTGGACTTTCATACCGTTCGGAAAACCTGCATATATAGTCACGATCTTTTTATTATCATGCTTCTATTAGTCTGATTTATAAGGACAAGATTAATGCAAATATCTAGAGCGACTGATAATGGATTTTCACCGATACTTTGAAAAGATTCCTCTCTTCTCTTTTAAGCTCGATCGAAAAGCTACCTCGTTCAGTATTACGTTTGCTGAATTCCAAAATACAAATCATTGAACAAACCTATTCGGATTCAGAATAAAAGGCCAGTGTGAAAAAATTGACCTGTGTTAGGTGCGCCATCCCTTGTTAGGTGTGTGTGACTATACATGTCCCATCCAAATAGCACAACTATATTATCTTTAAGACTTTTTAAATCGTCATATTAGACACGTCGTAAAGACGTCTTGTGAAGGCTGTACGACAACTTAAAGACGTTGTAAACAAGACGTTTGTTGCCTAAACTGTGCGTCTTAAAGACGTTTGTACAATACGTTCGTAAGGTCTTTAGTGTGGCATTAAATTTGGCTTTGCCATGACTTTAGGCATTCTGTAATAGTGGCAGGCACTAATTTTATTAGTTCCAAGTCCTATTTTCGTTTTACTGCGCCCGCTTAGATCTCACATATGGCCAAGAATTATTAATGCCTGACTTTATTGGACGTTCAATAACTCCCTATTAGCGCTATTAATTAGCATGAACAAAAGCCAGGTTTCACCAAAATCGAATTCTCTAATTTCTGTAGAAACCCTCGTCCAACTATAGGCAACACGCGTTACAACGATTCAATCAACTCTTGCTGTTAGGCCTATCACATACGTTCGCATTCTATTCCTGTTGTATCATAGTATATACGTGTTACCTTTTATTGTTGTACTATATATTGTATGCTGTACTATCTATTTTTAAAATGATAAGAAACGAGGGCATTTCTACAAAGCGCAAAAGAATTACGGAATTATCCACTCGATTATGACACGGCTATTATGTAACAAGTGTAGACCCACCTTAACACATCCAGCAGACGTGCGCACTCTGATTTATCGTCTATCTCTTTCTAACCTATGCGAAAAGTCGTATTGACAAGAGAGACAGGAAACGTACGTGACACGAATCCTCCTATCAAAATTTATCAGTTCGTATTTTGACTTTCACGACCTCCAAACGTCCTTTCAGTCAGTCTCATTCACCCAGTTCATTGGTAAAGGTGTATTTTTCTTTGCCCTGAAAGTAAGTGTTGATTTTGAGTACTTTTCATAAGAATTTCCCTATTTGCTTAGCTAGCTCGGTTGGCAGCCGAGCGTCAAAAATTAGGTTAGATTTACGTTTTGAGAAATTGTGCAATTGTCTTTTGCTCGAGATCAGGTTTTTGGCACGTATTTCTAGCAGATTATTAGTATTTTTAACAAATTTCATAACAATTACTAGATATATTATTTACTTTGTAATAGTATTTATTATAGCTGCCTTTATGGTAGGTTTGAGCGCTCTAAATTTTCCGTTTAAGCTGTGTATATTTTGATATTTTTAGGATACGGCATATACAGAATTTCGTAAAAATCATTTAATTTCAGTTTTTACTGTAGTAAAATATGTTCACGATTTTATTTTCATACTCTTGTAATATTTTGAAACGTGCCGCCCAATGTCTGGTTATCATAGTTCTTAGGCAACAAACAATACACTTTGTCTAGACAGATTTATGGATGCTGAATTGGGCATAATCGTTCCTTGCTTGGTTAGAGGTCAGAGAAGGTCAAATCGTGAATGAGAATGAATATCATTATTTTTATCTTTAAGTGGAAATATGTTAGGGGTGGCAAGAAATCAGGAAAAATCCGAATAAGTAGATATGGATATACAGGGTGGCCCAACGACAAGGTCGCACCTCTATTTGTGACTCTTCTGGTACATAGTGGGAAAAATGCCCAGCCAAGTCAATTTTGATATCTAGGGGGTGCACATAGTGCGGCGGTACACAACTCTCATTATAATTAACGTCATTTTCTATTATTTCTGTAATTCTCTCTCCCGTCAAGTTTCCAGGTCCTACAATATGATTTCCGAAAATGCCGGCCTACACATTTATTTTTTCAGAATTTTGTGGATTTGAGTCACTCCGATATCGGCAATTATGTCTATTTACAGCACCATGTAAATAGAACGTACACTCATCCGAGAAACAATGTAACAGATTTGCGTTGTTGATTAAACGTTGGGAAATTAATTCACAAAAGTCCAACCATCAAAATCGGCTGCATTAAGCTCATGGACGAGTTTTATCTTGTACGGGTGAAATTTGTCTTTCAAAACTCTTTATACTGTTCCGCGTGTCCCAAAACTGCTATTTCTCGATGGCGATTATGGTGAATATTGGAGTTCCTAACCCCATCCTCCAATTTTTAACCCTGCCAAATAAATTCTGAATATGATCAGTGCCAAAAAACGTTGAGCGATTTTTATTTTTTCGTTTTTTGTCCGTTTTTACGCCACTGATTCGAATCTCAAAAACTACGATCTTACGTCCTTGGCACAGCAGTAACCTTATTTGTGCATTCAAAAAACGTATCTCATTTTCGAAAATTATCGCGATTACAATACTTCCCCGCCTGAAGTCATTGGAAGAATTAAGGCAATACATAGATAGGTTTTTTTTTTGAGTCAAAATATTCATAATAGTGCTAAGAAACTTAATGAAATATTGCATAATAAATATGTCCTCGGAAATCATGAACTTATATACGTAACGAGCATGATTTAAAAAATTATAGTTATATCATTTTTTTGTCTTCCTTCGACAAACCCCCAAGAAGTAGATAATCTAGTACGTCAGAGATCATAGTTCGTTTGTTATTTATTGCTGTTTATCAGTAATCCAGTTTTTATTTAACTCGCAAACAGATATACAGTAGAACATTGTTTGTTGGGGCAAGAAGACGTTTCTTTATAATTGACCTGACGGTTACTCTTGATACTGGTACGTATTTTTTTTTGTTTTTCTCCATAACCGGACATATTGACGCTTCTTTTCTTATGCGGGTATCTTTCGCGTAGATTTTCGACCGTTGGCGCATTGGCGCGTCTAATCTAACTTGCTAATCCTTGGATGCCAAGGACCAAAAAACTTTGAATAGATTTTGATAAAAAACGAAATGAAGTAAGAAATTACTAATATGTAAAATTACGAGAAATGTTTGTTGATATTGATAGCTACTATGCAAACCTATTGGCTTATGTTGAAGATATAGTCAAGAAAATTTTGAAGTCATGATAAACCACCGTGATTTATTACATGCAGGATTCTTGGCAATGTCACTTTCTTTTTGGAACAGTGACAAATTGCAATACTTCGTTATAATTTAGGTTTACGATGACGTGACGACGTTGTTGTTTCATCAATCAAAATTCAATTAACAATTTAGTTTATTTTTTTTATTGCACTCCTATAATAAACGGTCGGTAAGTCTATTGCATATCTACGTTTGATTATGATATATTGACTCCAAATCGTTGATTAACGCGTTTTATCTGAATATTGTCAACCAAATACCTGTCCAGGCATTTAAAAAATGGCGTACGATGAATCTTCGACATCGGCATATCAAACTATACAGGGTGTTTTCAAAGTTGAGTCATTTATTTTAATAGCTTGTAGCACTCGTCAAAAGAAGTTAAAATTATTTAAAAAGAATCATTATCAAGTTAAATGGATACCGTTTTTACCAAAACTGTTCAAAATTGTCCTCAATTGTTCGATAAACGCGAAATCTTGCTAGGCAAATCCACGGATATTTACAAGCCTGCTGTCCACAAATTAAATCAGAAGCATTTCCAGTGCGAAGTTCTTCCAGAGTATTTAGAGAATATCAAAACATATGTGTAATAACATTCTTAGTTTTTAAGATTATTAATCTTTTACTATTTCTTGCGCTGCTTGTGTTGCTAGACCAGTTAATAATTATACTATTATAATTATGAGTCGGTGCATAAAGTTTCATAATTACTTTTATTATAAATGTCACATGAAGTCATGTTATTCAAATACGTGCTCAAGAATGCAATTGACGCCATGCTGATAAGGTCTCAAACAGTGGGATATTTGCTTTCCTGCAAAAGCTATTTTGAAATCCAGTATCATTCTCCTATCTTCACATTATGAATAATAATTGTTTGTTGCACCGTTATCAATGTTGAACATTGTGCAGCACAACAATTTTAATGATATTTTCCTGCAGCTAGTCATAATACGTTACATATGATTTATTGTTACAATCTATTCTGACATACCCAGATAAAACAAGTTGAAAAACCCTACTAAACAACAACTTATAAATAATCAACGATGATGACCATAAACTTGTCATTTTTTCGTCTTGATATTCATGCAGACTCTGCATTTAGATTGGCAAGGCCGTTATCGGACATTCGTAAGGAGTAACTCTTTCTCACTACTTGTAATTGTACTTTCTGATTTGATATGTGCTTCTATTTGGGCAGGAAAAATTGGTAATTAGACATTTTTGTACAAATACAGCACTCTACGGAATATTTTCTCCTATCTTTCAACAAAATGAACCCTAGTTCATTGATTGTCTTATCTTTTAGCGCCCTCAATCATAGTGTTTTTATAGTTTCCAATTCACTATACGTATTGTTTACATCATATACACATTGTACATACATTGTATACGCATTGTATACATTATATACGCATTGTATACACTGTATACTCATTGTATACACTGTATACGCATTGTATACACTGTATATTCTTTGTATACACATTGTATATACATTGTATACATTATATACGCATTGTATACACTGCTTACGCATAGTATACGCGTTGTATACATTGCATACTCATTGTATACATTGTACACGCTTTGTATACACTGCATACGCATTGTATACACTGTATGCGCATTGTATACACTGTTTACGCATTGTATACACTGTATATGCTTTGTATACGCATTGTATATACATTGTATACATTATATACGCATTGTATACACTGCTTACGCATTGTATACGCTTTATATACATTGTATACGCTTTGTATACACTGCATACGCATTGTATACACTGTATACGTATTGGATACGCTGTGTACATACTTTATACACTGTATACTCATTGTATACACTGTATACGCATTGTATACACTGTATATTCTTTGTATACACTGTATACACATTGTATATACATTGTATACATTATATACGCATTGTATACACTGCTTACGCATAGTATACGCTTTGTATACATTGCATACTCATTGTATACATTGTACACACTTTGTATACACTGCATACGCATTGTATACACTGTATGCGCATTGTATACACTGTTTACGCATTGTATACATGTTATATGCATTGTATACACTGTATATGCTTTGTATACGCATTGTATATACATTGTATACATTATATACGCATTGTATACACTGCTTACGCATTGTATACGCTTTGTATACACTGCATACGCATTGTATACACTGTATACGCATTGGATACGCTGTGTACATACTTTATACACTGTATACGCATTGTATATACTATCTATGTGTTATAAATAATATTCTCTTAATGCTGAGGTGTACTAGGCTCACTTTTTGTTTTGTTCCAGTCTTCCACCAATAGAAATGACAACCCACTGGAACTACCCCGACCCCGCGCTGCAAGATGAGCTTCGCAAAATCGCCAACGCGATCGTGGCCCCAGGAAAAGGTATTTTGGCCGCTGACGAGTCAGTGTCCACCATGGGGAAACGTTTGGCTGACATCGGACTGGAGAACACCGATGAAAACAGGAGGAAATACAGGTATGCGGCTCGCAAAACTGGAATCGCGATGCCCATTCAGCCTCTTACGCGGGAGCTATTACGACAAACCGTTTGAACTGCCCGTTCTCGATTCAGAACCAGAAACAAACTTAATGAATTTTGAAGTGTACGGTATTGATGTTTTGATTTCAGACAGTTGCTTTTCACGACCTGCCCCACAATCGGCGACAACATCTCCGGAGTGATCCTGTTCCACGAAACTCTGTACCAAAAGGCCGATGACGGTACTCCGTTCCCGGAACTGTTAAAACAGAGAGGAATCATTCCCGGAATCAAAGTAGACACCGGAGTTGTGCCGCTTTTCGGAAGTCAGGATGAGTGCACCACACAAGGTAAAACATTCCCATCCCTTGGGAAATTTAATATGTAAATACTGAAATTTACCGATTTTTCAATGGTGCTCAGGTCTGGACGATTTGGCGAAACGTTGCGCCCAATACAAGAAGGACGGCTGCCACTTCGCCAAGTGGCGATGCGTGTTGAAGATCAACGAGCACACCCCCTCCGTCCAGGCGTTGATCGAGAACGCAAACGTTCTCGCCAGGTACGCTTCCATTTGTCAGGCAAACAGGATCGTACCGATTGTCGAGCCCGAAATCCTGCCCGACGGTGCGCACGATCTCGAGAGGACGCAGAAGGTCACCGAGACCGTTTTGGCATACGTATACAAGGTGAGGATTTGCTATTCCGACAAACATGTAGTTTCAGATGTGCATTCGTTTCGGGCCTGCCAACCAGCAGAAATACGTATCGCTCGGGTTACCTATCCTATTTTCTGCTCGAATCCACTTTCCTCCTTTTTGCGGATTTTGCCGATTATTTTCCTACTCTTTGTTATATACCTTTCTCCGCATGATCATTTTCTCTCTCTCTCTCTCTCTCTATATATATATATATATACATAATTGTTTCCAGCTCCAGACGATGAAGATATAGATCGTCGAAAGCTTGAGAGTTTAAGTTATAAGAGTGTAGTTTTGCAATACTTTGACTTCTGCCCAAAGAAATTAAAGGATATCTTCTCCTAACAGTTAAGGCAATTAACTATGAATACTATATATATCTGTCCATTGGGAATTGGCAAAACTTAGAGCTTAGTGAACTCATTTGACGGTAATCTCGAGCTTTCGACAAACTATGTTGTCATCTTCAGAAGCTAAAACAGAAATATGGAAATAGCAACCAATTCAGAACAGATTTTCTTCTCTAAAAAGCACTAATAGTCGGTGTTGCATTTTCTCTGTCATTTAGTATATATAGGTTGAAAAGATTGCAGTTCTATATTAATTTTGCGACGGATGTTAATTAAGGTTTATTACAAAATATAACACGTTGAATTTTGCAGATATAGTAATTTTGGCGACATCTGCAAACAGTCATTTATGAGATCAGTTAATTCAAAAACAAATAGCCATAATATATAATTTCTGCCTCACATTTTTATCTATATTGTCAAATACGTTAGATAGATCGAAGAGACTCCATCATCAAGTTTGTTCCAGTAAGCGACAACTAGCGGTTTCAGCGGATAAATCTTTTATTCTTTTCCATCTAGGCTCTAGCCGATCACAACGTCTACCTAGAAGGCACCCTGCTGAAACCGAACATGGTAACCGCTGGTATGCAGAGCGCTAACAAGGCCACCCCCGAACAGGTGGCGAAAGCGACAGTGACAGCTCTGCAACGCACCGTGCCAGCTGCCGTGCCCGGAATCACCTTCTTGTCCGGCGGACAGTCCGAGGAGGAGGCTAGCGTTAACCTGGACGCGATGAACAAGTAAATAGACAAAATATAATAGATTTATATTTGCGATGATTGATAGTTAAACGGTTGGTATTACACCAATAACTGAGCTGTCCTGTCATTTGATTTTAGTAACGATTCAGCTTTATTTCGGGCAGATGTTGGATGGGAGGTCGTTCATGTATAGCGAAAATAGGATGCTACCCTGCAGGCCTCCTAAGTTTATTTCTCCGATATCTGAAATTCCATTGCCAAAAGCTTTCTATTTGACATAAATGAGCAAATGATATTGCCCCTAAGGCCATATACACTAGCGTTCGAAAGTGTTTGAACAGCCAGAAAACAAGGAAACTGATGAAAGTTATTAAAGAAAACATTACAATATCTGTATGAAACGTTTATTTTCTTAATTCTCAGCAACATACAACTATTTATAATCAAAATAATCATATTTTTCACTCATCGATATGCCCTCCTTTACTTTTAATTACAGCCTGGCAAATGATGGGTAAACGCGCAACTATTTTTTTTAAGTGGATGGCTTGCCTCTTAATTTATCGACACGAATATAACAAACATTCTTTTTTTTGGTACGATTTCCGATTTTTCTTTCCAGATTCCCCGGCAAGAAACCGTGGGCACTGACATTCAGTTACGGTCGTGCTTTACAAGCTTCCGTTTTGCGGGCTTGGGCAGGCAAAGACGAAAACGTCAAGGCTGGACAGGATGAACTTCTCAAGCGTGCCAAGGTGAGTTTTTTTATACTGGGTGGTGTATAGTAAACACACAAGTCTAGATTAAATTCGGGAAAATGGTGGTATTGAGTGACAAAAAAGTTAATCAGCTCCGTATGGTTGGCAACTTGTTTAATCTGTTCAACGGCAAGTAGACCACTTCTACTTTCAGAAAGAATCATCAGCCATCTAGCGGCACGGCTATTAAGCGCGAACCGAGATCCATGACAGTTCTAACTGAGTAGCGATGCGCGATCCAAAAAGGTCGATTCTGGTGCGATAGATGGCGCTGTAATTTCTGTGTCGACTGGTTTATCCAAGAGCCTCATTTTGTGTTTTTGTTCAGGCTAACGGCGATGCTTCTCTGGGCAAATACGTAGCAGGTAGTGTTGCTGGCAAAGCTGGAGACGCTGGACTTTTCGTCAAGAACCATGCCTACTAAGGAAAGAACGCACACCTGCCAAAATTGGCCGAATTCGTCGTGAAATCAGAAATTTTAGTTATTTTTTATTGGCTTTTTGTATATACATATATTTATTTAACACCTTTTACGATTACTGAAGGATTTTATTGACATACAAACTGCGAAAGTTATTATTTTATATCAAATTATATACATAGATGTATTCAAATAAATATACTTATTCAAAAAATAAATTGAGTGTTATTCTTTCCCGCACGGGTATCACGTATCTTGAAAAGTGACATTATGCTGTTTTTTTGACATTATGTAGATTTTTCTACAAGATATTAACTTAGCACTTAATTGTACGTGTTGCCTAAACGTCATGAGGCTTGTTATCAACCTTTGGCTCTGATGTAAAATCTTCTTCCGAGATGGCATTACTGGAGGTCTAAGCTGTAAGTTGTATGTGTTGATGATAATTACATTGGGTTCTTGTCTCAAAAACACTTATTTTAGATTCAAAGCTAAAAGTTAGTTGCGCATCCACTTTTTATTAACCATTCTGGAAATTACATATACAAATTTGCTGAATTTCAAAATTGAGAGAGATAAGAAATAATTATATTCACTGTACACTGTCGAATTACAAGCCATATACATGCTAACAGTAATTACACACAACGCGGGCGCGGTGATGATTTCCCGTAATTCTCCTCAGTTTTTCGTAATTTATAACTTTGAACATAACCTCTCTTCACATATAAATAACGCGTCATATTCGGCATATTAGTAATGATTTTCTCACACAGTAAATATCACTGATTTTATACACATGCAGACCAATACACATAAATCATCCAGATGCGATCTTGCTATTCAACCAACTTTCTTCTCAGAGATAAAAACTACAGACAAGTACCATTTGGCCTTACAAAACATATGCAACCAATAATGCGTGTAGTTTAGTTGAGTGATTCCTCCTTAGATGGACGTTCACAACGATCCTAGTGAGCGAACGTGGAATAACTGCGCCCTGAAAACTACCTAGTTTGCAAGATGACATCTTATAGGTTTTTTTGACGTTTTATCGGTTTTCTACATTATACCGATGTTGATCACTGGCCGTTGAAACACGCTATAATATATCGGCAACCGTATCTACTCGAATTTGTATTACAGGTTGCATGGACGTCTACGTTTCGTTTGTAATTGTGAATATGTATACGGGGTGTCCAAAAAAAAGAACAACTTTCATTCGTGTAAAGCCAGTTATAACAAAATTCTGGCGTTGATCCTTCGATCTATGGAAGTTTTCTCAAATCTAAGGAATTTTCAATTATGAAATACGAAAAAAACATTGTTGAATTTTTAATTAGTTTTTAGATATAATAGTAGAAAAAGCTAACGACTCGCGGTGTTTCCAAGCGGTGTTGAACAAAGTTAAAAAGTAAAACAATGTGACTCAAATTAAATTAAAAAAATGCGTGGCATCTGAATAGTTTGAAACGTTGTATAATCATAGGCAAGAATTTGAATTACGGGTTGCAGAGACACGTCAATATACTAAAATTTTGACTGGAATAATTTAGTCACAGTGCAGAAAATGTCGAACAAAGCTAGAATGTAAAACACTTTTATTAGGTGATTGAAATTAAATAAAAACGATTCGAATCTCCCCCTTTTTTTTAAAGGAAGGATCATTTGTTACATCATAGCCAAAAAGGGTAGAGATGACTTTACAAGCATCGCTGAATCCGCAAAGCCAATAAAGCGAATAAAATAAATTAAAACAGTGCGAAATTGCAATGCAACATATATTCAATATATCCAATTATAATAACATTCAACCTAGTCTATGCAAATCATCTTCATATAGATCATAGTATCTTTTACGTTGTTCTACAGCCATTCTTCTCAAAATGTTGTTCTCCATGTTTATATCACCAACTTGATAAAAGTACTCATCATTTGGAACCTTCACTCTATTTTGTATTCTGTTGTAGTTTTCGTTGTAATTTCTGGGACCGTCTTTCATATAGTCCGGTAGATGAGTTGTACCGTGGAGAATCAGGGTTGTATCGCCAATGGTGCCATAGTTATCTACCAGATCTGTCTACAAGGAATATTAAAAGTAGAAGAATGTTTTGTGTAGGTATTGTAACAGGTTGACTGCCAAGGCAATTTTCAGAAATATCACCAAAAATAACAATTTAATTAAATCACATATATTATTTTATTTCTTGGATCTGAATTAATATTTATAATTATATTTGTTGTTCAATTTTTAATAAATTTTCTGTTCATGCGAGCCAGCATTCCCAGAAGCCATTTTAGGATATTAACAATCTACGAGTTATCTCGTAGATGGCAGTTAACGTGTTATAATAGAATGTCATTTACTGTTACCAATGATGCAACATTTACCCACAGTAACCACAAATTTCCAACCCGTCCATTGAAGTGTCAAAGGCAAAATTTGAGCGTCTTTTTATGTTTTTTGAAAACCAAAGACCTTATCATATACAGACTGTATAGTGGATACCAAATAAAACCCGATGCACGTCATCGATCTGGAGCTGTGCGCTGTTGCCAGAATTTGCACATTTTCTTTTAAGCAAATAAATTTAATAAAATAAATTGTTTATTATATACCTACCATTTACTATAATACCATTATATTAAAAATAAATAAACTTGTTGTAAAATTAAATTCCTTTCTGAATAAAAACAGCTGATTTCGGTAGATATTCAATGATATGAGCTCTTTATACCGATTGTTAAGTTGTTTTGGCATTTTGGATACTTTACACCACTTCACAGTAACTGTTGTTCTGAAAAGAACAATTTTTAATTGGCAAGGCAACGATTCAAAGCTCAAATAGCGCAAAACTCGCAAACTAAACAATAAAGAACTAATAGTAGACAGTCTACGACAAAAGGACAATGGCAACTGATGTCAACAAATGAGAAGTGGCAACCTCCCATTTCTCTACACGGCACTACCAACCGAATCGAGACGGGGAAATTTAAACTTCAAGTAGAAATGTTACATTGAATGTAGTCAACTGTTGGTAACCATGATTTTTATGAATGACATCACCTATGACGTGCATCGGATTTTATTTGGTATCCACTATATATAACTGCATCTAATACAAATATCGAATAAAATGTATAGGGTTCTATAAGAAAAACAAAAATTGCTATTAGTTTCTGACAAACTGTAGATTTGGCAACATCGCGGATATCGTCAACGAATCCGTCGTGATTTCAAACCTAAAGCTGACAATTAAAAAAAAATAGATGAGTCGTTCTTCGGATATTTGACGCGTTCCAAGGTTTTGTTACAATAACAAAATCCATCAAGCTGTTTAAACTGTAGCCTGTAGACTTGGAACTGACAAGCTGATATTTACCATTAAAATCAGTGATTATGATTTTATAAAACTTCAGTAAATCCAATGCACTCGCGCTTTCATCACAGATTAAGATTGAGTCAGCCTACTTGATTGATTTTTTTGGCGGGGAGACCTATGGAATGTAGTGCGTCAAATACAACCAATACACAAGTAGATATTTTAAAATTCTCATCCCAGCCTTTCTTCAAGATGCCATATAACCAATAGAATATTCTGTGAGCCACAAAAAACTACCGAGAACCCGTCTCGCTTAGATTCTCATTCCAACCTTCCTTCAAGATGCCAAATAACCAATAGAATATATTCTGTGAGCCACAAAAAACTATCGAGAACCCGCCTCGCTTAGAATAAATGATCGTATTCGTTAGCCAATCAGCGCCAGGCTTTTTTTGTGCCAATTGTTCCGTTTACTGATAAGAGAGCGTTCGAGCGATTCTTTCGTGTTTTTTGCAGTAGGTAAAAAAAGCAAAAACAATTTTCTATCACATAGCATCTATAAAAAGGTAAAGTTTAGCGATAAACATGATGTAATGATCTTTTCCTTTATAATGGCTAAACCAACAACCTAAGACTACTATCATCTTTTGTAGCGAATAAAACTTACTACAAAGGTCCATTACGTTTTTTCGGCACCTTGATGTATAATATGCGATGCAGCATCCAAAAAACGTTATACATTTTCGAAATTTTCTGACTAATTACCGTATCTGAAATAATCAATGTCCATACTCCTTCAGGTGATTCGCCCCAAGTCATCACAGACATGAACGTCCAATTTTCGAAACCTTGATCACTTTGATCCAAGTGTCGAGGCGACAACAACTTTGCTGTGGTTCCTGTAACAATATTGCATTTAATGGTAATGTTTACACAGGAGAGAGCCACAGACTCATAATGTCGTTTAATTTGAAGATTGTCAGTGAATAATTTTTAGGCTGTAAAGATACGTAACTTACTTTACAACTATACTACAACTATTTAAAACTGTAATGACTCATACGCGTGATCAACACGTGATCAGAGCTCGATCCCGGCTTCCTTCCTTTCTGTGGCTTTGCGGTGGTCAACAGCACAGGCAGAGATGGAAATAATGGCTGATTGTTCTCCGCCGGTAGAACCAATTAAATCAAAGACGCGCCTCGACCGGCAGACTCATAGGCGTCGGCAACGCATTGGAACGTGTTTCGTTGAGCGATCGCATATTGTATGTTTTTATAAGAATTGTTGTGTGATTGTTATTGTTGTGGTTTCTGTGGTTACTGTTTTGGTTATACTTAACCATGGAGAGTACAAATGGCACGAGTGGAAGTACTGAAAGCCAGGGAACAAGTAGACGGCTTCGTAAAGCACTGAAGAGGGACGCGAAAGAAATCGTGCTCAACGTGTTCAATTATCTGAACAGAACTATGTCGCAGGGAGATGCACTCGCGCGTTGTGAAAGTATGACAGGCGTTCCAGAGTGGACCATTCGCAGGGTGGTGCATGAAAAGAAGAAAACTGGAGCTGCTACTGATCCAAAGTTTAATTTGAAGGGACGAAAGGCCGTTAAATTGGATGACGATAGCAAAATGGCGTTAAGGCGAACCGTACATTCATTCTTCTTTAGGAATGAGATACCAACCCTCAAGGCTGTACATGCAGCGATCAAGGAAAATGAAATTATACCCCAAATGAGCGTCGAGGTAATGAGGAAATCCCTGCACGAAATTAATTTTCGTTATGAAACGCGTAATCGGAAGTCAGTATTGATAGAGAGACCTGAAATAGTCGCCTGGCGCCGAAAATACCTACGCGAAATGATTGAATATAGGCGACAAAGCAGAAAAATCTATTATTCGGACGAGACATGGGTAAATGCAGGTCACACAGTTAAAAAAATCTGGATAGACAAAAAAGTAGTGAGTAACCGACAAGCAAGCATTGAAAGTTTGTCAACAGGTCTTCGTGGACCGTCAGGGAAAGGTCAAAGATTGATCGTGGTAGCGATAGTGGCTTTTTAGAAGAGTGTGACTTGATTTTCGTCTCTAAGAAAGGAGGTGATTACCATGACGAAATGAATGCCAGCTGCTTCGAGAGCTGGTTTCACGGGGTGCTTCAGCGAGTTGAGCCCAACTCTGTGATCGTCATGGATAATGCTTCCTACCATAGTCGTCGAGCCGAACGTGTACCGACTATGGGATCTCGAAAAAGTGACATGCAGCAATGGTTGCGCGAAAAAGGAATCCCGTTTGAGGATTCATGTGTGAAAGCGGAATTGTATGAAAAAAATAAACAGCACAAACCTGCGAACATTAGTTACGTGGCTGATGAGATGGCCTGTCAATGTGGTGTCACTGTGCTGCGGTTACCGCCCTACCACTGTGAACTGAACCCAATAGAGCTCATCTGGGCTCAAGTGAAGGGTTATATTGCGCGCCATAACACAACCTTCAAATTACCAGACGTTAAGGTTTTACTTGAGACTTCCATATAGCTAGTAACGCCCGAAGCTTGGCAGAATGCTATCCGTCATGTTGTGAAGGAAGAAACAAAAATGTGGCAGCTTGACCACCATCATAGAACCAGTTATAGTCAATTTCAACGAGGAAAGCGATAGCGACAGTTTATTACTGTCAGATGTAAGTGGAAGCGACGATGAATAAAGGCAATTCCCAAATTTTTGACTTACAATATGTTTCAAACTACTCTTTATTAAGCATGTGATAAATCTAGTTCACCCATGTTAAACATTCATACCCCGCCTATGAACAGCCGACTACTGGTAGTTAAGTGATGTTCACGTGAACATCGATGAGTCATTACAGTTTTAGATTGTTATAGTACAGCTGTAATAACAGTTGCCTACACAATAAATGCACAATTATATGATGTTAGTGATGATAGCCTAGCGATGTGTCACAGCGCAGGGGCGTATCCAGGAGGGGGTCAAGGAGGACAGCTTCACCCCTTTTCTCTAGATATTGGAGTTAGAAATGAGCCTTTCGTCATACAGGGGTAAAATTTAAGGGTTGATTAACCAGCACAATGCCTATCTTAGGTATTATGATTGTTCTAATATAAGAGCTACCTTAATAGGAAATTTATTGTACAGGGCCTAGAACATGAGGAAAAGGTGATTTTCCAACCTCAATAGCTCGAACACAGAATTGTTTCTAAATATTTCCCTTGTCGTTATTCAAGAAAGCGTTATTGTTTGTTCAAAACTCAACAAGAGATAATTCCTCAAACATCACTCAATCCCCAAGGAACGTGTATAAATATGACCCTTTAGTCCTCAGTTACCTGAAGGTGATTCTAATAGAATTTCCAGGGCTCCTCTTATAGTATAGTTGATACTAGTTCTCACTTCTACATGTTCTAGATACCGAACTTCATGATTGCTGCCTCTGCAACCAGTTGTTGGGATGACGAGTTTGGTTGGATATCCTGATGCTACGGCAGTGTTGTTCATATTCCTTAAAGTAGGTGAGAAAATAATTGCATCAAGTAGATCGACTATGTACTTCTCACTCGATTCAACTATCAGATTATGTTTGGTTTTTAGTCTAACATTGGTAATAGGTAAATAAAAAATATCACGAATGTTGATTGATCTGGCTATTTGTGTAACATTGATTTCCATCCAGCCAATGTTTTTAGGAATAAAATTATTTCCTTAATAAAAATAAGACCGATAAATCAGTTATTTTACCTTTGAATAACATGAACCTTGCAACTTTTCCTCTCTGGAACAGTTACCCATTTGTTGGCAGCTGTGATCAAGCCGTGGGCGTTCATAAGTCCGAATCCGAACCTGTCATTGAACCAAAATCCAGCAGAATTCTGTTGCCAGCCGACGTTGTTCACCAAAGGAGCCAGTTCCGATGTCCAAACTATCAGGTGTTGGACATCTCTCCACGTCAAGTTGATGCTATCGAAATACAATGAAGACTCGTAATAATATACATAATTCTTACATTACAATTAAAAAAAAAATAGGTTCAACTATGTGCTAAAATAAGAAACATTATTAGCTTGGCAGCACTATAAATGAATCAACTGTCAAGACTAGAGGGAAAGCGAATACTAGAGATGGGGGTGTGAGGATGCGTTTCCAAGTATTGGGTGATTCAACGCCATGAGGAATTTGTTAATCAATTCATGAACAAAGTATTCATACCGGAGCTTGGCGGCTTAATTTGTTGCACGCATGAAAGAAATTTGTGGTTATTGTATGTTGATCGAGTTTGATAGTTACTTAACTATCGATCTCACGATGTGCGAAAAAAGACATCTCGCTCCTGGGTGCTTTTTGGTGGAAAATCCTTGGTGCTTGTAGAAAATTTCAGGCTGATATAACAGATAAAAAATAAAAAAATAGATATTTGTAACATAACTTCAAAATAGAGCGCTGATACGGAACAATAGAAAACTATGAAACTCAAGGAGGACATATAGACGTCCTACATTTGAAGAAACGGAAGTTGCAAGCGTGCTCCTGAAAAAAAACTATTTTTAAAAGTTGTACTATTAATTTAATCGACCAAATTATTTTTTGAGAATACTGCCGATTGATCTTGCGCTTTTTGATAACACGTACTTAGCTTCCAATGCTAAAGCAATGATTCCAGCAGCTAGCGGGGCTGATGCAGAAGTTCCAGTGTGTTTGGTCGTACATTCATTGTTGAGGTCTGTTGTAGCCTGTAACATATAAAGGGTTTGAAAAAAATTAGTTACGAACATGTATAACCTAAATTAAATAACTCTCCGTGAGAAATCCTGCGATCGCGCATGACCGTTGCTATGGACAGTGTTGCCAAGTCAAAAAAATAAAATTCACCAGGAATGAAAAATCGCCAGATTTAAAAAAGTTCGCCAGGAATTTTAAAAGTTAATTTTTTAAGCTGTATTAATTAAGCTATTTTAAAAAATATGACTCACAATCATCTGATCCTTATAAGCCCCGGAAGAGTACGTAACAGCCAAAGTGGAAGCACATGCTTCACCGTACCACGGGAATTCCCCTTTCTGTGAAGCACTTCCTATGGATATCGTGTACGGACTCGCAAGGTAACCATCACAGTTGCAGTTGTCGTTGTTTCTACCGCCGTTGCCGGACGCCCAAATGTAGACGGCGCCTTTGCCTTTTCTACCCTACAAAAAAACTTGTCACGCCACTGACAGGAACTATTATAATTAGAAAGCTCACATTGACGCCTTTACCTTACCGCAAACGTAGTTCCAGGATATCTCGCCTCATTGTTGACCGATTCTGATGCAGTTTCCAGGTCCATAATCAGATCAGATGAAAATTGATCGAGATGGAAGTTTGTTTTCTGGGTAAATCGGGTGTGTAGATTCCAAATTCGATGTCGATACATTGCTAGAATTTACAGCTATCCCGAAAAAATAGTTTCTTGTCCACTTTTCACCCTAAATCCAGTCTGATAACACGTTAGAATTTTTTCACTGTGATATTCATATTCAGCGCCCCAAATTACCTCATTGAGCAAAGCTCCGCTCTCATGTAGCCTTCGATAGCAAAAATGGATTTTTAGCACCTTAAAGTCGCAAAAAACGCATAGTTTTGCTATTTTTCGCTAAATAATTAGATCTACATGATACACGGGATCACATACATGTAAAACGACCTCGGATTCGTGGAATAAAGGTCATTTGAACAGAATTTAAAGCATTTTAACATATAATTACCATATATAGGGGTATTTTTACGAAAAAGGCACAAAATGGGTCAGTCGGGAACGTGAACGCAAGATATCTTATAATACGCTTTTTGGGTCGCTGAAACGGAATCTATGGCCCATTCCGTCCGAAAATGCCTCGTTTTCAAGATACTGGCATCAGCGCTGACTTTTTTGTGGAATCTAGTACTTAGTTTCTGAACAGGAAAACTATTTCTGATAGCTAACTTCCAAATTTGATTTCATCTCTTTTCCGGTAGTATCGTAGACAAAAGCCACACGGAAAATGAACTAAACAAGAAGAAAATAGTACACCTTTTCGCATAGCTTTAAATCTAGTCGCAACAGGCATTATCATACGAGATGAATATTTTCATGAAACGCTTTTACCACTGAAGTGGAGCGAGGAACAAGCAGAATCTATCCGAGATCAGTTGAGACGGTTAAGAAACGTTTGTATCTGTCATCTATGCTTCCCCAGTGATCGTGATGACGCCAAAATGACGTCATTATTGAATCGATCGGAAACGTCATTGACTAAAACATGACGTCTTTATTGACGCCATTTTTATGACGACAACAAGACGTGCTTACGTCATATCCACGTCATATCGATTTTATACGTCATATAATTACGTCAATTAGGTGTGATATTAGATCGTCATAATGACGTCATTTCTACGTCGGCGTACCTCAGTGATGTCCTAAAAATGGCGATTGAGCTAGTTCATTCGTGAACTACACACTACTATCTGAAGGAGCGACGATGTATTTATGGTCATTGGTTCCAAGTTGTTTACATCTACTGGTATTGCTTTTATGTATTTTCAATGGAAAAGTAGGTAGAAAGACAGTCGTGGACCCTTTCGTAATTAATAAAATTAATAATTGACGCATTTTAACGGTTCATAACAATTGTGTATTATTACCTCTTTAACGCCCCTTTCTAAAGCCTCAAGAGCCAACCTGCCTGGGCCGTCTACCGTTTTTCCATCGTCGTTTGGTCCCCACGAAGCACTGTATATGTCTACCAAATCTTGCGCGTAACTCAGCGCAGTCCCTTCGATTCTATCGGTTACTAGTCCGTCTAACATCTTGACGCCTGCAAATAAACAAGAATGGCGTCGAGCAGATCGACTAGTGATAAACGAAGTACGTGGATCAAATGCTTTTTGATTCCCGACAAATGTTTTTGACATCACTTAATGTGCAAATATCGAAAAACTATGTTAATGACTTTTTTTCAAGTTTGAGTTCTCCAAATAAGTGTTTAATTATAACTAAAATTATCAGAAACTCGAAAAACATTGAAAAAGCTTTTTCTAATTGGTTATTCTGAGCATAATTGATAACAGGATGTAGTTAGAGGTGCAGAGGTTCTCTGACGACATTTTTTGGGTTGACCTTTAGGTTGCGTTGTTGCCAATGCGGGGCGATGGCGGCCATCTTTGGTAAAATTATGAGTTTCCCGCCAATTGCCGTCTCAAAAATAAGGTTTTCACATTTTTTTTCAGGCACAAGGAGTTTTTCATTTGAATTTACCATCGGAAACATTGATACTTAAGCTATTTTTCTACAAAGAAGTTTGGAATAAGTGCATACCTCCAACTTTAGCATTAAATGCAACTCCTACACCGCATTTCCAGTTGTTGGCGGCCATTGCCGCCTCGCCAGCGCACCGCGTACCGTGACTGTTCGATTGAGAGGCGTCGTATCTTGGATATGGGTCGTTGTCACCTTCGTTACAGTCCCAGCTGATTTCAGGATCCTAACAGAACAGCACCGTTCAAAATATTTCACCTGAAAGCAGCTAAATATTTCTGTGCCACAGCATCCAAGAAAGGGCTGAAAGATATCGGGTTTTCCAATAGGGACTTGGCAACATTCAAATTTCCGCACCTTGAAACTGTCAATGTCAAAACATGCAGTAAAGAAAACATTTTCATCGTGGTGAAGTACACGAACGAACAACGCTAACAAATTAAAATTTACTACCGAAATTCTGAGTCCGTGACTGCAACTTCAAGAGCGTTAACGCGAATTTTTGTCCCAGTAGACAAGAATTCATAGTCTAGTAAACAAATGTGTGGCCGAGCAATTGAAAATTGGGTTCAACGAATGACTATGACTATGAACGAGGTCGGATTCCATACATAAATGTTTTGAGTATATTTCAATTACATAATAAAATCTTCGAGATGTCTCAAATGGTTTGCGTTCCTTAATGGAAAACCCTTATAGCTAGCCCATAGTAGTGAATGAACTTTACGTACTGCTTTTTTAAGTTTTGACCCCAATATACGCATCTTTTATTTATATCTAAAAGATATATCATTTCAATTCATCAAAAATAGTTTGTTTTTCACCTAGTCAAATGTTTCATATCAACTGCATTTCCAATAAATTTATCAAAGCAAAGAAAAACGATACTGCATTTATTCTCTCTGGGATACAAGTACTGCCTTTTTATAGTTTTATCACCTATTATATTGATGAAGTTTTATCGCATTATTCCCCGCTATTCGTCTTCTGTAACTTTAATTTTCTTGACTAAGCTACTAACCATATAAATATGTTCGTAAATAGTTCAAAACTTTGTAATATCAAAACTCCATTTTTATTATCTAATATACACCACTTGGATGATGTTCTGCATGTTCTTTCTGAGAATGTAGATGCTTCGAGGGAATATTCAGGTAAAGACCAGTTCAGAGCCACTATCACCCATGCTTACAATATTTTAAATATACTAAGTGACATATAAATCCGAACACCCAGTTTAAATGGTTTTATTTTAATAAACGTTGGTGAATGGATTTATCTTACTGTAAATAACAAGTGAAAAAATTTTCAGCCTTATCAGTTGGACATTCCGGTTTTTATACTGCTTCTTTTTAATTCACTAACGCTCTAAAAATGAATATTTCAGCCGCAGTAAAGAATCAACGTTGGCGGATTTTGGTTCTTGACATCCTTTACGATCGGTTATTATGCCTAGAGTACGGAGACCTGTACGATTTCGTCAACTTAGTGAGTTTGATAGGGGCCGTATAGTGGGACTTCGGGAAGCTGGACTTTCTTTTCGGGCAATTGCAGTTAGAGTGCAAAGAAGTGTAGACACTGTGGTTAGGTGTTGTCAGGCATGGCTTCGAGAAGGCCGTACGCAAAGAGCAAGGGGCACTGGACGCCGCCGTAGAACAACAGACCGTGAAGATCGCCGCCTAAGATTATTGGCCTTAAGGGACCGTTTCTCCACTACCAGGTCCATTGCAAATGAATGGTTTACAGAACACGGAAGACCTGTTGGCATGCGAAGGGTTTACCGACGAATGAGAAGTTTTGCCTTGTTTTCATACCGGCCACACTGGGTCCTCCCTTTAACTCGAGAACATCGACGTAATCGCCTTGAGTGGTGCAGACAACGGTCACTCTGGGATCGGGAATGGAACAGTATTGTCTTTAGTGACGAGTCTCGATTTTGTTTAGGCATGCACGATGGTCGTGGCAGGGTTATAAGGCGACGTGGTGAAAGGAGGAATCCACAGTTTTTTACATCAACCTATTTGTAATGTACCGCTGATCATTCTGATTTTCAATTATGGCTGTTAATGCAGGACCTATGGCGTCTTCCAGTAATTCCAAATACATTTCACCGGTCAAATTTCCAGGTAAGAAAAAAGGACCAACTTAATGATCGCCAAAAATACCAGCCCAAACATTTAATTTTTGTGGATGCTGTGTATGAACCTCATGATAAATTCTGTTATTAGAATCGGACCAATATCGTCAGTTAGGACGATTTACTACGCCATTTAAGAAAAAGGAACTTTCGTCGGAAAAGCAAGTGTTGCATAGAAAATGTTCATCGTTTATAATTCGTTCACTCATATCTTCACAAAATTGTAATCGCCAATCAAAATCGTCTTCATTAAGTTCTTGTACCAGGTGAATTTTATACGGATGAAAACTATGGGCCTGTAGAATCCGTTGGACAGTTCGTCGACTAACACCACACACAGTCTCCAATTTGAGGGTACTTAACGTAGGATCTACATAAACTTGCCCTAAAACCCCCACTTCTATTGCTTCGTTCCTTATGGGATTTTCAATGTTGCGTTTTTTCTTGGTGACTGACCCAGTTTCCCGAAATTTAGCTACAAGTTCTAGAACATATTTTCGATGCACGTTACTGTTCTCATGTCGCTGATTAAATATTTCTGCTGTTCTATTAGCGCACTGATTATTTCCGAAAAATATTTCGATAATTTCAACTCTTTCTGCTGTGGAATGGTTAATTTATGTAATAAAGCGTTACAAGTTATTTTAGCAACAAAGTTTGGTCAAATCAATCGCAAACTATGTACTAAATTCCTATTTAAAATAAGTACGAGATATTTCCTCATCTTTCTTCAAGAAATAACTTTTTGCCACAAAAAAACGCTCCAATAGCTATTTTAAACAACAAAATGATAAACAAACCATGGGCGTAGTGAAGAAAAGCGTTTACTTATTAAGTAAATTCTTTTAGTCAAATGTCTTCTGAAAATAGTACAAACTAATCTGATGTACCTATTAAAGTCTACTTTAAGCTTAAATCAATAAATCTTCAAAACTACTGAACTGAAGCTCATGTATTTTACATCATTATAAAGGGAATTGAAAGATCTTTAAAATAAGGTATCACTCGACCCCCCTTTCCATTTAAGATTTTAGGGTTGGTGTCACCCCCGCCCAGGGGGCTGCACGTGTTAACGTGATTTTCTGCCAAACCTGTGTCCCCCTCGAAAACAAAATCGACGGGTCTGAGCGTTTTTCCAAAAAAAAAAAACTGACCTGCCAGTAAATGCGTCTGTTTCGTTTTCGATGCGCTTCCCTGTATATTACAGGCTATAAAAAGAAAACTTTGAAAAGAAAATTTAGTAAATAATGTTCATTTAATGACGAATATCCAAGAAACGTAGGATACAAAAAAAGACAGTGTTTTATTTGTCGAATAAGAATTAATTATACATAGTTTCCCTATTAACCTTCAAATTGAAAGTTTGATAATATAATAATTTGAATATTTATTTTTTGACTTGTTAGAATCGAATGAAAAAATAAAAAAATAGAGGGCATGCGTTTGAAAAAAAGAACTTTCAATTTTTTGGGACATCCTATTGTCCACGTTTCTTGTGAATATTTTTGTGAGGCCATTTTTGTCATACGTTTTGTGCATTAAATTTACTTTTCTGTAAATAGATATAGTGACTGATTTCATGCTGCTGGATATGTAATTTTGTTATATTTGTATGTGTTTACGACTTCATAATTGGCTAGACCGAGTTTGATCCAAATATGTTCGGAAATATTAAAAAGCTTAAATATTCTACGTTTTATGAAAAATAACCTCAAAAAGATGTGTGCTGTGTCACCTTTTCGAAAGAATTTATTGGTTTGTTATAATAATCCTCTAATTTTATGCGATGGCAAAAGCCAGTGACACATTCCAGAGCAACTAGATATTTATTGCTAAATTGAATTCCTCAATTTTATTAACTGTACATAAATACTGTTTGCAAATTCTCCGATCCAACCGGATGTCAGGGTCGTTTATTTCAATGAACGCTGGTTTCAGATGGACAAAAAACGTGCGAAAAATGAGAACCTACATAGTTATCCTTCAAATCTTCGTGGGTGTATTCTATTCCATCGTCCAATATCGAGATTCGTACGCCCTCCCCAGTAACACCTTTTCTATAAACTGGCAGCACGTTTAAATCGAGTTTCGGAAGGTCTGTTCTAGATCTGGTATCGCGCTGAAATAAAAAGTATATTCATTTTTTTTTTAAGTAAATATCGGAACATTGCATACCAAATACCACTGTTGGCTCCATAGTTCGTCGTTGAACGTCTTATCTACGCCTGACATCGGTCGTTTGGAAATTTTTTGATTTTCTTCAAACCTTTTCACTCGTTCTTTAGGCCAATCGGCAGGATCAATAGGCAGAAAATCTCGCTTTTGACGAATCTTTCCTCTTTGTTCCTCTGCCCAAACCAGCTAATGTTTAAAACATGTGAGAATTTAGGAGATAATTTTGAGAAAGAAAGCGTGCATCGGAGAAGTGTTAATAAGGAACTGATGCACTAAGAAAAAATTTTCGGTCATTTTAATACACTACAGGTACAGTAGAGAGTGCCCTCTAGCGGCTACAGTAAAACTATGCCCATGGTTCGTTTTGTCGTACCAAAGAACCCTTGTATACCAATTTTCACTGTTATACATCAAATATTGTTCGAAATATTAAAAAAAACTATTTTAGAAAGTAAATTTAAACACCCTGTATTTCTGAAGACACGCATTTTTCGACCCATGTTTATATGGACTTTATGCATTAAAAGTTCTATCGAATCTTAAAGTTATGCAACAATAAACTGAAACACCCATAAAAAAGTTAAAATTTACAAATAAAAAAGGTTTTTCGTGATTTGGCGGCAGTATTTATAATATTTAGCCCTACGGGATCTGAACGAATATTTGTGAACAAAAAAATGTACACCACTAACTTAAATCCCATTTTTATTATATTCTTTGGATTAAACAAATAGAAATACAACTTTCTGTTTCTTAAATTTTTTTCGTATCTTGTTTATTATTCGAGAAAAAATTACACTTAGTTGCAAATCCCTGTACCAAGCAACATGGGTAAACGTATCTTTTGGAACTCGTAATAATTTCAAGGCGCAAATTTTTGCATATATCATTGAATCTTGAATCCGTGCTGCCTATTTTCAGGTACAGACTTGCTTTTACATGTATCCCTTTGCCTTTCTCGCAAAAAGTACAATACTTCATTTTTGAGGAATGAGCTTCATGTTCTTAACAGCAGAATACTTTCGAGATGAATATTAATTTTAGCCTCAGCCATTTGAAAAGCTTACCCTTGCATCATAAACTAACTGTTTCGAGTTTGTTCCTCTTTTTTGATGGCTCTCTCGTACAGGCAACAAAATGTATGTATCAACGAAACCCATGACCTGAAAAATATTAATTTACTGATTGGAATATGAAAATTTGCGTAGTCGTGTATCGAATACGACTAGGATACTCTAAGTTGTATTCATAATGTTTAATATTCCTGAGCTAAATGTTGGCACATATTTTTTAAGCACTCCATAGATAATCCAGGATAATGGACAGATTGTTTGACTAACTAATAAGTAGCGATAAATTTTAATATTATACCCCCGCATTATCGCTCCACGATACTTGATGGTATGTGATGCATTATGCATATAACGCGTATACAGGGTCAGCTTAGTCATTCATTTTAAGTGCTTGTACTGTAGGAGTCGTCAAAAATCACCTATACATGGTGTTCCTTAATGATATGCGAATGTTTAAGGGTGTGGATCTACATGAATAATTAATGTTAGATTGCTTTATAAACTATAGTACAAAAATGTTTCGTTACAAAAACTCGGGGTGTTGAAGTTTTAGGAAAAAAATAGACATTAATTAATATTTTCAGAACCGCTTCACATATTTCACTGATATTTAGTACGTAGTGAAAGTTGATAAGGTTGCATATTTTTCAATGCAAAAATAATTTTTAGCTTTAACAGTCCCGTGGGTACGGGTAGGGGTACGATATTTAAAAAAAAATGGTACGCCAATGGTTTTTTGCCAAATAAAAATTATTTTTGAATTCCCCGTTCAATTTAAAACAAATGATCTCTCTTGAATTGTTTCCTTCCATGCGCCATCTTTGAGTAAAAAAATAAAAACCGTTCTATTGTCCGAGAAAATTATACTAAGTGACATATAAATCCGAACACCTAGTTTAAATGGTTTTATTTTAATAAAATTTTGTATAAGTACTTAATGAAGCATAATAAGTAAATGATCAAAATTTCAAAATGATTGGACTGCTTTAAAGCCCTTTGACCTTTAATAATGTGTGGATGCACCCTGATGTGCTACGCATTCTCCAACGCGCCTAGGCATGCTTCTGATCAGGTGGTCAATGTCCTCCTATGGTATCTCATTCCAGGCAACCACCAACTCCTCTCGAAGTGCTTCTAGAGTCTGAGGAGGACGTTGCAAATTGAGCAATCTCCTACCCATCATATCCCACACGTGCTCAATTGGGGATAAGTCGGGAGATCTTGGTGGCCATGGTAACAATGTGACATCATTATGTTGAAAGAAGTCTATTGTGACTCTTGCAACATGTGGTCGGGCATTATCTTGTTGGAAAGTTGGATCTGCCAGGGTGTTAAGATAGGGTAAAAGATGGGGTTCTAGAATTTCGTGGATATAACGCTGCGCGTTCATGTTACCTCTGATGAAGATTAAAAGGTGACCTGGAACCATAAGCTATAGCACCCCAAACCATAACTCCAACAGTGTGATGAACATGTCTTTCAACAAAAAACTGTGGATTCTTCCTTTCACCACGTCGCCTTCTAACCCTGGCACGATCATCGTGCATGCCTAAACAAAATCGAGACTCGTCATTAAAGACAATACTATTCCATTCCTGATCCCAGAGTGACCGTTGTCTGCACCACTCAAGGCGATTACGTCGGTGTACTCGAGTTAAAGGGAGGACCCAGTGTGGCCGGTATGAAAACAAGCCAAAACTTCTCATTCGTCGGTAAACACTTCGCATGCCAATAGGTCTTCCGTGTTCTGCAAACCATTCATTTGCAATGGACCTGGTAGTGGAGAAACGGTCCCTTAAGGCCAATAATCTTAGGCGGCGATCTTCACGGTCTGTTGTTCTACGGCGGCGTCCAGTGCCCCTTGCTCTTTGCGTACGGCCTTCTCGAAGCCATGCCTGACAACACCTAACCACAGTGTCTACACTTCTTTGCACTCTAACTGCAATTGCCCGAAAAGAAAGTCCAGCTTCCCGAAGTCCCACTATACGGCCCCTATCAAACTCACTAAGTTGACGAAATCGTACAGGTCTCCGTACTCTAGGCATCGTAACCGATCGTAAAGGATGTCAAGAACCAAAATCCGCCAACGTTGATTCTTTACTGCGGCTGAAATATTCATTTTTAGAGCGTTAGTGAATTAAAAAAAAGCAGTATAAAAACCGGAATGTCCAACTGATAAGGCTGAAAATTTTTTCACTTGTTATTTACAGTAAGATAAATACATTCACCAACTTTTATCAAAACAAAACCATTTAAACTGGGTGTTCGGATTTATATGTCACTTAGCATAAATAAGAATTTTATTACACAAATTTTTTGATATTCTCGACTACTGCCATGTAAAATCTTAGCGTCTTTTGTTTACTACACGATGTGGTTTTTGGTATATGAACCTGTTTTAACGAGCTCTATAAGCTGTTAAAATAAATCACTCAACTTTGAAAACAGCCTGAATATCCCTCATTAGACAGTGCAAAATTTTCCTTCTGGATTTTTTTTCATAATCTATTTTTTCGGGTGCCTTTCAACATCATGAATCAATAAGTTTGCTGAGCAGTAAGCCGGTGCAAAGTATGCACTTTTTTTTAGGAAGGTACAAAAGAAATAGCGTGCTGAAAGTGTCATTCCAAACAAACACGCATGCATCATTTTCACAATTCACCGAACACATGTTAAGTTGTAAAAAGATATAATACGAAATTTCTTACCGGACCGATATAGTAGTGACCACTCTTTTCGGCCAAGTGCCTCGCCACCGAAGGTCCACCGTTTACACGTATCACAACCTCCTGGGCATTAGCGATCATCACATGAAATAGACATAAAAATATCATCGTGTTATAATTGATACTCTCTACGAAAATTCCAAGATACATCGCATTTTCACAATGTATTTATAATAACTGATTTCACAACGGGTTTTCTTAGCTTAGTGTTTAAAAATTCACAGCAAATCGAACAATTTTCACGATTCTATGAACACTCAAATACGGGAACGTTGACAATATTTCAAGTGGGTGGTAATTGTATGATGTAGGTAGTTGAAAAGTTATAAAAAACGAAAATCTCATTGCTCGAAGCCGCGTAACATTTGAAACTACATCACAATCTCGGGAGAGAAGAAAATCTGTTGATTACAGTGCGGGGAATAGGCGGGAATATAGTACAGGTGTTGTGAACAGAATTTGGACTGGATTTCAGGGTGAAAATAGAACCGCTAAGATATTTACGAACTACGTTTTTAACATGCTTTTATTAGCTTGTGTGTATATGCAACGGAAGCTTTCAGCATAATTTGGGCTGTTAATAACTTAAATTTTATTATAACTTTATTTTGAGCTCATTAATCATGATTGATTGTTCTACCATCTACGAGCCCCTTCCCACTTCAGTTGGCCCAACTATTGATATCTTATTTTTTTCTTATCAAACACAAATAATAAAAATGTAGCAGGGTGTTATAGGTTTAAAATATTAACAATGAATATTTTGATAATATATAGTAGAAAACACCAACTTTATCACTCCCTAATCAAATTTGCAGTGTAAAAATAACACATGTCGCAATTTCAGCATATCAACCTATTTTCATTTCAATGCAAAATAAGTCTATAACGCATAGGTGGCTGTGAAAAATAAAAACCATGACAATTGTTTTTATTAATCACAGCTGTCAGAATACGTTTAAAATAGTTTTGGGTAGTTAAGCTTTTCAAAATGGGTAGAGGAAAGGTTATTAGTGAGAAAATTCGGTTATTGATAATTAAATTTTTTAATTCTGGGAAATCAAACTCAGAAATCGTTAGACTTATCGCGGTACAGTGTGAGACATATTGTTAACTCGGTCAGTTAATATTAAGCCACGATATGTGAAACAAAGTAATATCAGAAATGCCGACCGAAGAGCATTAAGAAGAATAATCGTGAAAAACAGGCGTGCCAATTATTTACAATTAAGTGCTCTGTGGAGTGACGCTGTTGGAAGGAGAATTTCGAGTTGCACAACTCATAGAGAGGCCCACAAACTGGGATTTAGCACTTGCAAGGTAAGTTTTCTTATAAAAAAAGTGAAGTAAAAACCCTAAAGTTGCACAACTTGTTTACAGGCCAAAGAAAAGCCACTATTAACTCCACTGCAAAAGAAAAATCGGCTTAGATGGGCTAAAGAACGTAGACAATGGACACCTCAACAATGGTGTGCAATATAATGGAGTGATGAGGCCCGATTCGAAGTTTGTGTTGGTGACAGTCGCAGTAGAGTTATTCGCAAAAAAAAATGAAGCATTTCATGTTGATTGTCTGAAGAGAAAAGTGAAATTTCCAGCATCCATTATGGTCTGGGGCAGTATGTCATCAAAAGGAGTAGGAAAACTTCATTTTATTGATGGAAGTGTGGATACAAACAAATATTTGGCAATTTTAGAAGATTCGCTTTTACCAGTGATGGAAGAATGTTTGGCATCCGGCCAAGATTTTGTGTTTCATTAAGGTGGTGCAGCGTGCCATACCTCAAAAAAGGCTATAAGATGAATGGAAGAAAATAATGTACCACTTTTGAAATGGATTTCTAGCAGTTCAGATCTGTCACCTATTGAAACTTTGTGGCACGAGATGAAAAAGGTTCTACGACAACATCACCGAACTGAGACAAAAGCTTCAAGAAATATGGGATTGTTTTACACCAAATTTTTGCCAAAACTTGGTTAACACTATGCCCCAAAGAATTTCAGCCGTAATAAAAAATAAAGGTGATGTTACCCAATGGTAATCTTTCAATTGTTGCTTTGTTAACTTCTAGCATTTATTCGCACATTGTTTATTTGTTCAGATGTTCTATTAGTTATAGATCTAAGTGATTTCAAATATGTATTTTTTACGACTAGAGTGTATCTAAAATGTTTTTGAGAAAATAAATTGTTTTAGGTTTTGTTTCTGGTACAAATTTTGAAGTGGGCCAATTGGGGGTCGTAGTTGGTTAAGGCTTTCGCGGCCAGGTGATAAACTGCTGTCTTGATTCGGGTCTGAAGGCCGTCGTCGGTTGGAATTTCTTCCTAACGTTTCGCTAGCACGAGTGGCAAGCTTCTTCAGAGGTCCTTCCATTTCCGATGCCGGATGTAGACTGTCAGTCATCAATCAACTATTTTCTTATTTTGGAAAGTAATTGATATAAGTTTTCCTATTTGAACTGGTCTATTTTCCCCACCACCTCGATTTTCATTAGACAGAAGAACAATTAATCCTGTTTGTGTCTGCCAATAGCCGGATCGGCAGGGATTTTCATAGCTGATACTCTGACGTTGAACGTCGAGATCCAGCAGAGATTTTCTTAATTTCGATTTATTGCCCTTTAGTGGAAATTGAAATTGGATGATATGTGTATGTTACAAGCGCCAGAGATTTTTTCCATGTTTAAAAACAGGAAATTTAAAAAACTGGATATTAGGCTAGCTGACGAAATTTGGAAAATTGCTTAATAATATACCTTTTAAATTTGAAAAATCTTGCCAATATCTCGCATTTCCTGACTGAACATTTTACCACGGATTCGGTTTCAGTGACCCAAAAAACGTATTTTAAGGAATATTGTATTCACGTTCCCGGCTGACTCATTTTGTGCCTTTTTGGTAACAATACATGGAAATTATACAGGATGGGTCAGAAAGAAGTGCGAATCTCAAAACCGCATTGCCCGTGACAGTCACGCTGAAAAGGACGCGGGTGGTGGGGATAAGTAGCTTGATCATCGAAAATTTAGTCGCCATAGAGCGTTTCGCCGTTGAGCAGCGTCCGTTTTATGTTAAGACTTATTACAAAAATAATAGTTTAAAAAAACTAAAAACTCGCTTTAATAGCTAACCGAGTTGAAAAGTAGAAAATAATTTTTAATTACAAAGAGTTTATACGAGTATTACAGTAGTAGATGGTCGTACAATCAATCATAATCAATGAACTCAAAATAAAATTAAAATAAAATTTAAGTTGTTAACAGAATGACTCAATACAGAGTAAAAAGCGTCCTCTCATAGATAGTTGCCAATAGAATGATGGTAACATTTAATATATCAAGCACCCCACCCTTTTTACGAATTGAATTAATCTGTTAATAACTTAAATTTTATTAAAACTTTCAAAACTTTCAAAACTTTCAAAACTTCCAAAACTTTCAAAACTTTCAAGACTTTCAAAACTTTCACGGCTTTCAAAACTTTGACGGCTTTCAAAGCTTTCAAAAATTTCAAAACATTCAAAACTCTCAAAACTTTCAACACTTTCAAAACTTTCAACACTTTCAAAACTTTCAAAACTTTCAAAACTTTCAAAACTTTCAAAACTTCCAAAACTTTCAAAACTTTCAAAACTTTCAAAACTTTCAAAACTTTCAAAACTTTCAAAACTTTCAAAACTTTCAAAACTTTCAAAACTTTATTTATAAGCTCTCAACCCTGGTAATCCTAGGCACCAATTAACTATATTTTTCACACCATAGATTTTCAAAACTTTTAAAACTTTCACAGCTTTCAAAACTTTTAAATCTTTCAAAACTCTCACAACTTTCAAAACTTACAAGTTTATAAACTTTCAAAACTTTCAAAACTTCCGAGACTTTCAAAACTTTCAAAACTTTCAAAACTTTCAAAACTTTCAAAACTTTCAAAACTTTCAAAACTTTCAAAACTTTCAAAACTTTCAAAACTTTATTTATAAGCTCTCAACCTTGCAATTCTATGCACCAATTAACTAGATTTTTCACACCATAGATTTTCAAAACTTTAAAAACTTTCATAGCTTTCAAAACTTTTAAAACTCTCACAACTTTCAAAACTTTCGAAACTTTCAAAACTTTCGAAACTTTCAAAACTTTCGAAACTTTCAAAACTTTCAAAACTTTCAAAACTTTCAAAACTTTCAAAACTTTCAAAACTTTCAAAACTTTCAAAACTTTCAAAACTTTCGAAACATTCGAAACATTCGAAACTTTCGAAACTTTCGAAACTTTCGAAACTTTCGAAACTTTCAAAACTTTCGAAACTTTCAAAACTTTCCAAACTTTCAAAACTTTCCAAACTTTCCAAACTTTCAAAATTTTCAAGACTTTCAAAACTTTCAAAACTTGAATCAATCATAATTTATGAACTCAAAATAAAATTAAAATAAAATTTAAGTTGTTAACAGAATAACTCAATTCAGAGTAAAAAGCGTCCTCTCATAGATAGTTGCCAATAGAATGGTTGTAACATTTAATATATGCACCCCACTCTTTTTACTCTGAATTGAATTATTCTGTTAATAACTTAAATTTTATTATAATTTTATTTTGAGGTCATTACTTGTGATTGATTGTTCGACCATCTACTACTGTAATATAAAGACGTTAATTATTATTACTATTATTATGTTTACAGGCCCAACTGATAGTCTCCCACTGGGAATAGACGGCACTCTACGCTACTTCGAGCGTCTCATTGCGTATATTCCGCGCCGTCTGTAGGCCAGCCCTAACATTCACCCTGCGCGTATCGATCGTCTGTCGTTTCATCCCCGTCACATGATCGACCCTTAACCGAGAGTGCATGGCGGCACAGAGCCTTCTGCGATTTTGACCATCGTTCCTGGGGTGCGTTAAGTGAATCGAGTGTGCCATGGCCGGTCAGACCATCAACGATAGGCTGCTGGCGGCCAAGCATAGCCTCGCGGGTCAAGGATTGGCCAAGTCAGTGTGCAAGGCCACCACAGAGGAAATATTAGGTATATAGAGTAGACGTGTTATGTCATTTTTTGGATGGGTGAAACTTGGGCTAGTCTGTTATGCGTGCTCGGTTTGATCAATCAGCTGGTGATCACATTCAAATATTGAGGAATCTCGTCTATGACGAGTTCACAACACCAGTGTCACATAGTCATTATTATGAAAAGTTATAAACTTCAAGGTCAAACTTAAGGTAGGACTTGCGGTTGTTCACGATTTATAGAAACTTCTGGCGTTTTTGTATGGCCAAGGGAATATGATGACATATGTCTACTGCTTTGTTAATGAGATAATCCCTAAATATTCAGAGGAGACACAAGCAAAACGAACATTATTATTATTACTGAAATGTTTGTTGATGTAGAATTAAGGAAACATTTGAAAGTACCATTAATTGGACTTCAAGAAAAAAATGATGTTAAGTAGGTTCCCATGGAACAGAGAAATTAAGCGGATCAAGTCAGTCAAACATGCCCATAGACACCTTTTTTCTGCCCTACCGACAGAACCGTCAGTCTGGCAACGTCGCACTTTCCTCTGTTGGGGGTTATAGGGGCGGAGGATCTTGGCATATTTATAAGCTCTCAACCCTGCACCAATTAGCTATATTTTTCACATCATAGATTTTCAAAACTTTTAAAACTTTCACAACTTTCAAAACTTTTAAAACTTTCAAAACTTTCAAAACTTTCAAAACTTTCAAAACTTTCAAAACTTTCAAAACTTTTAAAACTTTCAAAACTTTCAAAACTTACAAGTTTATAAACTTTCAAAACTTTCAAGACTTTCAAAACTTTCAAAACTTTCAAAACTTTGAAAAATTTCGAAACGTTCAAAACTTTCACGGCTTTCAAAACTTTCAAAACTCTCAAAACTCTCAAAACTTTCAAAACTTTTAAAACTTTCACGGCTTTCAAAACTTTCACGGCTGTCAAAGCTTTCAAAACTTTCAAAGCTTTCAAAACTTTCAAAACTTCAAAACTTTGGAAAATTTCAAAACTTTCAAAACTTTCAAAACTTTCAAATCTTTCAAAAATTTCGAAACTTTCGAAACTTTCAAAACTTTCAAAACTCTCAAAACTTTCAAAACTTTCAAAACTTTCAAAACTTTCAAATCTTTCAAAACTTTCAAAACTTTCAAAACTTTGAAAATTTTCAAAACTTTCAAAACTGTCAAAGCTTTCAAAACTTTTTAGCCAATCTACTTGTAGAATCTTATATGTAGGTGTGTTATGACTAAAACAATTTACAGGTCCCAAGAAAAAGCACTTGGACTATTTGGTACATTGCACCAATGAACCTAACGTGTCCATTCCTCAGCTGGCAAATTTACTCATGGAGAGGTCTCAGAACACCAGTTGGGTTGTGGTTTACAAAGCTCTGATAACCACACATCATCTCATGTGCTATGGAAATGAAAGGTAACTTAATATTAAATATATACAACTATTGTGAACTACTATTTAAAAAACGACCTTATTTCAATATTTATAGCTGGTGTTTAAAACTTGATACTCACTATTGGGATCTCGCAATAGATTTTATTTTTCCTCAACTTTCTTTGGGGTAGGATTTCCAAATAACATCAACACATTAACATTTCAAATTTTTCTCCTCTATATGACGTTTGCTTTCTTGTCCCTCAATTATCAACTTGAAGATGACAGCTTATCACATGTTCATTCGATTACATCATAAATTAAAGATTGTTTCATTTTTAACAATATTCAGATAATTTGACAGGACACCTCAGCCATAGGTTGTTATTATTATTTAAATATAAGATGCATCGGTTTAGGTATGACGGATATTAAAATTAAACTGAAGTGTGCAACCTAAAACAGCGTTGAGGCATTTACTTATTCTAAAATGTACCTAGAATTATTTTTTAGGAAATTACTGGTTACGTTTCTACTAAATCTTTTTATAAGGCCTCGCATTATTTCTCAATACTACAAAGAAAATACTTTAAAATTCCCAGTTGCTTCGACAAGCGTGAATCTGCTCGACACTATCGTTCCAGGTTCACCCAATATTTGGCCTCCAGCAACGTGTCCTTCCAACTGTCCAACTTCGTGGACAAAACGGGCGTCCAAAGCGCCGTAGGTGCTCGAACGGGTTACGACATGTCTCCGTTCATCAGGAGATACGCCAAGTACCTTAACGAAAAAGCGTTGTCTTACCGAGCAGTCGCATTTGACTTCTGCAAAGTCAAACGTGGTAAAGAAGAGGGAACTTTAAGAACGATGAACACCGAAAATCTCCTCAAGACGCTGCCCATCCTCCAAAACCAACTTGACGCTTTGTTGGAGTTCGATTGCTCTGTTAGCGATCTGATGAACGGAGTTATCAATATGTGTTTCATGCTGTTGTTCAGGGATTTGATCAGATTGTTCGCCTGTTATAACGACGGAGTCATCAATTTGTTGGAGAAGTATTTTGAGATGAACAAGAAGCAGTGTAGGGAAGCTTTGGACCTGTATAAGAAGTTCCTCATTCGTATGGATAGGGTAGCCGAGTTTCTTAAAGTCGCTGAAAATATAGGTGAGTCTGCTTTGACAAAAAAATTCTCAATTTAGAACATTTAAAGGACTTTGGATGACATACCGACGTGGTTAATGTTCTCGTTACAGGCATCGACAAAGGGGACATACCGGATCTGACTCGCGCCCCGAACAGTCTCCTAGACGCCCTAGAAGCCCACTTAGCGTCCCTGGAAGGCAACACCCCCACCACAACTTCCAATCAAAAGAGTTTGAAGTCGGGAGTCTCCGCTCTTTCACATACCAGCAACTCTTTCGGTGGCGCTGTCGACGACACTTTCAAACAGGTAAAGTTTACATCAGAAAAGGGCTCGTTACATAAACTGTAATTTTATGGTTCGTTGGTCGTATGATATATTTTACTCGGATACTGATACAATGCTTTCTTAAAAAAATAACGAAGGTTGTTCTTATTATTTCTGCGATCCTATTTGGCAACATGGCTTTGATGATGGAAACTGTGTATAAATACGTTAATCAATAATGATAAACAGCTTTATCCCCGCTTATGAGAATGATTCGCTGCCAAACAAACTTGAAGAATAGCAGAACGAAATTTTCAGTTGTTCTTTTCTTTTTAAAGGTACCAATCGTCAAGCCCTATTAACAGCAGGTTGTATAGATCTCGAACATCCCAGTTCTTTTGTCACAAAATTATCTCTGCAAAAAACTAACTGTATTCCACTCATAGGCGGCCTTGGCGGAAGAAGAACAAATGATGAACAATTTCAAAGCGAGCGTCGCGTCACCGGTAGGCGGAGCTGCGACGAACCCCTTCCTAAGCGACGATGAAGCGCCGGCACCGCCTCCCCAGACCAAAGCCGAGCAAATACTCGATCTGTTCGGGGACGGAGGGGGGATGACGCAGACCCAACAGCAACCGGTAAGTAAAAGGCGGCGTTATCGGATCTTGCTTAATTTTGTTCTATCTGATAATTTGTAATACTACAAACGCTTCACAGTTTTATCATCTACGAGTATATGTTTTGGCTATGCCTGGAGCACCAAAATTAAAGGATATTTTACTGTGTTGTGGAAACATTGAACTGTATTGTATTTCTAAGCTATTATCGCTATAGAAAGAAACTGATTCAACAGAAATCCTCAAAGGTCAACGTTTGCGTCTATGGTGAAGATAATGCCTTTTTTGTAAAAGAACACTATTTTTGAAGAACATGATTTGTGGTTCCGTTTCGATTCCTGTTTATTGTTAGACAGAAAGAAACATGACTCGACCCCTCTTTCATATTCCTTTGATGATTTATCGACATAATTGTTTCTGATATTTTCAATAAATAACATATTTGAATGTTCTCCATTGTTTCTTCCTCAGTCACAACCAACGAACGCGTTGGATGACCTCCTTTCACTTGGGATGAATCCCTTCGCGGATTTCGGTGCCACCGTACAGGGCGGTGCCCCTGCTGCTCCGCAAGCCAATGGAACCGACTTCTTCGCTTCAACGAACGCCCCACCCATGGATGCCAGCCAATCACAGCAGAGCAACATGTGGATGGGCGGAGACTTTACGCAGCAGGCTCAAACTGGTTTTCCGCAGACGGTCGGCAACGGTGGAGCGAATATGGGCAATCTTTTCGGTAACATTTTTCTAATTAATTCAGGTCTTTTGCGAATTTTGAGATACGCTGTGTGTGGTTATGCCGGGCGTTTCAAATTAGACCTTTAAGTGTAGTTTTCACTCTTTGGTTAGCCATGCAGTTGTTGTTGGAATGGAAACACCCGGTATTGCAGGAGAAAGATTTATAAAAACGGGAGAATATTCAGAATTTTCGAAATATCCACTATTTCAAAAAATTTGAATATTTCCATTATTTTAAAATTTTCTGTATTTTCGAAATTTTCAAAACCTGCCAAATTCTCAAAATATTTGAAGCTTTTAGAATTTTCAAACAAAATTTTCTAAATTCTCAAAATATTCAAAATTTTTGGAATTTTCAAAATTTTTTGTGTATAGCAAGACAGATTTATAAAAATGGGTATATTTTCAATATATAGCAGGAGACAGACTTAAAAACAGGGAATTTTTCAAAATTGTAAGAATTTTCCAAATTTTCAATATGCGAAATTTTCAAAATTGTCTATTATCTAAATTTTTTAATTGTCTACATTTTAAAAATTTTCTAAATTTTCAATATATTCAATACTGTCTTTGTCAGAATGAATATGTGGTACTTGGAAAACTTTCTTATTAATGCCCCACCAATACGCCCTATTAAGAAAAGTCCCAACTTTTCGGACATCGTGCATATCATTCCAAATAGGAAAACGATTTTTGATACTGTCTTTTTCGGTATAATACTAAGAACTCCTGTTTCTTTGCAAGCAGGCCAGCCAGAGCAATCTGTATTCGATCCAATGGGAGGCAAACCTCCGATGCAACAAACTGTCCAACCTCAACCTCAAGCACAGCCCACCCGACCTCCTCAACCTGCCAAGATCCTCACCGGAGATCTGGAGAGCAGTCTGACCTCGCTTGTAGAAAATTTGACAATGGATTCTGGTAAGAAATACATTAAGCATCAAGAGCCGTAGTCAGCCGTTCCTGCAATTGTAGGCGCCTTATCAGCGACCTATTTTGAGGTTATGTCACAAATATCTATTTGCATCAAATATTGTTCATGCTTTTGATTTATATCACCTGTTATATCAGCTTGAAATTTCCTAAAAGATAACATAGCCCCAAAATAGGAGAGCGCTGACTGATGGATAGAAAAGATTATGAAAATCAAGGAGGCCACAAAGGAGTCCTACAATCGTACTAACCTCTGACGATACGGCCCTAAGCGAATATTATCTATATTTCTCTTTGATAATGCTAATTGACAATGGCAATAAATATCCTCCAAACAATATAACCAAATTTACCATTTTCAGGAAATAAAGGCCAGCAATGGAATTCGCCTAAGAAAATGTCAACAGGAGGTGGGATGCAAGGTGCGTACAAGCCTCCAACTCAACAAATGGTTGGACAACAACCCATGATGGTACCCGGCCAACCAATGCAAGGTAAGAATTATAATGTGGAATAGTGGAATTGGTGGTTGGACGGGGAATTATCGGCCACTTTTCTCGCCGAGGTTTAACGACTTAGCACTAGGCCGGCACGAGAATTGTTGATTGTTGGTAGACGTTCGAAAAAGTTTTTAACTGGAACAAATCCGTGCAAAATTCGAGTTATCGTCTAGCTCTTTCTCCTGAACACGCGTGTGAGATAAATATAGCTGAATCAACAGACCAAAACTTATTATTCTGCTATTTATCTGTATTCTATGATTATTAATACTGCCTGTCTACCAATCTACAATTGACGTAAAGGTGTAGAGATGGGTCAGCGTAGATGTTCTGTGGAGATGGGTGCGACATGGGAAAAGAATAAGCTGCTGAAGGATAATTTAGTTATTTAGCAGTGGACTGTTTTTCGCAGTTAAAAATAGAACAAAATACCCCAAAAATATCCAAAGATTGTATTTTTTTCCAAAAAAATCCCCCAGAACATTTCAAGGAATGTAAAGATCCCCCAAATTTGGGGGAAGATTCCCCAATATGGCAACCCTGGAAAGAGTCAAATCGGGCGTGATAAAAGCACGGAAACAGCCCCGACATTACGTCACACGCAGTCACAGAACTGGTCACGAAATAGCTGATTGACTCGCCGAAAACTCATGATTTTCAAAATTTTGAAAATCTTAAAGATTTCCAAAATTTACAGGATTTTCATAATGACATAATAACCAGGATTTTAAAAATTCTCAATATTTTCAACAATTTCTGATTTTTAAAAATTTTCAAAACTTTCAAAATTTTCTAAATTTTCAAATCTTCAAAATTATCTAAATTCCCCCTTTGGATGGAAGTTTGCAGAAGGCAGCACGGAATAGCTGATCGAACAATTGTGTTATCAAACTACTTCACGCCATATTTTTATTATTAAAACCATATGTTACTCTGTACAAATAAAAAATTCAGTTTTTCACACTACGTACGTTGCAAATTATGCTTTGTTCAATTCACATTGATTTTCTTTCATTTTTCAAAACCGTATCCCACACTGTCACTAATATTCTTCTGCTTATCAGTATCTCTGCTGATCTCGTCTTTTCTGTACCCAAATATCTGAACAAAAACTTTGAAACCTTTCCCATACTGAGTTAATACGTCAAACTCGATGAAGTTCCGGCCAACTCCGCCTCCTGAATAAGTAGGGTAAGACTCTTCACCTTCGGCGCCTTGATCGTAGACGTTGGCGCAGGTTATGTACACGTCACCGGCCACAATCATCTGGAAAAAATCAAACAACCTATCATCGTATTCAATAGGCTACATAATACGTAATACGGTGAAAAATATCGGCCTTGATGTGATGTCATAAAAAAGTAAACAAAGAAACATCATCCAGTAGGTCACTCGTGGACTAAAGTTGTGTTTGAACATTTCTAAAGACATTCTTGTCAACGTAAAAAGCTATCGTGGACTTGGATACATAGAAACCGAAAGTGCAAATAGCCGAAAATTGACACATTGATAGTTGGTGATTTTTTTTCCTCTACTGAGCTGACGAACATCAAGACTTTTATATGAAACAATAAATAAATTACTAATCCCTATAAAAATTATCTTGTCTCTTAAAGGAGCTAAAAACTTAGGAACCATAGCAAAGTTTCAAGCATTTCTGCCAAATTTTTAATACAATGTCTCAAAATCCTCAAGAGCGTACCTATGTTAGTAACTAGCAGTTTCTAGGAAATGTAAAAAAAATAATGAATAAATAATGCAAACATAATTGTAAAAGTAAAGCTTACCTTGATTTTGGCAGTGACGTGACTTTTTTCATCGTTAGTAACAATAACATTTTCTTGATGCAACACCGGGTACTTCTTGGGATAACATCGCCCAATGAACAAATTGTGCGGCTTCTTTAACAATTTATATTCAACTAAAACAATAATTATTATCTGTTTCGCGATTTGAAATATCGACATTTTGAAACAGAAAGCTGCAATCAAAAAGACAAAAATAACACTTACTTCTTGCGGTACTGACATTCCTTGCTTCCACAGTAGTTGTATGTGCCGTAGTATCATTACTTTTAGAAATGATAACATTTCTTTTTTCTACTGTAGGTTTATCAGTGATAAAGATTTTGCTTCTGTTACTCATGGAATATCTTTTATACTGTCTATCCGACATACTTTTTCCTGCACTTTGGTCTTGCCTTTTTGTATCTATTTGTTTCCCTTTTTTCGAATTGAATATGTTATTATTGTTCGCAGCACTTGTTTTGTGCTTTCTTTCCAACATATTTTTCTCTGAAATACCTCTAGTAGTTGTCATATTCCCAATCTTTACTTCTGGCTTTTGCCTTGCGATATTTTTTATATTTTCTGTGCGATTATTGAACTGTCTCCTGTCCAACCTATTGACACTTCTTTCAACTCCTATTCTGCTTATGTTTGCACGTTCAAGTGTACTTGGGATACCTGATAAAATCGATAAAGTTGCGAAAATGATCAGGTAGCGCTTCATAATGCGTTGATAGTTGGAACAACAAGGATCTAGTGTCGATTGAAGTTTATTTTGCTGTTTGGTGTCGAAAGGGTTATCTTGAAGCCGTTAACTCTAATTTTTATATATTATAATGGGACAATAGACGATGAATGATGCTTATGGATAACTATATATTTATTGACATTTAACTTACAATTAACTGTTTGTCTATGTGGGTGGTTAGTTGGTCAAACAAATACCGTCAAGTTGTACAACTACAACTCTTAACTTTTGTTTGTTTAAGATTTTTTCAGTATGATCACTACAATTACATTCTTTAAAAAAAACTTCTCGTATATAATATACAAATATTTAGAAAAACAAAGCATGTACCTCTAAACGCCGTCTACTACGATACGAAATTTTTTGATTTAGTTACTTTTAAAATGGTAGTGTTTTTCGGATGTTAAATTATTTCTGTAGGTCTGTTTGTCGGTCTGTCCGTTTATTCTATAACCGCCTATAACTTGAGAAGTGTTACTCGGATTTTGATAAAATTTTTACACAAGGTTGCTACTATGACACCGTCGAAAAGGCTAAGTAGTTTTTGAAAATCGGTCGAGTGACGGCGAAGAAAAAAGCCAAAAACGAAAAACATAAAAATCGCTTCATTTTTTTATTTGTCACATTTCGGAACGTTTTGAATGACATTTTTTGTTCATTTCAGGTCAGCCCATGATGGGCATATCCCGAGAATTCGAACAACCTTTCACAGGCAGCCCTAAAATCGCCCAAGCAGCCCCTCCGAACCAAGAAGTCACCTTCGATCCTTTCGGTGCTCTATAGTGATACTTTCATCGAGTCGAAAAAAGATATACACTTTACGCGCATGCATGTCATTTGTGTTGATAGCTTATCCTAACATAAACAGATACAAATATGGTTCTTTGATGTCTCCTAAATCTCCCAAATCAAAAATAGGGTAACCATTGATTAACTAAGATGGAGATGGCCTACCGGATATTGTAATCCAGGGTCCAAAAAAGGATCTGAGAGAGCCGAACACGTATACAAACTTAGGGGACGTAGAACCTGGGGTACCTGGATCCCTAATAGGAAATATGTTCTACGCCACTGACATTTTTAGAGATAAGAAGTGCATTTTATAAAACACCATTAAATTTTCCATAATTTTTGTCTTTTAAAGAATTTTAGTTAGATGACTCGTTCTGGAGATCTTTCGTTTTGAATATTTGAGGTACAATCCTAAAACACTCTCATATACAGGGTGTCCGCAAAGTTGGGGTTTTCCTTTTCAGAAACAACTACCCTTGAAATAGCAAAGGTAATGTGTAGTGATACGAGGGCGACCAAGTAAAAAAAAATAAAGGAAAAAGTACTCACTCTCCAGTCGACGAGAAGGGCTAAGTACGTCTCTGCCCGAAATCATACCGCTCCAACAGAAAATGAAATCAGCTGATGCGCTACCGAGCAGACGCAGAAACCACATCGATTGTCTTACACCTAATGGCACATCTTCTAACAAGGAAGGCAAAATGTTGCGTAAAAAGTCTAGGTATTGCATCCCGTCTAATCGATTTGGGAGAATAAATGGTCCAATGAGCATACCGTTCACCATGCCAGCCCAAACATTCACCGAAAATGTTTGTTGAAAATGTGCCCGACGGACAGCGTGCGGATTTTCTACTGACCAAACATGAGTGTTGCGAAAGTTATTCACCCCATTACGCGTAAACGTAGATTCGTCTGTCACCAATATGCACTTCAAAAAGTCCAGATTATTGTCATGTTGATGCAACAACCACTCACAAAACCGCACTCTTGCTGGAAAATCGTCAGGTTGAAGGGCTTGTACACGTTGGACGTGAAACGGATACAGCCCCTCTTCACGCAGCGTTTGCCACACTTTAGTTTTTGATACTTGCACTTCTCTAGCCACGTCTCTAGTGCTTGTTGAGCGATTCTCGTCTACGCGATTACCTCTACACACGTGACCGTAACCGTCGGTTGAAGGTTGCATACTGACCTGACACACTGACCCCGACCCAGTTCTGTCGTCGGGTTGAGCCAGTGACCTTGTACCAGTCGGTGATGTCGCGGCTACAGGGCGGTATTCAGATATTTTTGATGTTGCAGAGCCCTTTATCCCGGTTCCCTTAAGACATTGGTGTATATGGTACTAAGAAAAATTGCTTATGTTTTCAAGATCTACACGTCGTGTAAAGGAAAACTACAACTTTGCGGACACCCTGTATATTTAAAATTTAGTAAATAAAACTTCAGTTCAGCATCCTTGGACCCACATTTACGAATACTTTTCGGTTTGGTTTGGTTGTTCTTTCTGCAACACTCTTTATAGGAGTCTACCTTCAAAAGTGCTTGTTGCTACTATCTCATAGGAGGTGCTGGCATCTTCAATCCCCTTTTCGCGCCATTTTGAGTGTCGTATTCAACCGGATCAGAATAAAGTTGCGCGTATAAAAGTCCTCGACGAGTTGTGACATCACTGAACCCAAAATAATTTTCTTCGATAATAAAATCCTATTCGCATTAGTATATCTTGGACGTATTTGTGGTATAGATGAACCAATTATTTGTCGAAGAAACGAATCACGAAACTGGATTAACAGAAAACGTATACTTTGTAGTAAAAAGCGTTACTGACGTTTCGGTTGCTTCTTTGTGAAGTACCACATATCCCACATTCGCGAAGTACTTCTTTGGTATATGCTTAGATAAAACTAAAGATTTCGTGATTGCATAAATGAGTGAGATGTTAGTATTACAGCTTGTAGGGTTATATACAGGGTGAACTTTGTGAAACCTGCAATGGCACAAGGAATTCAAACCAGGATGATTCAGGATGAAAGTGGACTTGACATAAGTCAGTTTTTTGACAGTCCTGTCATGAAAGTCGCTGTCACTTTGACTGGCAATGATAGTCAAATGGAACAAAAGTGTGCACTAAGTATACGCGATGTCGGCGACAATCCTTTTGAATTCAAATTGGTTTTTAATTGTCAGGTTTTCTAAAGAGTGAATGTAAACATCCTACAAGGATAGCATAGCATAGAGAAATTATAAAAAGTAAGATGGATATTGAAAAAAAGATACGATTAGTGTAATAATAGTTTCAGTATACAACAAAAACGTGAATTTCAAATATATGTAATGTACAAAAACATTATAGATATTATGTACAAAATAATCATTAGGTAGCTGTGTACATCCTAGGAAAAGAGATTCGAAGGAATATTTAGGTGTAAGACTGTACCCTTGACAAATAAAAGAGATGTTATGTATATGGTAAACGTTATACCACTGTACTTTACATATTCCCCGACAGTAGGGAGTTGCAAGTATAGCGGACCCTCAAGGGAGTATCTTGTTATTTTTGTCTTCTGGATAACTCATCAGATTTCGCATAATATATTTATCAGTTTTGTTATTGAGATACTTATTTTGGCGGTGAATAAATGCTAATGAAAAAGCAAGGTGTTGTATTATTTCAAATCGATCCCCTACATTAAAAAATATGGCGTCAAGCCAACAGACAGACCGATTGGACTTTGAATTTGAACATTAAGCATCATTCTGGGGCTTTTAAGGGCCTGCTCCGCCCTGAGAAAATCTGCTTTTCAAAACGTTTTTGGAGCAGGTACGCTTTCACAAAAGCTTATCTCTCGCCGATGCTAGACCTCACTTCTGAGAAACATTTCTGCAGGTTCCCGTACATATAAACTTCAAAACCGCACAGGCACGCGACGGCATGTAACAAATTTCTTGACAGAACTTTTTTGTTTGTTTTCCATGAATCCATCATTCTACAAAGTCGTAAATCAAAAATTTTGACAGTATTTGTCAATCTAATAAATCATTTTATCCAAGGTACGAGCTAACGAAATTACCGTATATGGCTACAATAATAGATACTCTCTCTCAATATTATTTTTTCCTGATCCTGATTGTAGTACTGATATCCTTGTATCTGTACGATAAGTATTGGTGTAAAACCATTGGGCAGCTGTATTATCCAAACGCATTTTCTTATGGATATTCCGGTTCAAACGGTAAGTAGATGAGAATATTTTTCATATTTCACGCTTTTTCAAATATTGAGTAGCTCATATACAGCAAACTATCAAAGCTTAAGAAACTTCGTTCGGAGCCAAAAAATACTTTTGTGAGATTTGTTCAACAAATTGTTTACGCAATTTTGGGCCTGGCAGCATGAAGATCCGATTGTTATTCAAAAAATGTCATCAAGTAAATTAACTATATACTTCCTAGAGCTTCGTTGGAGGTTCTCAAGAAAAGGGATCAGTCAGTCATCTGAAAATGAGCAGGAATCTTCCGACGATTTTATTTCCGCCATGTCTGAAACAATTTTAAAAATCTACGACTACCTAAATGACGGATGTATTAAACTCGCGATAATATTCGAACTTCGGTTCAAAAGTCTTCCATTGCATTTATGTTGATTTGTCAGTTGTATATCAATGCATCATAACTACTGAGTCAGTCTACTAGACGGAGTACCACAAATTACAGGTTAGGCGAATACATTCCATAGATCCCCATAATCCCTAATTATAATTTTGTTCACATATGTCCATACGAACATTTTTTCCAATTTGTTTAAATTTCATTCCGCGCATTCTTAACCGCAACGTTGGAAAAAGTATGAAATGTACAGAAATATCCCCAACTGGTGCACAATTGCGCTGTTGCAGTATTCGTCGGTCGTCCCGCGACGGCTGGCCAGCTTCTCACATCGCACAAAATCAAACCGCCTGATCGCCGTTTCAACCCGGCAGCTAACTCGATCTCTGCATGGCCATAGTTGGGTACGAGTATGTAGATGTAGCGGTAAGATTGCTGGATTAGGATACATAGGTCCCGAGTTCGATCCTGGGAGACAAGAGTTTTTTTAACCTTTTTGTTCGTTAAAATAAATACCTTATGCCGAGATATTATGTAAGAGATACAAAACACATTTGAAATCTCATAAAACCTGATTACAGCATTCGTAAACGGTACCTGTATCACTCACATGCGCTTCCTGTTGCTCTGTTTTAAATAATATTGAGCAAAGAAAGCATAATATTATAAATAAAATCCGATGCAGATGTATCGATATGATATCAGCTGTAAATCTTCTTAAATGTGTTAAGTAATCTAAGCATGATTTAAGAGACGGTTCGACCATATACATATAGTCGAAATCACGGACGATTACGTCATCATTTTAGTCTGTAGTACAGACAAAAGACAGCGATTTGTGAATACATTTAATGAAGTTTCTGATATGTTAGACAGAGACAAGCAGAATTTTATTGTCTAAACAAACTGTATTGCTAATTTGCATGTATCGGACAAAGATAGACGATGTTTTCATGTTGCATGATCGCTCATATTTGACAGATGAATATTTTAGGTTATGTTAAAGTAGGATAGGTTGTTTTCGAATAATACTTTGGTCTTTGGTGTTCCTGTCTTAAGGTATTCTATTCATAACTGTTTTTTTCAAAACAAAAACTCCCCACTAAAATTATTATTACGGTATCACTCAAAACCATGAAATAAAATGAAAATAAATATAATCAGTGAAATAACCTAACTTCGCAAAATCATAATATAAAATTGTTGTCATTATGTTTCTGACTCGTGATTTTATCATCGACGTACGTCCATTGATTACTTCAGCTTCAGTACAATTTATGGCATGACGTAATAGTCATCTTTCGTGATTTTGACTATATTCACTTATATGGGGTTGTCCAAAAAGGACGCTGGAAAGTAAACGAATATTAAAACAAGAAAGACTGGTATTCAAATCAAGTTGGGTACTTTATTTTTAAGGTTCATTTATACGATTTATGTATGAAAAATAATATCGCTCAAATGTTCACCACGACTGGATTTACAGACGACCACGCGATGGTCGAAATTTTCAATGACATTTTGCAACATGGTCGGTTCTATGGCATTTATCTCGGCAATGATGTTGTTTTTGAGTTCTTGGAGGGTGGCTGGTTTGTTGACGTAGACTTTGCTTTTCAAATATCCCCATAAAAAGAAGTCCAAGGGAGTCAAATCGCACGATCTTGGTGGCCATGGCACATTTCCTCCTTTTGACCACAATGCACACCACACAGTCACTTTTTGAGGATGCATCGGCTGCTCTTGATACTCACGGGGATTTTCGTTCGCCCAGATGCGGCAGTTTTGCTTGTTTACCGTCCCATTCAAAGTGAAATGCGCTTCGTCGCTGAACATGATTTTTAATGAAAAATTGGCATCAATTTGGCGGTGTTCTAGGAGCCAATCTGAGAAAGTTCGGCGCGAAAAATGGTCGGCCCAACACAGCACTTGCGTCAATTGGATCTTGTAGGCGTGTACATTCAAATCCTTGTGGAGAATGCGGAGCAAACTGGTTCTCGAAATGCCCAATACAACAGCAATATTTTCCGGTGTGCGAACGCTCCTTGGCCGGCCAGAGCCTGGCAGATTTGCCACAAAATCTGTTGCCTCGAATTTACGCACTAGACGACCGATGGTTGTTTCGTTTGGGCGGTTGTTGCGACCGAAATGTTCACGAAGCGCGCGAAACGTGTTTTTTATTTTTGCACCATTTTTGTAGTGCTCTTGAATAACTTTAATGCGGTCTTCAATCGAATACGACTCCATAGCGATCAACGGTGAACATTCAACTAACAAAATGACATGTCGGTGACAGAAAACAAAGATGGCGTCTATGTCAAATTAACGTTTACTTTCCTGCGTCCCGATTGGATAACCCTTTATATCTATTTTACAGACAGAAAGACCATCGGAAATAAGTGACATGCTTTTTCGTGATTCCGTTTTCAGGTCCCTGTCGGTGGAAAGATGTTTTTCCTGCGGCAAACGGGGAAAGGCAGTCTCCGATCAACATTGTGGATAGATGTGCCATTTCTGTACCAGCTGAAACAGTGTGTCCTTTGAATTTTTCGCCAGAGTTTCACTGTATGCCTTCTGAAATGAAACTGCATAATGATGGAAACAGTCGTAAGAAAGAATTTCAATTGAATAGATTTGAATTTAAAAAATAATCAACAGAGGATTGCGTGAGGTATCGGATATATTTGAACGAACATTTTAAAACGATTTGGAATTGGACATTCAGTTAGATTTGACAGGTGCATTATTAAAAGACAATTATTTAAAATGTTTCCAATTTGTTTGTTGAAGATTTTAATGCTATCAGATCAGTTTTTTTGAATCAATTTTCTGTAATTTTACATTTGTCTCAAAAAACGACTAACAAAAAATTTCCAAAAAACTGTTGGGCGTGTATTAACTGGATAAAAGCTCGTTTTCTAAGTAAATCGAGTTCGTAGATTCCGAATTCGATGCTAGGAACCGGATAAGATTCATTATTATTTTAGTTGTTCTTTGTGCCCAATGGGCTTGTCAGAAACGCCCCCACCTGAGCGGGGGCCCCTTGGAGGGCAATTACCGGTTCGTCAACCTGCGTTTCCGATGGGGTCCCAACGACTACGAGGGGTCCGAACACATGCTAAACTGCACCAGGTACGCCATGGAGGTGCAGGCGGCCTTCGTGAAGACCTCTATGAAGAGAGATGACGTCTTGGAAGCGGCTCGGTGTGGCTGGTTAGTCATGCTCAGTTATGTCTTCATGGTGAGTTTCGATAATAATAAGAAATCCTCGTGCGTCTGGCAACCCTGGGTCTGTCATACGAGCACCGCGCAGCGTTGCCAGATCGCTTGCAGTGTTGCCGGCCTCATTATTTTCCGTCACATCTCGTATATGGGTGTAAAACTAGTACATTTTTTCCTCCACAGGTGACCCCGATAGAGAACCCGTATTTAGAGCCCATAATCAAAGCCGTGCACTGCCTGAAATGTCCATTTAGCTACGTCAGCGTACAACCCGTCATTCTATCTCTGCTCATGCCAGAATTCTATCGCGATTACTACTCGTACATCGGCTCGCTGTCCTATCCTCCCTGCACGGAAGGTGTCCGGTGGATTGTTAAGCCGGAGCCGTTGATGATATCTTCCGGGCAGCTGGACAAGTTCCGCAAGTTGCATGGAGTTTCCGGGGTTATGGACAACAACACCAGGCCTGTACAGATGGTGAATAACAGAGATGTCACGTATTACGATTGACAAAGTTATTCAATAAATAGATACGTACTAGAATGGTCTTTCATTTTTACTTCCCGCGCTACAGGCGAGGAAGTAATGTGATAGCGGAAAATTTCGATAATTAGATATTACTTTTTTCGGATGTTGTTAATAGTGTGTATTTATAATCTTATCCTATTTATATTACAAAAAGTATCAAGTAAAGCAAGTCTACTTGAATTCTAAAGTTCTTTATACATATAGAAAGACGTAAAAACTATAATACTTGACTTGGTATCAGATTGCAGTCAAGACAAATAGCTTTAAAATCAAAGTAACTAGTTAAACCCCGTTCATACTAATGTATACTAAGTGACATATAAATCCGAACACCCAGTTTAAATGGTTTTATTTTAATAAAATTTTGTATAAGTACTTAATGAAGCATAATGATTGCACTGCTTTAAAGCCCTTTGACCTTTAATAATGTATGGATGCACCTTGATGTGCTACGCATTCTCCAACGCGCCTAGGAATGCTTCTGATCAGGTGGTCAATGTCCTCCTGTGGTATCTCATTCCAGGCAACCACCAACTCCTCTCGGAGTGCTTCTAGAGTCTGAGGGGGACGTTGCAAATTGAGCAACAGTGTCATGAACATGTCTTTCAACAAAAAACTGTGGATTCCTCCTTTCACCACGTTGCCTTCTAACCCTGGCACGACCATCGTGCATGCCTAAACAAAATTGAGACTCGTCACTAAAGACAATACTGTTCCATTCCTGATCCCAGAGTGACCGTTGTCTGCACCACTCAAGGCGATTACGTCGGTGTTCTCGAGTTAAAGGGAGGACCCAGTGTGGGCGGTATGAAAACAAACCAAAACTTCTCATTCGTTGGAGTTATGGTTTGGGGTGATATAGCTTATGGTTCCAGGTCACCTTTAATCTTCATCAGAGGTAACATGAACGCGCAGCGTTATATCCACGAAGTTCTAGAACCCCATCTTTTACCCTATCTTGACACCCTGGCAGATCCAACTTTCCAACAAGATAATGCCCGACCACATGTTGCAAGAGTCACAATAGACTTCTTTCAACATAATGATGTCACATTGTTACCATGGCCACCAAGATCTCCCGACTTATCCCCAATTGAGCACGTGTGGGATATGATGGGTAGGCGATTGCTCTATTTGCAACGTCCTCCTCAGACTCTAGAAGCACTTCGGGAGGAGTTGGTGGTTGCTTGGAATGAGATACCACAGGGGGACATTGACCACCTGATCAGAAGCATGCCTAGGCGCGTTGGAGAATGCGTAGCACATCAGGGTGCATCCACAGATTATTAAAGGTCAAAGGGCTTTAAAGCAGTGCAATCATTTTGAAATTTTTATCATTTACTTATTATGCTTCATTAAGTACTTATACAAAATTTTATTAAAATAAAACCATTTAAACTGGGTGTTCGGATTTATATGTCACTTAGTATATAATACCTTTTTGGACAGATTATTATAGTAGCGGTATTTAAAGATAGACACAGTTTTGTTCTAAGTTGAAGACGAATACCTCTCAAGTTTTCGTTTTATTGTGTTTAGTATTTTTTATGATGGTATCTGCTTAATTTAAGTATACACCACGAGAATCAATCAAATTCTCTTGCTTTTCTCACGAAAGTTTTGTAATTATTCAGACATGAATGCCTAATTTTGGGAAATTGTTGATATATCACAAAAAATGAAAAAAATAATTTTTTTGTTTAACCAAGGGAGACAAAGTTTTGTCTCTATAGGCGATCTGGATAATTTTCAGGTTACTATACGTGAGGAATAAAGTACGATAGATACGTCGTCACCGTATAATCAATATTTTATAATCACATTTCAATGTAGCAGCTTCACAAATGTGGACATCGTCGATCTTTAACGTAATACTAAAAGTCGCACCACTGAAAATACTAACAATATCCGACAATACAGAAATTTTTTCTTGGTACAACGTCTCTAATTCAACACGTATCCTAACATTCGCGTTTTCTACAATCAAACACTTTGTCTCTAAAAAATGCTGATTCGTCTCTTTAACATATTCGGTTCGTATCAAAAACAACATGTCTTCCTGCCTATACAAATACACGTCACTAAAGTCTTTGCTCATATCCAAACTGAAGCGTGAGTCTTCTTCACAAAGGAACTTGTTATGGACTGTCTTGAAATGCACCACCAATTGAGACCCGATCCCCCGAAAACCACAGGGACATAGATGCACCTTTTTTCTACAAATCTCTTCATGCCGCTCGATCCCAGAAAAACTCAGCAATTCCCGGCAGCCGTCGAATCTGTTGATGCAAGGAAAGAGGCTGTCTCTAGTTATGTGACCCAAAATACCAAAAGGTATGTCTTCGGGCGTGACGAAATTCAGATCGCATATAAAAAGCGTAGAACTTGGTATCATTTCTTTGTTTGCAATGCACCGTCCACATATATTTCCTCCATTTTCGTGGATTCCTATAGGGCTGACCGACAGATACCTGAGGCACTTCTTGCAATACGAAAGGTCCAGGATAACGTCTGGGATGATCTTTGGATTGAGGTCCATTTTGAGGTCAACCAGTTACCTGAGAAGTAGAAGAGATTTTCTTTTAACGAATCAATAGACAAGTTACGTTCACACGGGATGATCCGGGTTCACACCACTATATACAGGGTGTCCCGTGACAAGATAACAATGTACAAAGGACGCTATAAACGGTTTTTTAACGATGAGGATCTTCTTAGGGCTTTTGACGAGTGTGGCGTGTGTGTGAAACTCGGCAGAGCTGGCTTAAGGCGAATGTGACTGTGATGGAAATTACTTTGAACGGAGTCAATAAATAAAGCTATATTGCACAGTACCCAATATAAAGAATCATCATTCAAGGAGATCATCTTTGGACCCGTTTTAAGAACGAAAGCACCATATGTTGAACGGCTTAACTTTTCAGATACAGGATGGTCAAATTTTCCAAAAACAATCTGGCACGTCACTGACTTCTTAGAATATAAGAAAGAAATCTGTATTCATTTATGAGCATATTTGATCTCTAGAATTTCTTTAGTAAAAAGATGAAGATATGAAAAACCGGATTCTCAGTTGGCCAGCCTGTACATGTATGTCAAATTTCATTAGAATATAGAAAGTCGTATTAAAGATCTTAATAATAATAGAAAAGTTTGCCCGTGCTCGCTATGGCGAGGTCCTGGCGGATCTTCTGCGTCTGCCATGATGATAAAGAAACCACTCGAAATGAACTGTGAAACCCGAAAATAATAATCGTGCGTAAAACGTTTGCGCGTACGCAGTAGTTGATACCAACTAAACCTAATTCTCACTCGGCGTGCGGCGATGGCGTAACTACAATGATGAATAATAACAGCTCCCTCTCTCCCACTCCTCCACTAAGTCAGCTCTTCTCGCTCGCTTCCTCGTCGAGCCGATGCCATAAAACAATCATGGCATGCGAGTCCTTTGAGGACAGTAACGACTTGTTCAAACAGGTAATACAAATTCCCTAAAAATCCAGCCTCTGTGTGTGTCATTGTTGTTTCTCTGCATGTAATAATTGAACGCTTAATACCTCAAACGAAAGCTTGTTAGATAGAGATATTATTTACATAGTTTGCACATTTCATTACTAGGAGATTTTTTACAGAAAATCGCATTTTTTATCGCATAAGTTAGTAAAAAAAAGAAAATGATACATTTAAAAAGCGTAATTTTAAAACGTTTGTAGCTTTTCAACATTTTATTACTTATTATGAACTATTGGAGTGTCTGCTATGCGACGATAACAAAAAACTGAAAATCAAGCATGCAGTTTTTTTGTATTTCAATTTTAACCGTCTGAAATCGGAATAAAAAATAAAAAACTCAAAATTCAAATAACTCAATAATGGTTAACTTTTGGATAAGACATGATAGGATAAAATCGGTTGCTTTTGACCTAATCTATCACCCCTCAACAGGAATCCGTAACATTACAAGTCACCATATCCAAAGCATTGCCCTCTTCCTGTGGCACATCGTCTACTCCTGCGTCGTATATACAGGGTGTTTGGTGCATCGTTAGTCAAATTGAAATGGCGGACAGAGGAGGTCTTTTTCTATCACCCCAGGTCCCTCAAACAGTTTTTAGCCCAACCCATTCAGATAAATTAATCAATAGGTGGACATACTCTTTATTTTTTTATTTCACTTTGTGTGTAAAAAAATTAAAAAATCTACATAATTAATGCCGTTGGGCTAAAAACTGTTTGAGGGACCTGGGGAGATAGAAAAAGACCTCGCAAACGATGCACCAAACACCCTGTACAAAAATACAAAACTGAAATATCCCTGCAACTCACCCACAGTTTGATCACTGAACAACGCCGAGATGCACTAATAAAACAATATCTCGCATATTATTTATAAATGTTTACAAATTCCAGATGTAGCGTAAAGTGAAAGTGATTTTAAACCTTACTGCTTCACTACACAGAGATAGAAATGAAATAACATTCTGTGCATGCGATTTCGATGATTCCACGTTATGAATACACAAAGAACAGTCGAGCTTCCTTGTTTTTTCTTCATTCAAGGATATCTGAACTATGAATTGATTAAGGATTTAAAAATAGTGCGATTCTCTTGTTAGTCTGTAGGCGAAGTAGCTAAGCCAGAAGAACGATACAGGGTGTTCCGTAAATATCACGTTCAAGGCGTTATACCCTGGAATACTGTGAAAGCTTTAGATTCTCATCAACCTCACTGATCTGGTAGACGTATGAAAATACCTTTGATCAGATGGCTAAAAAAGTTGTTCGTATTAGGTTAAATGAAGAAATCCTGAACAAACTGTTATAGATCGAAAAAATACGCAAATATACAGGGTATCCGCGAAGTTGGGGTTTTCCTTTACACGACGTGTAGATCTTGAAAACATAAGCAATTTTTCTTAGTACCATATACACCAATGTCTTAAGGGAACCGAGATAAAGGGCTCTGCAACATCAAAAATATCTGAATACTATCCTGTAGCCGCGACCCGCGACATCACCGACTGGTACAAGGTCACTGGCTCAACCCGACGACAGAACTGGGTCGGGGTCAGTGTGTCAGGTCAGTATGCAGCCTTCAACCGACGGTTACGGTCACGCGTGTAGAGGTAAACGAACCCGTATAATCGATTGCGTTTCAAAAAACAACAAGCACTAGAGACGTGGCTAGAGAAGTGCAAGTATCAAAAACTAAAGTGTGACAAACGCTGCGTGAAGAGGGGCTGTATCCGTTTCACGTCCAACGTGTAGAAGCCCTTCAACCTGACGATTTTCCAGCAAGAGTGCGGTTTTGTGAGTGGTTGTTGCATCAACATGACAATAATCCGGTCTTTTTGAAGTGCATATTGGTGACAGACGAATCTATGTTCAAGCGTAATGGCGTGAATAACTTTCACAACACTCATGTTTGGTCAGTTGAAAATCCGCACGCTGTCCGTCGGGCACATTTTCAACAAACATTTTCGGTGAATGTTTGGGCTGGCATGGTGAACGGTATGCTCATTGGACCATTTATTCTCCCAAATCGATTGGACGGGATGCACTTTACGCCCTAGAATTTTTACGCAACATTTTGCCTTCCTTGTTAGAAGATGTGCCATTAAGTGTAAGACAATCAATGTGGTTTCTGCACGATGGTGCAAAGCCCCATTTTAGACGCGAAGTGCGTGAGTTTTTGAATGAATTATTTCCGAATAGGTGGATCGGACGTAATGGACCCGTAGCGTGGCCTCCGCGATCTCCAGACTTAACACCATGTGATTTTTTTCTTTGGGGAGAAATGAAACGCTTAGTGTACATCATACGGTTGACGAACGGAATTGAACAAGCTGGTGCTTTCATTCGGGGGAGGGACTCCACTCTCAAAGCCTGCACCGACGCTTGGCTACGTCGTGCACGCACCTGTGTTTTTGAATCAAACGGCGATAACTTCGAATAATACCTATAAAGTACGTTTACCTAAAAACTGAAAACGCGGCAACGCCGTCATATTTGTTACCTCTGTTCGTGGTCTGCACCACCGCCGGCGTCTGCTCGGTAGCGCATCAGCTGATTTCATTTTCTGTTGGAGCGGTATGATTTCGGGCAGAGACGTACTTAGCCCTTCTCGTCAACTGGAGAGTGAGTACTTTTTCCTTTATTTTTTTTTACTTGGTCGCCCTCGTTTCACTACACATTACCTTTGTTATTTCAAGGGTAGTTGTTTCTGAAAACTTTGCGGACACCCTGTATAATAATTTGTTGAAAATATACTCAGTGACGTTAAAAGTATTACATTCAAGAAAAAATATTTCTCGAACTTGTTTTGGCAACATTATGACTATACAGGGTGTAAACGTCGCTAGAATGTTTTTAAAAAAATCCAGATTTTCAATGTTTTTGTGCAAAAACCACTGACAGAATGAATGTTAGTCTGCGAGGATAGTCTTCTGGTAACAAGGCCTGCAATCGTTGTACATATGGACTGTATGCGCTGGTCCTACGCGGCGGTCTAATTCCCGAGTGCTGATATCTGCATTGATTTCAACGATATTCAAAATTTGTTCCTCCTGCTCTACAGTAACCTGTCTTTCACGAGTGCGAATATTAGTGGGCTGAACACTTCCTGTATCTCGAACTCTTTGGAACACTTGCACGAATGTCCTTCTGTCTGGGTGTACCCGTTGGCGAAATCTGTCGCGACAAATTTGAGCTGCACGATTAGATTTCCGACGAGCTTCACCGTAAACTAACAACATGTCGGGGAACTCTTGATTCGAGAATATTGTAAACAAACATGACGACGTACGCGAACAAAAACAAAACACGCCCGATAACTAACCACTGTCACCGTTTGCGATCGATTGCCGGATCGATAAGAGTGATAACGACGCGCTGTTGTCATGTGTGTTTTTAATATTTAAATTTAATGAAACTTACTTACTGACCACAAATTTTGGCTTAACTTAGAAAAATCTAATGCCATTTATTTGTTAATTACCCAATTTAAAAACGTTTTAGATTAGATTATAAAAATTAGTAAGATTGTGGTCGATACGAGAATAAAGCACTTAAAGTTGTAAACTATCAAGCCATTTAGAAAATCTATTGACTTTTGGACCATGGGTCATATGAACTTTTTGAATTGTTCTGACTCCCCCTATTACCCATTTAAATAATGACCACCATAACGTTTACACCCTGTATAAAAATAGAAAAGTTATAGGGGTGAGTCACCTTGCAGCATCATCCGGTATATCATTGACGTGGCTATGGTAATTATAAACGCCATGTTTAGGCGCTGGTCATATTGGACTTAGAATGATGTCACTCTGCTCATTGCGTTTCTCTCATCAAGCTCTTTCATTTGAAACCCGTGACATAGGGGTGACTACAAAAAACGTAAATCGCCATTTTGCATCCGCTGCCAAATCGCACTTAGCATAACGTCACTCCACTCATTGTGTTTCTCTCATCAATCCCTTTTATTTGATATCTATATCATAGGGGTCACTATGGAAACGATCAATCGCCACTTTGTAGCGATTGCCATATTGGATTCAAAATGGCGGGAGTTAATTAATTTTGTATTTTTTCCATACATTCTCAATATTTTCCTATGACAAGCATATAACACTTTTTTCTTTTTCACATTATTGTATGCTTGATACACCAAACTTAAATACTACAAATTGACTTACGTATTTCTTCATTCTACCATCAAATTTACTAAATTCTTCATGATTTCAACAACATGAAGCCAATTCATCGCACTGACATACTGATATACATTTTTAGATGCAGACGAGTCAGTAAACTGTAGAATTTCTAAACAGAGATAAACCATAATTATTCCCTCATCTGACACCGACGAACTACCGCTTGAAATGTTGTGATAAGAACATTTGAAGCGCTACTTACAATACGAGTGAATATTTGTTGAGCAAAATGTAGGTAGAAAAAACATTTGGGTGATTATATTGATATATTTGTGTCTTCACATATTTGGAACATTGTAGTGATAGTGACCGGTTTTATCAAGTTTTGATAAAGCATTGTTGCCGAGCTTATCGAATGTTTTCGATTCTTGTTATTGGAATATATCCATAGTTAGAACAAACTGGGAAAAGGTAGTAGTAGCATTATAAAAAAATGAAATGGTAGATAATAGTTATGGAGTTATCCTCGCCCTCTGACATTCTTTTCTGGTACTCGTGGAAATATCCTTAATTTCGGTAAAAATAACACGTCCTTTTGGCGAGCAGCGTACGAACCAGGTGGATCGATTAAAAAAAAGGTCATATATACCAAAAAGGTACAAAATGGGTCAGTCGGGAACGTGAGCGCAACATGTCTTTTTGGGTCGCTGAAACCTAATCCATGGCCCACTCAGTCCGAAAATGCCTCGTTTTCAAGAATTCAACTTTGTCAAAAAACGACTAATAAGAAATTTCTAAAAACTCTTGCGCGTCTATGATCTAGATGGAAGTTTGTTTTTTGGGTAAATCGGCTGCCTAGATTCCAAATTCGATGTCGATACATTGCTCGAATTTACGGCTAGCCCGGAAAAATAGTTTCTTGTCAACTTTTCACTCTAAATCTAGTCTCTTGACACTTTATACTTTTTTCACTATGATATTCATATTCAGCGCCCCAAATTGCCTCATTGAGCAGAGCTTTGATTCTATGTAGTCATCGATAGCAAATATGGGTTTTTAGCACCTTAGAGTCGCAAAAACGCGTAGTTTTGCAATTTTTCGCAAAATAATCAGATCTAAATGATAAACGGGATCACATACACGTGAAACGACCTTGGATTCGGTATTGGCAGTTCAAAATACCTGGAATAACGGTCAGTTGAACCGCATTTAAAGCATTTTAACATATAATCATCATGTATTGTTACTAAAAAGGCACAAAATGGGTCAGTCGGGAACGTGAGCGCAACATGTGTTATAATACGCTTTTTGGGTCGCTGAAACCGAATCCATGGCCCATTCAGTCCGAAAATGCATCGTTTTCGAGATACTGGCAAGAATTCAACTTTGTCAAAAAACGATTATTAAAAAATATCTAAAAAGTGTTGCAGGTCTATGATCGAGATGGGAGTTTGTTTTCTAGATGAGTCGGGTGCTTAAAAGTCCACCAACGCCCTCTGACATTCTTTCGTGGTAATCCGTTTTCTAATCTCGATCAGTAAGGATGGAAACATCCTTATTTTCGGTAAGCATAATACGTACTTTTGGCGAACAGTGTACAGCCCAGATAGATCGATTTTCTTAGGAAGAAAGTCTACCAACACCCTCTGACATTCTTTGGTGTATCATAATCTCAGTAAGCGTGGAAATATCATTATTTCCCGTAAGCACGGACTTTTGGCGAGCAGTGTACAACCCGGATAGATCGATTTTTATCGGAAGAATGTCCACCAACGCCCTCTGACATTCTCTCGTAAAAATCCATTATCCAACTTCGTTCAATAGGGGCGCAAGCACCCTCACTTTCGCCAAGCACAGCACGTACTTTCGACGAATAGTGTACTACCCGTATTGATCGATTTTCCTCGGAAAAATCTCCACCAACGCCCTCTGACATTCTGTCGTGGAAATCCGTTTTCTAATCTCGATCAGTAAGGATGGAAACATCCTTATTTTCGGTAAGCATAATACGTACTTTTGGCGAATAGTGAACGGTCCAGATAGATCGATTTTCTCAGGAAGAAAGTCCACCAACGCCTCTGTAGGCCGTATTCTAATCTCGATCAGTAAGCGTCATCATTATTTCCGGTAAGCACGTACTTTTAGCGAGCAGTGTACAACCCGGATAGATCGATTTTTTTAGGAAGAATGTCCACCAACGCCCTCTGACATTCTCTCGTAAAAATCCATTTTCCAACTTCATTCAATAGGGGTGCAAGCACCCTCACTTTCGCCAAGCACAGCACGTACTTTTAGCGAATAGTGTACGACCCGTAATGATCGATTTTCCTCAGAAAAATCTCCACCAACGCCCTCTGACATTCTGTCGTGGAAATCCGTTTTCTAATCTCGATCAGTAAGGATGAAAACATCCTTATTTTCGGTAAGCATAATACGTACTTTTGGCGACTAGTGAACAGTCCAGATAGATCGATTTTCTCAGGAAGAAAGTCCACCAACGCCCCTGTAGGCCGTATTCTAATCTCGATCAGCAATCGTGGAAATATCATTATTTCCGGTAAGCACGGACTTTTGGCGAGCAGTGTACAACCCGGATAGATCGATTTTTTTAGGAAGAATGTCCACCAACACCCTCTGACATTCTCTCGTAAAAATCCAGTTTCCAACTTCGTTCAATAGGGGTGCAAGCACCCTCACTTTCGCCAAGCACAGCACGTACTTTTGGCGAATAGTGTACTACCCGTATTGATCGATTTTCCTCGGAAAAATCTCCACCAATGCCCTCTGACATTCTGTCGTGGAAATCCGTTTTCTAATCTCGATCAGTAAGGATGAAAACATCCTTATTTTCGGTAAGCATAATACGTACTTTTGGCGAATAGTGAACGGTCCAGATAGATCGATTTTCTCAGGAAGAAGGTCCACCATCGCCTCTGTAGGCCGTATTCTAATCTCGATCAGTAAGCGTGGAAATATCATTATTTCCGGTAAGCACGTACTTTTGGCGAGCAGTGTACAACCCGGATAGATCGATTTTCCTCGGAAAAATCTCCACCAACGCCCTCTGACATTCTGTCGTGGAAATCCGTTTTCTAATCTCGATCAGTAAGGATGGAAACATCCTTATTTTCGGTAAGCATAATACGTACTTTTGGCGAATAGTGAACGGTCCAGATAGATCGATTTTCTCAGGAAGAAAGTCCACCAACGCCCCTGTAGGCCGTATTCTAATCTCGATCAGTAAGCGTCATCATTATTTCCGGTAAGCACGTACTTTTAGCGAGCAGTGTACCACCCGGATAGATCGATTTTTTTAGGAAGAATGTCCACCAACGCCCTCTGACATTCTCTCGTAAAAATCCATTTTCCAACTTCATTCAATAGGGGTGCAAGCACCCTCACTTTCGCCAAGCACAGCACGTACTTTTAGCGAATAGTGTACGATCCGTAGTGATCGATTTTCCTCAGAAAAATCTCCACCAACGCCCTCTGACATTCTGTCGTGGAAATCCGTTTCCTAATCTCGATCAGTAAGGATGGAAACAACCTTATTTTCGGTAAGCATAATACGTACTTTTGGCGAATAGTGAACGGTCCAGATAGATCGATTTTCTCAGGAAGAAAGTCCACCAACGCCCATGTAGGCCGTATTCTAATCTCGATCAGTAAGCGTCATCATTATTTCCGGTAAGCACGTACTTTTAGCGAGCAGTGTACAACCCAGATAGATCGATTTTTATCGGAAGAATGTCCACCAACCCCCTCTGACATTCTCTCGTAAAAATCCATTTTCCAACTTCGTTCAATAGGGGTGCAAGCACCTTCACTTTCGCCAAGCACAGCACGTACTTTTAGCGAATAGTGTACGACCCGTATTGATCGATTTTCCTCGGAAAAATCTCCACCAACGCCCTCTGACATTCTGTCGTGGAAATCCGTTTTCTAATCTCGATCAGTAAGGATGGAAACAACCTTATTTTCGGTAAGCATAATACGTACTTTTGGCGAATAGTGAACGGTCCAGATAGATCGATTTTCTCAGGAAGAAAGTCCACCAACGCCTCTGTAGGCCGTATTCTAATCTCGATCAGTAAGCGTCATCATTATTTCCGGTAAGCACGTACTTTTAGCGAGCAGTGTACAACCCGGATAGATCGATTTTTATCGGAAGAATGTCCACCAACGCCCTCTGACATTCTCTCGTAAAAATCCAGTTTCCAACTTCGTTCAATAGGGGTGCAAGCACCCTCACTTTCGCCAAGCACAGCACGTACTTTTGGCGAATAGTGCACGACCCGTATTGATCGATTTTCCTCGGAAAAATCTCCACCAACGCCCTCTGACATTCTGTCGTGGAAATCCGTTTTCTAATCTCGATCAGTAAGGATGGAAACATCTTTATTTTCGGTAAGCATAATACGTACTTTTGGCGAATAGTGAACGGTCCAGATAGATCGATTTTCTCAGGAAGAAAGTCCACCAACGCCCCTGTAGGCCGTATTCTAATCTCGATCAGTAAGCGTCATCATTATTTCCGGTAAGCACGTACTTTTAGCGAGCAGTGTACAACCCAGATAGATCGATTTTTATCGGAAGAATGTCCACCAACTCCCTCTGACATTCTCTCGTAAAAATCCATTTTCCAACTTCGTTCAATAGGGGTGCAAGCACCCTCACTTTCGCCAAGCACAGCACGTACTTTCGACGAATAGTGTACTACCCGTATTGATCGATTTTCCTCGGAAAAATCTCCACCAACGCCCTCTGACATTCTCTCGTTGAAATCCGCTTTTCCAGTCTCGTTCGGTAGGGGTGAAAACACCCTTACTTTCGGTAAGCATTGATTACGTCACTGTCAGTCTACGTGTAAGTATTCGCCCCAAATTGGTGGTCGTGAACCCAGTAAAGTGACGATTATTTTTTTCATTAGTTTAGAGGCTACGAATTATGCATGTCGACCAATCGACTGAATTTGCAGGTAGGTCCTCTTGGAATATTAGAAGCTATATTTGCAATTTTACAAAATTCTAATGATAATCGTTGATAATTTTTTTTAATACTCCAATTACCACGAAGGCCTAAACACCCATTGGGTACCTTGGGGGTATATGGGGCTAATTTGGTATACTTTGTAGCAAAGGTTGAAAGATATATCTAATCTCCCACTGTTGCTATTCAGTACCTGTAATATTCACCTAAAATAAATTAACCTAAAATGCTCTTGTCCATATTTCAATACTGTTCCGAGTTTTAGACTCGTTTTCTAAAAGCTCATTTTTGCAAAAACCTTATAGGCCATTTTGAATTAGTTGAGCTTACACAGATTAGTTAATAAATCTAAGACGTCCAAATTTTTTAATTAACCAACTTTTTTTCAGCTTATTATACCGATAATGCTGTCATTGATACCGTGGCCTGGACCGACAGTTTTCAAAATCTCTTGTCCCAGAGATAGCGCTCGTATAGTCCGAAGGGTTATCCAGAGCAAATGGATTCCCATTTTAGATAAATTTAAGGTAACCGTACATTCATATGAGTCTGTTCAATAGACAAGATAGTTGATCTTTTTCCTCTCAAAAGCGTTTTAGCATATATACTTTTTATGTAAACAACAACTTGAGAAGATGATGTTATCTCTTAGATGTCACCAAATGGTGTACTGAGCAGCTTGGTTTCAAATAAATTCATTGCAAAACTTTTCAAAACTCAACAAAAGCCATTGTATGGATCAGAAAATTTTTATTTGTTTTTTATAATTCTCCATACACTGAGTAAACAGATTTTTTTATTCTTGCTAGTTTATGTTGGCAATTTCTTCCTGGATGTTGGTTTCAAACCTTGTAGGATCCTTGGACTGTAAAAAAGGAAGTTATGATGTCACGCCCAGCATTATAAAGGATGATTCATTAAATCGTTACCCTTTTCATTGTACTTGAAAAAGGCCGAAACGCTCTATGATAAACAGGAATTAAATGTATGTGATTTGATATCGTCAGACATTTCACTATTATGAATTGCACTATATGGCTGGCACTTGATATGAAACACTTCTAATCCTTCATAGGTTTCGCTACCACTAGAATGCCCTTTTCATCCTCAGAGGGATATCTTTAGCCCGCAGGAGTTATCTAAGAAACGACACAGACCTTCGCAATGGATCTGTGGGATATGCGGAAAGTCGTTTTTTGAAGAAAAGTATTTAGATCTGCATTTAGACAATCGCCATAAAGGATATATCAATATGGTGAGTTTATCACTGAGGCTTGCAACCCAGGCAAAATACGGCAAAAATTATTGCAAGTTTGAAAAAATTCCCACAAAGCTGGAAATTGGGACACGTCTTAAATATACCATTATGAATAATCATACTCCTACCCCATCTTGAGGATATACTTCTGTAACTCTTATTAATAATTTCTTTAAAGATAACACCCACTTTTAGGCTGGTTTCATTTGGAATATTCTCAATTCTCTACAAAAACTTGAAAAATGTGATTTCTCATTTTACCCTCTTAGGGGTGGAATTCATAAAATTCATTTGTAAGTGCCCAGTCAATAATGGTAGACTAACCCACCAAGGTATGTAATGTACAATTATTTGCTTAGGCTGAAGACGCAGTATGTCTAGCTGATTATTGTGATATTATGCGTTGCGACGTGTTAGCCAATCAGCGGACAGAATCCATGATGACGAGCCAAGTGAACACGGACGTCGAGGTATGGAGAGAAACGTCAAAGACTCGAATAGAAGGCTGCGCGAAGAGCTTAGCGACATTGGGACCGAGACAGCTTGCAAAGTAAGAAGAGTTCCAGTTTTATATTGTTGCCTTGATAAGATCTATCTAAAATTTGGAATTCGGATTTTGTCAAAGCAAAAACAAGTCTTTTTCCGAATTAGTCTTCGTTTTGAGTAAACGATTTGAAATTTAGTTGAGAAGATATAATCTCATATCTTGAAATATACTAAGGGACATATAAATCCGAACACCCAGTTTAAATGGTTTTATTTTAATAAAAGTTGGTGAATGTATTTGTCTTACTATAAATAACAAGTGTAAACATTTTCAGCCTTATCAGTTGGACATTCCGGTTTTTATACTGCTTTTTTTTAATTCACTAACGCTCTAAAAATGAATATTTCAGCCGCAGTAAAGAATCAACGTTGGCGGATTTTGGTTCTTGACATCCTTTACGATCGGTTACGATGCCTAGAGTACGGAGACCTGTACGATTTCGTCAACTTAGTGAGTTTGATAGGGGTCGTATAGTGGGACTTCGGGAAGCTGGACTTTTTTTCGGGCAATTGCAGTTAGAGTACAAAGAAGTGTAGACACTGTGGTTAGGTGTTGTCAGGCATGACTTCGAGAAGGCCGTACGCAAAGAGCAAGGGGCACTATACGCCGCCGTAGAACAACAGACCGTGAAGATCGCCGCCTAAGATTATTGGCCTTAAGGGACCGTTTCTCCACTACCAGGTCCATTGCAAATGAATGGTCTGCAGAACACGGAAGACCTATTGGCATGCGAAGTGTTTACCGACGAATGAGAAGTTTTGGCTTGTTTTCATACCGGCCACACTGGGTCCTCCCTTTAACTCGAGAACACCGACGTAATCGCCTTGAATGGTGCAGACAACGGTCACTCTGGGATCAGGAATGGAACAGTATTGTCTTTAGTGACGAGTCTCGATTTTGTTTAGGCATGCACGATGGTCGTGCCAGGGTTAGAAGGCGACGTGGTGAAAGGAGGAATCCACAGTTTTTTGTTGAAAGACATGTTCATCACACTGTTAGAGTTATGGTTTGGGGTGCTATAGCTTATGGTTCTAGGGTTCCAGGTCACATTTAATCTACATCAGAGGTAACATGAACGCGCAGCGTTATATCCACGAAGTTCTAGAACCCCATCTTTTACCCTATCTTGACACTCTGGCAGATCCACCTTTCCAACAAGATAATGCCCGACCACATGTTGCAAGAGTCACAATAGACTTCTTTCAACATAATGATGTCACATTGTTACCATGGCCACCATGATCTCCTGACTTATCCCCAATTGAGCACGTGTGAGATATGATGGGTAGGAGATTGCTCAATTTGCAACGTCCTCCTCAGACTCTAGAAGCACTTCGAGAGGAGTTGGTGGTTGCCTGGAATGAGATACCACAGGAGAAATTGACCACCTGATCAGAAGCATGCCTAGGCGCGTTGGAGAATGCGTAGCACATCAGGGTGCATCCACACATTATTAAAGGTCAAAGGGCTTTAAAGCAGTGCAACCATTTTGAAATTTTTATCATTTACTTATTATGCTTCATTAAGTACTTATACAAAATTTTATTAAAATAAAACCATTTAAACTGGGTGTTCGGATTTATATGTCACTTAGTATATTTTTTGTAAATGGACTTCAAAGATTGTTCACTAAAGAAGTGAATAAAAAAATGTTGACGTCAGAAACTCAACTTATTTTCTAACAGTTTTTTTATCTAGGTTCAAAGGTGAGACGAATAGTGGAGAAGACACAAGTGAAGCGCAGCTAAAAGAAGACTCTGATACCAGTAAAGGTAGAATAATTCATTTTTATTTATTTAAAATATTTCAGCAGATACATGAATCAGGTTATGTAACATAGGATGATCAGGATAATATAAGAGTGATTATGTAAAAATTTAAGAAATTTGGAAAAATATTACGCTTGTTTTTAATATCTGAATGTACAGGATTTTTGTGGCACAGCAATTGAGTCCAATCTGAATTAATTTAATGTAATGTAATGCAATGCAATGTAATGTAATGTAATGTAATGTAATGTAATGTAATGTAATGTAATGTAATGTGATTTAATTTAATTTAATTTAATTCAGTATTATCTAGTTTAATTTAACTTTCATTCAACTTCATGATCACTTTGTTACAGTAATTTGAGACGTTAGTGAATATTTGTATTCTGTGTAATCCATAAGACTTCTTCCAGCGAACTCCGTCAAACCGGGAGACCCCCAAGGAGATACTCCACTGTCTCCAGCAAGTTCTCAAGCGGACAACGTCTCAGACACCACCAACAGCAAACATCCAAATGGCGACCACCTGGTCGAATCGGCTTCGCCCGCAGCAGGTTACAGGCCGACAGCTGAACAGCAGAGGCTGAAAGCTGATTGCAAGCCGGAGGAACTGCAACGTCTCAAGACCAAATGCGAGGTATTGGTCAGGGATTGTATTGCTGGATTGTTGATTAGATTGTCCGACAAGAACTTCAAAGAGATTGAAGGTATGTGATTGGTTGTTACTAGTGATTTGTAACGATTTCGCCGTCCATAAAGTCTGAATATTCCGACCATCTCAATGCGTACGAGGTTCGCAAATTAAGTGATAAATCTGATAAAGTAGCGTTCTCAATCTATCGGACGCCACTTTTTATTAACGTATATTGGATTTCAGATGAATTGAACAGAGCAATATGTTGGTACCTAACCTGCGATCGATATTGGGAGGATTATCAAACGGAGATTAGAAGTTTCCCATGGGGTTTGCTGTGTATGGTAATCATGGTAGCGTCGGTGGGAGTTTGCATGTGCTACTATATCGTCTGGGTACTCTTCGAGTAAGTTCATCCCAACAGTAACTAATTTAACAATCTTTACACACTTCGCTATTGAATGTGTCGGTCGGCAAGGTTAACTAGAGCTTCCTCATTATGATATCAGCTTTTGAACGTATTCAAAGTTATCTTTATGTTACTTTCAATGGCTTTTACGTCTTGAGTGCCTGAGGGTTGAAACCTTAGTCCCTTATTGTTTACCTAATTTATTGATGATTGTCCTGTAAATAGTTTGCTTAACTGTTGGGTTATTTATTTATTTATAACATGAGAACACTTATCCATGATTCACCTCAAAATGTGGATGTTTTGTTGGAAACATTTCTCAGCACGTACACCATTCTTCCAGCAGAACAGATGACGTAAGCGTGACAAGCACCAGTGTGACGGACCAGTCTACTCCTTCCCCTGCAAGGAGATTACGTCATCATCCCCACCATATGCCGCACGCCGTCTTGGACGGCCAATACCTGGGCGAAGATTACTATTCAGAAAAGGACAACGAATACATTTACGTCGCGTATCCGCCGGAATTGAAAAGGAGATTGCTTGAGAGCAGGCGAGTATTTTATAATCGCGCGGGTTTCATTTTCTTACAGTTTTCACGCGCCCTTCCCCCTTCCTGATTTCCGCACGCTTGTTCGTGGTAAGAACAGGGAGGGTTATGTGCCAACTTTGTATAGGTGCAGAAGAGGTCTCACAAAAAAATGATCTAAAACCAATGAGAAACTACAAACCTACTGTTCTGCTTTCAGCTTCTGGAGTATCTTAAACATCACAGCTTGATTAGTGACAGGCAGCACGGTTTCCGGCAGGTCTATTACTTAAAAAACCTATAAAACGTCAAAGAAAAACTGACATAATGCTCCAAGCGATCAACTCCTAGCTTTCAAACTTGCCTGCAGCCTGCAGTGAATACAGTTTTTCCAATTGGTTGGAGAGACTGTTTGAAAGTTCCACACAAATCTGAGTTTCGTATATAACGTTACTTGAACGTCAGTAATTTTGGTTCTTGTTGTGCTGTGCCACAGAGCCGTGGATGAGTTGGGTTGGGGACAGAGACAGAGATTTGTCAAAAGATTCAAAATTTACGTTTTAAAAAATTTCCAAAAATTCCAAAATACTCAAAATTCTGAGAATTTTCCAAATTTTCAGAATTTTCAAAATTTCCAGTATTTAAAAAAATATAAAATTTCCAAAATTTCCAAAATTTCCAAATTTTCCAAAATTTCCAAAATTTCCAAAATTTCCAAAATTTCCAAAATTTCCAAAATTTCCAAAATTTCCAAAATTTTCAAAATTCCAAAATTCCAAAATTCCAAAATTCCAAAATTCCAAAATTTCCAAAATTTTAAAATTCCAAAATTTCCAAAATTTCCAAAATTTCCGAGATTTCCGAAATTTCCAAAATTTCGAAAATTTGAAGACAGTTTTTCCAATTGATTGACAGAGTTTGGAAGCTCCACACAAATCTTAGTTTCGTCAAGTTACTTGAACGTCAGGAACTTTGTTTTTTTGTTGTGCAGTGCCATTGAGTCACGGACGAGTTGGGTTGGAGACAGAGTCTCGTTTTTCAGCATTTGCGGTTTTTAGGTGAAAAAATGATGAACGCAGGAAAGACGAGATCTTTCTTCCATTTAAAATCGCGTCTTTAATCAATATACAGTGTAATTTCAAAGTTGAGTCATAATTTTAACAGCTTGTGAAATGAAGTTGATATACCTAAATCACGTATATAAAAGTTGCATAATAAAAGAAATAGTAAAAGACTAAAATTTAAAAAAGTAAGCATGTTATTACATATATTTTTTGATATTCTCGTCCCCTATAATTTTGTATTCTCGCAAGGTAAATAAAATTCACTACTTGCAGTTGGTAGTATTTTATAGAATCTTGATGTTTGACAGCACAGCAGGCAAAAATTTGGCGCTGTAATTAAATATTTTAAGTTTGTCTATTAAAAACGTTCGAAATATGTGATCTAAACGAAAATTCATCTTCTTGTCAAGACGATAGCAAATGAGCTAACTGACTAATTGTAAGATGTTAGGTACATTTATCATAATTTTGAATATAAGGTTTTGACATTCCTCAGATAAATACGCGACCCACTTAAAGCATTAAATTGGATGCACGTCATTCCACGAAGTTTTCTGAAAACTGCATCGTGTCTGTATTTTAGACCAACAAAATACTAAATAACGTTTTTTTTTTCTTTCCAGGGCACAAACCAATGTTTTAAGAACCGACAGCGTTTAGTTAGTCGAAAATATCCACACCAAAAATCATACTTACCAGAAAAAAGCTAGAGATAAAGTACGAATTTGATTGTTTAAAATAGCTCTCAAAGAATTACTACCAAGCCAAAGTGTAGTGCATTTTGAGACTTATTTTCAATTATATAGCACAAAATAAGAAAATACTTCATTTTTATAACACAAATTTTCTTTAGTCTTAGAATCAGATTCTCATCTTTTAAGTTGTGATATTAGTGAGAATACTTATTTTTAATTATTCTATTTTTAATGCAACCATTTTTCATAAAGCTCAAAGGTTAATTATTTGTTATATTTTATTGATAGTTATGTAAAACTTTCGAGTAGATAAAAGCAGTGCTTTAGAGATAATGCTTATATTGCAACAAATTTCACGGTATAATTAAACGTTATACAAAGTCAAAAGTATTTGCTGCGGCATTTTTTCATTTCATAGGTGTAGATACGAGAGTATTTATCAAATTACTTTCGAAAAAATCTTGACACATTTTTATACGTATTATTCAGACTTCAGTATTCTCTTTAAGTCTGTTTCTTTGGTATATATGCAGATTAAATGTTTTCAACGCGCACTAACAGTTTTGTACTAATATTAGGTAGTTACGAAATTATTAAAATACCAATCATTTTTTCTACGCTGTAAATTATAAAATAAAATGCAAAAACATATACTTACCTGCGACTTTTCAAACTATGTGGCCATAATGGTTACAAATAAATTTTTTACGAATATTTTGTAGTTTTCTTCTTCCTTTCCTTTTGTTCCAATTCAAGATCCCATCAAAAAATATACCTGGTGTTCCAAAAGTTGTGTATTTATGAAAGTTGCGAAATTCAAAATATTTCCATAATTTTTTTCCAAAAACGGCTTAATTTTTTCCTGACCTTGAGATGGGGATTTCAAAATAATTTACAGTATAATTTCAATATGACAACATATCGGAATTTTGCAATAGTTTTTATTTCTGAGTCACTCCTCAACCTAGGTATGTAATGTACTATTTTTTATCAGACCTCTGGAGTGGAAACTAAAATGACAGTTTATAGAACATTTTTTTCGAAAACTGCGTATATTTTTTCAACAATGTATGATAATATATATTGATTCAATATACATTCGTAACAAAAACAACGTTTAATATAAATTACATCAGAAAATTCGCTTGTATCACATCCACAAACGTATATTATACAGGGCGTCCCAGAATATTTGGACAATCGTCTAAACTCATACAAAAAAAAAACAAAATTTAAAAAACCAAATATCGGTCGCCTATTCGTATCTTTAAGACATCTCGAAATAAACATGCCGCATTATTTACTACTTCTGCTTGTATTCGAAAAATTGACACCGCTTATTCTAGGTATATTTTAGGACGCCCCGTAGATTCAAAGTCTCGACTCCAAAATCGGTTTGTAATCCTTTAGCTGTTGCTTCAAATTCTTCCTTAGTATTTTTCCACTGGGATTCTTCGGTATCGACTTTGTAAAAATTATACCACCCCTCAGTCTTTTTTGGGGTGACACATGTTCTGAAAATACATTTTTCATAAATCCTCAAAACGATAGAAACATTTTGCTACAGTAAGTTGCTTTCGGTGGCCTTAAAGGCAATGGTCAAAGTCATAGTCAAGGTAACTCATATTAATTATAATTGACGCGCACTAAATTTAGTTGAGTAATATTAAACATTATCAGAACGTATTAAATTAAGATAACCCATATTAAATTTAGTCAAGACATACTAAAGTTGATTAGCCCTTATTAAATATAATTAACGCGTACTACATTTAGTTAACTCATACTAAACTTAATTAGAACGTACCAAATTTAGATAACTGATATTAAATTTAGTTAGCACCTACTGAATTTAATTAACCCAGATCAAATATAATTAGCGCATACTAAATTTAGTTAACCCATATCAAACTTAGCTAATACGTACTAAATTCAATTACCCCATATTTAATATAATTAACGTCTACTAAATTCAGTTAACTCATACTAAGCATAATAAGAACGTACCAAATTTAGATAACTGATATTAAATTTAGTTAGCACGTACTGAATTTAGTTAACCCAGATTATATATAATTAGCGCGTACTAAATTTAGTTAACCCATATCAAACTTAGCTAATACGTATTAAATTAAATTACCCCATATTTAATATAATTAACGTCTACTAAATTTAGTTAACTCATACTAAAAATAATAGGAACGTACTAAGTTTAGATAATTGATATCAAATTTAGTTAGCAACTACTGAATTTAGTTAACCCAGATTAAATATAATTAGCGCGTACTAAATTTAGTTAACCCAAATCAAACTTAGCTAATACGTATTAAATTCAATTACCCCATATTTAATATAATTAACGTCTACTAAATTTAGTTAACTCATACTAAACATAATTAGAACGTACTAAATTTAGATAACTCATTGAATTGAGTTAACTCATACTAAACATAATAAGAACGTAACAAATTTAGATGACTGATATTAAATTTAGTTAGCACGTACTAAAATTAATTAACCCATATTAAATAAAATTAACGCGAGCTAAATGCAATATGCAATTTTGAAATTTTCTAATTTAACGAAAATTCCAGCTGGAAAAATTCTTTAGGCGGGGTGATGTTTTTTATTCGATGTTTCGAATGCACTGCTTGAACTAAAAATTCTGGATGAGCTATTTAGGGGTAAAAGTAGGGGGCTTAAATCAGGTGTTCGTGCAGGTCATAAGTCAGAAAGGTGAAAGTTTTCTTACCAGCAACATACTGTTGCAATTCCGCCGCGGTAGCTTCTTCTCTTGGTTTCAAAACGACGAACGCTAAAGGCAGCTCTCCTACCATTTCTTCTGGTAGACCTACGACAGCCGCGTCCAATATTTTGGGATTCTTCAGGAGGATTGCTTCGAGCTCTGCTGGCGCTACCTAAAATTGATGGAAGGATATCAAAGAATGGCATCAAGTAGGTTGACTCTGAAAATTGAAGAACATAGTTTGAGCGTTTTTTATTTGCAAATAAAAACAAAATCTTTTGGCGCTATCTAAAATTGATGAGAAAATATCAAAGAATGGCGGCACGTAACGAAACAATGAAATTGAAGTTTGAAAGCCTTTTTTGTCAAAACACACAAACTTGCTTCATTAAAAATCCGCGTATTCTCCTTTCTAGATTTTTACCTGATATCCTTTGTACTTAATCAGCTCCTTGAGTCTATCCACGATATAGAAATAATTTTCGTCATCGTAATATCCTAGATCTCCAGTTCGTAACCATCCATCGGCAGTGAAAGACTCCTTTGTAGCTTGTGGATTTTTGTAGTAACCTTTCATGACCAACGGCCCTAAAACATATTTCTCATTTTTTTTAAAATATTTAAAATTTTCGAATTTTTCATATTTGTAATTTTGAAAATTCCAACAATTTCAAAATACCCAAAATTTTGAGAATTATCACAATTTTCAAGATCCTCAAGATTTTCAAGGTTTCAAGCTTTTCAAGGTTTTCCAAGATTTTCAGGACTGTCCAGATTGTCAAGATTTTCAAGATTTTCAAGCATTTCAAGCATTTCAGGCATTTCAAGCATTTCAAGCATTTCAAGCATTTCAAGCATTTCAAGCAATTCAAGCATTTCAAGCATTTCAAGCATTTCAAGCAGTTCAAGCATTTCAAGCATTTCAAGCATTTCAAGAATTTCAGGAATTTCAAGAATTGCAGGAATTACAAGAATTTCAAGGTTTCAAGAATTTCAAGAATTTCAAGAATTTCAAGGATTTCAAGAATTTCAAGAATTTCAAGAATTTCAAGAATTTCAGGAATTTCAAGAATTTCAAAAATTTCAAGAATTTCAAGAATTTCAAGAATTTCATGAATTTCAAGAATTTCAAGAATTTCAAGAATTTCAAGAATTTCAAGAATTTCAAGAATTTCAAGAATTTCAAGAATTTCAAGAATTTCAAGAATTTCAAGAATTTCAAGAATTTCAAGAATTTCAATAATTTCAATAATTTCAATAATTTCAAGAATTTCAAAGATTTCAAAAATTTTAAGAATTTCAAGAATTTCAAGGATTTCAAGAATTTCAAGAATTTCAAGAATTTCAAGAATTTCATGAATTTCGGGAATTTCAAGAATTTCAAGAATTTCTATAATTTCGAGAATTTCGACAATTTCGAGAATTTCGAGAATTTCAAGAATTTAAGGAATTTCAGGAATTTCAAGAATTTCAAGAACTTAAAGATTTTCTAAATCGATGAAAATCATTTTGACAAATCATTGGTGATGATGGTCAGATTTCACACCTACTTGCGCAGAACGACAAGGTTTTTATACATATTTCTCACCTCTGAAGCAAAGCTCACCGACTTGGCGAGGCCCTAAAACGTGTCCAGTTTCTGGACATCTGACCGTACAGCACATGTAGGTGATCACTTGTCCACAAGACCCTGGCCTGTACACGTCTTTGTCCATGATCGTCAACGCCAAGGTGCCTTCTGTACAACCATAAGCTTGATGGATAGTTTTAATGTTCAGCCTGAAAGACACAAGGTGACGAAACGTCAGTAAAGTCTTTTTTTCAAGATGTGAAGTCTCTTAACAATATTTGACATATTGATCTGGCTAGTTGGTCTGCGATCGATACATCTTAATAGAATGGACAAAACGGCTATCAATTATTCATTTCCAACTAATTCCTTCAACGTCTCTAGTATCTTCAGCATTTTGCTCAAATTCACTGTTACTCATTATTATGAAAAACCGCAGATTGTAAGATAATTCTCAGACTGTCAGGCTTACAACAAGATGCAATACTGGTTGCCTAAATTAATTTCCCTTTGCTGTGGACACGTACAAACACTTTGTGTTACATACCTTTTCTTGAGTTCGATCTCAGTCTCCGCGCTGAGCGGCGCGCCTGCGCAGAATATCTCGGCGACGGAAGACAGATCATACTGGTCCAACTTCTTCGTCTTGGCAAGGAAGATCGCTAAAGGTGGTGTTACACGCACCACCGAAATGCGGTATCTCTCGATCGCCTTGAGGAAGGAATCCTCGTCGAACCTGTCGATCATCACGGTGAGGTGGTGGTTGAGGATCGAGGTGATGCCGAAATAGAGGCCGTACGCGTGGTAGAACGGCATCAGACCGAGGACTACGTTGTTGTGGGACAAGTAGCGAGGGTCTCTGAAAAATGGAGCGTGAGCGTTTCAGTAAATGGTGTCCTTGTGTTCTCCACACCGTTTATAGGCGCCACTAAAGACATTACCAACGTATTATAAAGAAATGTCTTTGAGAGGTCGTACAGCGTTCACAGAATGACGTTTTTAAAACGTCTTTAAGGTACAGTTGTGCTACTTGGTTCTCACTGGTCCATTATGATATTTTGATCTCCTGTTGGTAAATAAACTCACCTAGCCTGTACGATCCTTGTAGCCACATTGAAATGCGTCAGCATCACCCCTTTCGGCAAGCCCGTGGTTCCGGAGGAGCAAAGCACCAATGCGACGTGTTCCTTGGGATCGCCGTCAAAAGGCGTGAAGTTCTCCGGTACCAACCTGTTGCCGTTCAGCATTTTGGATACGAAACCGTTCAAGCTGAATACGTCGTCGCCTCGGTCTCCGTTGTCCAGCACGACGAACTTTTCGATGAACGCCACTTCGCGTTGCAGTTTTTTGAATTTCGGAAGCGCCTGAAATCAATTTTAGAACAATACGTTCTACAGAGTGTTCCGACAATAACAATAAACCTTAATTGCTCAACAGATTTGGAGAAAATAAGCGGATTTTCTTAGTAGCATATACAGCAATGTCTTAAGAGAACCGAGATATTGAGCTCAATCGAACCTAAACCGAAGCCGGTCCTGTCCTATCTCTCGATCGCGTCCACATCGCCAGCGCCAGCGTACAGTGTTATACGACGTACGACTACGATATAAATACGGTTTTTACGACAGAGCCGTACTTCGAATTTCAATTCAACTGAGCAGTGAGTACTTTTTCATTTATTTTTTTACTTGTTCGCTCACGTTTCACCACACATTAGCATTGTTATATCAAGCGTAGCTGTGTGTGAATAGGAAAACCCAAACTTTGTGGACACCCCCTATGCGTAATATGTACGTATACATATACAAAATAGCAACTTTCAACTTATAAAACGGGAATGAGAGTCATCAAAAGATGTCCTTGATGATGACCTTGATTATGGTATACAAGATCATATCGAGCTTAGACGCTTTCATATTTTACTTCATTGAGAGTTTACACGTTGAGACGCAAGGCACTTTCACATTAAGAAGTGAGGCAGTATAAGAACGAGGGATTCTCTTTGAAAATTTTGACATGGCTTGGTCAAGGTCACCTTTGGGTTACCATCACAAGCCTCACAACTGTACTATCGAACATTTGTTGTCTTTTTGAAGTGACCTTGATATCGACCTTGTAGAAAATCGTCGAGGTCACACTCTGACGTAAAGCTTTCTCGTTTCATTTCCGATGTAAAAATGAAAGCGTTCCGTTTGAAAATATTCGCTTGACCTTCAAATGTCCTTGAAGGTCGTGATCATGGTCAGAGACAAGGTCACCATCATTTTGTCCCTTTGCAACCAACAACTTATGTCTGAAATTGTTTCCAAGAAGCGTAGTATTCGGAATATTCAGGTGGGAAGATTAAAAAGTAATGTATTATCATGTTTCTACGTAAACTTACTTTTTTCGAGCAGAATACTATCTTCGGTTGAGTAATACTTAGGGAATGCTTGAGCTCTTCTGTGGTGTAGATGTGGTTCAGAGGCACCAAAACAGTGCCCGCCATAAAAGAAGCAACCACTGGTATGAAGAATTTCAGTGTGTTTTCGCTGCAGATTGATACTGGAGTGCCTGGTTGGCACCCATGACGTCTCAAGGCTTCTGCAAGGTTGCAAGATTCTTCTAGGAGATCTCGAGCTGTCACAGCTTTGCCACTCTTGCTGTCCACCTTTAGGAAAACAAAAAAAAGGCGTCAACAAATATAATCCTAATTACAGCCCACTAACTATAATACAATGTTCGACAACATCGATATTTATCGCCCACATTATTCGCAGTGCAAGTCAAGCTGCTTGACGCTTGTTCAAAATATACATCGATTTCTTCAATTTGTAATGCAAATTAATACAAATGTGGTATTGTCTCCTTATGGCCTGGACATGATAAGATAAAGTTGAACTTGACTGCAATAATGAAAATATAACATAAAAAAGTACATTAAAGATGCTTGAATTGCAATGTTTTGTTGGGATAAAAACTAAGAAATTTCCATTGATAAAACTCTCTATTTGATTTATACAAACTATATTTCATTTATTTTCGTACGCGTCAGATAGAAGTGATCATGCTGTTGTTGATATTGTGGCTACAATGAAGAATAGAATTTTATATATCTAAATTATTGTAAACATTTAGGAGACATCTATTATCTCTTTTCAAGAACTAGATTGTTTTTGTTTTATAATTTTTATGATTGCACAATATTGCATAATAATTTAAGGTCACCGAACTACAGCTGGAATTTGTACTTTAGTTTAGGTTTTAGAGACCGTGAAACATTTTTCTTATCAATTCATATATAATTTACTAAGAATTCTATTATATTTTTGTCCCAAAGTCAAATATATGGGAATAAGTGATATATGCAGGGTGTTTTCAAGGTTGATTCATTTATTTTAACTCGTCATAAGAAGCTGAAATAACAAAAATTATCTACAGGGTGGCGCATCGAAAACGAAACAGACGCATTTACTGGCAGCTCAGTCTTTTTTTTTGAAAAACGCTCAGACCCGTCGATTTTGTTTTCGAGGGCGACACAAGTTTGGCAAAAAATCACGTTAGTACGTGCAGCCCCCTGAGCGGGGGTGACACCACCCCCAAAATCTTAAATGGAAAGGGGGGTTGAGTGATACCTTATTTTAAAGGTCTTTCAATTCCCTTTATAATGATATAAAATTAATGTACTTCAGTTCAGTAGCTTTGAAGATTTATTGATTTAAAACTTAAATAAAACTAATACATCATCATTAGTGGAGATCAATACATTTGGCAGCAAAGTAATTTAAGAATGAAGAATGAACTGACCCGTTAGGCAAGTAAATCTTGAAATGGCCACCATGACTCTCCATGCAATAATAAAGATTTTGCTGAAAACGTTGCCGCACATTTTGCAATATTTGAGGAGTAATTTGAAGGCACTCATTCACAATTCTTTATCGCAGGTCTTCTAATGATGTTGGCTGAGTAGCATATATTTTGATTTTTAAATGATCCCAAATAAAGAAATCCAAAGGTGATAAATCTGGCGATCTTGGGGGCCATTCAATGGCACCTCTTCTACCAATCCATCGATCTGGAAACGTCTGATCTAAATATTGTCTGTATGCGTAATGTGGTGGGGCACCATCCTGTTGGAACATCAACCTATTCGCAATGTATCGCCGATCATTCTCATTTTCAATTATGGCTGTTAATGCAGGATCTATGGCGTCTTCCAGTAATTCCAAATACATTCCACCGGTCAAATGTCCAGCTAAGAAAAAAAGGACCAACTAAATGATCCCCAAAAATACCAACCCAAATATTTAATTTTTGTTGCTGTTGTGTTGAACCTCATGATAAATTCTGTCATTAGAATCGGTCCAATATCGGCGCTTATGACGATTTACTACGCCATTTAAGAAAAAGGAACATACTTCGGAAAAGCAACTGTTGAATAGAAAATGTTCATCGTTTATAATTCGTTCACTCATATCTTCACAAAATTGTAATCGCCGATCAAAATCGTCTTCATTAAGTTCTTGTACTAGGTGAATTTTATACGGATGAAAACTATGGGTATTTAGAATTTGTTGGACAGTACGTCGCCTAACACCACACACAGTCTCCAATCTGTGGGTACTTAACGAAGGATCTACATAAACTTGCCCTAAAAGCCCCACTTCTATTGCTTCGTTGCTTATGGGATTTTCAATGTTGCGTTTTTTATTGGCGACTGACCCAGTTTCCCGAAATTTAGCTACAAGTTCTACAACATATTTTCGATGCACGTTACTGTTCTCATGTCGCTCATTAAATATTTCTGCTGTTCTATTAACGCACTGATTATTTCCGAAAAATATTTCGATAATTTCAACTCTTTCTGCTGTGGAATATACCATGGTTAATTTATGTAATAAAGCGTTACAAGTTATTTTAGCAACAAAGTTTGGTCAAATCAATCGCATACTATGTATTAAATTCCTATTTAAAATAAGTACGAGATATTTCCCTGTCTTTCTTCCAGAAATTACTTTTTTGCCCCAAAAAAACGCACCAATAGCTATTTTCAACAACAAAATGATAAACAAACCATGGGCGGAGTGAAGAAAAGCATTTCCTTATTAAGCAAATTCTTTTAGTCAAATTTCTTCTGAAAGTAGTACAAACTAATCTGATGTACCTATTAAAGTCTACTTTAAGCTTTAAATCAATAAATCTTCAAAACTACTGAACTGAAGCTCATGTATTTTACATCATTATAAAGGGAATTGAAAGACCTTTAAAATAAGGCATCACTCGATCCCCCTTTCCAGCTAAGATTTTAGGGTTGGTGTCACCCCTGCCCAGGGGGCTGCAAGTGTTAACGTGATTTTTTGCCAAACTTGTGTCCCCCTCGAAAACAAAATCGACGGGTCTGAGCGTTTTTCAAAAAAAAAAAAGCTGAGCTGCCATTAAATGCGTCTGTTTCGTTTTCGATGCGCCACCCTGAATATAAAACTTGCATAATAAGAGAGTTAGTTTACATTTTTGAAAATTATTTAAAAAAATCATTATCATGCTAAAGCTTCGAATTATATCACAAACATTTTCAGCGCGATTGAGGTTCTTCCAGAGTATTAACCGCTCCATCATGATACACCAACTCTTTCAAATAGCCCCCAGGAGAAAATCGCAAGGCGTTAAATCCGTGGAGCGAGCAGGCCAAGAAATGGGTCCACTGCTGCCCAAACATGATTGTTGTGGAAACGAAGGTTAAGAGTCAAATTTCTCAATTTTTAGTCAACCATCGTCTCGCCAGGAGTTTCTTAGCGATGTATTTATTTGACATAAAATATTTTTCATTCGTTGAATAGACGGTTAAAAGTCGCTTCTAATTGGGATTTTAGACTAATATAAGGAAAAATGTACACTGAGGAAACAATGTCTATTAAACAGTTGTTTTGGAAAGTTTTCGTTAACCGCAACGTTTTTTTCAATTATTCTAAATAACTGAATTATTCGGTTTAGTTAAATTTACTTTTCTGGCACTAGTTTAATTGAAACTAATATACTAACGTATAACCTGTTTCTGGAAAATGAGACAAACGATGGGTGAGGCTTGATTCCCTGTATGAAAAATTCACATTTAATGAAAAAATAACAAAATTCGGAAGCTTTTATTTTGATTTCCGAACGTCAACGATTAATATCAAGTTTTCCAAATGTTTTGATATTTAAGATTTGTCAGAGCAGTCGTAAAGCGCAATTTGTCCAGTCCATTAATTTTAAATAAATTGGTGTACTCAATATACGTAGACGGTTTAATAAGTTTAATCAAACTATTGCGTGTTGGTTTAATTAAACTGGTTTCATTGATTCAAGTAAACTGTGTGTTGAGCGGGGACTTGAGCCTCTAAATATTTTCGGAACATCTTGCGAAACAAATCAAACTCACCATAATCTTGAGATCCTTGGGTGCATTTATCAGATTCCTATAGAAGATCTGTCCGACGTTCTCTGCGGGCAAAGGTTCGTGCGGTTCGGGTCCGCAAATGACGTACCTCCTGTCAAGAAAGCTCATCTTGCCGCTGTCGATGTTCCTCTGCAGCCACTGATGCTCTTCGTGGACACTCTGTAGTGCAAATGAGACGGATTCAATCTATCTTAATCGTTATATTGTGCATACATTTGTTGTTTTGCCCCGAACGAGCTTACTTTGTGAACTCTCCGATAAAAATTTGATAAACGCGCCGTCGTTTCATCACAATGCCGGGCGATTAAATTATGTTTCGGTGATTTCTTGAGCCACGTGAGCGCATCCGGTCAAAAGGTGGATTTTAGTTGAAGAATGTTTGAGAAACTAGTAGGCTGATTTGGTAGTTCATACAGAGTCCGATGTATGACAGTTTGTCACAGTAAAACGTGTAGGTTCAACCTTTTGGGACTGTTCTTTAAGAAGTAGTCCACCTATTTTGGTAAGTACTACAGGGATGGGGTGTTCATTAATGATATGCGAATATCTAAAGGTGTGAATCTAAATGAAAAATTAATGTTAGTATGCTTTGTAAGCTATGGTCCAAAAATGTTTCTTTACAAAAACTCGGGGTGTTGAAGTTTTAGGAAAAAAATGGAAATTACGTATTTGGATAATACGTAGAATTTAAAATAACAAATTGCATTTTACAGAATGGCGTATATTAAAACTCGACATCTCCCAAATCTAAGACTTGGTATTAATATTTGATATTTTCTAATCAAAATAAAAGCTTCCAAATTTTGTATCCCGAGTTTTCATTAATTGTGAACTTATTACATATACACATAACGAAGGCGTGGATAGTATGGAAGGTAAAATAAAGGACTTATCCATAAAAATTATCTACTTACGCATTGGTATTTATCGCTAGAGTATGATCGCACAATATATCCAACCATTTTAATCTTCTGCTGGTCAATGATGGACTGACTGTTACAGACCATACTGTCTATAGCTAAGAAAGAATACGCAAAAAACAAGCCAAAAACAAATTTTCCCCACATTATGATGTACCTACAACTATGAGCAAAATTATTGGAATATTCATCTTTAAGGGTTTTTTGGTATGGAAAATTCATTTCATTTTATTTTCTAGTTTTTATTGGTATTAGTTACACTTACGTGCCTACACAGTCAAAATACAAAAGTGTAAATTCACAAATCGCTTTAGAACCGAGTAGGGGAATTGCCGCGCGATGTTCACTTGTCCAAATTTCCTCTATCAGTGTATTGTTTCGTTTGGATACTATAGCGAGAAGACGTATTGTAAGCATAGTAAAGCAAGTTAACATTTGTGTTACCATTGATTCCATTAGCCAAAGTTTAATGTTTAAATAAGATGTCGTTTCACATAGACAAATCCAAGTTATACAAAAAATTGTTTGAAAGTTTTAAAAAATCTCATACAAGTACGAAAGTACAAAATGTACAAAAGTTAGTTAACGAAGTGTGGCGAAATTACAAATTACAAGCAAAATCCGTCAAGGAACTAGATATTATTGTATCTAAGAGAATCGAAGAATTGCAAGCGGCGACTAAGAATAAATCCAATCTACTAAATTTTTTTTCTAAGATGAGTGACGAAATCATTTTAGGTACCTATGAGTACTAGAAATATTAGAAATCGCCAAAAAGTTTCTCTTTACTGATTAGAAAATATTATGTCCTATCTCAAAGTATAGAGGTAATATTCATTATATTATAGATTTATTTCTTATGATTGTTTCCGTCAATTTTATATATATATATATATATATACAGAAAACTAACATCCTGTATTTTGTGACCGCAACGAATTGCTCGTTTAAACATATTAGATTTAAAGCCATAGGGTTTTGTATTTACCATATATATTGCCATACTTTGTATTTATGTAGCTTAATAAGAGAATCTTTAGCAGAAGCCTTAGAAAGTCAAACTATGTACTTGATGTCGTTTCTTCACGTGAAATATCATACTGGTTCAATCGACTTATTTTGAGTCTAAAAATACGTAGTACTTCTATATCCACCATTGGGACACCCTGTACATGTTCGTAGTTGTTGCCTGTTTTCTAGGTGCGTAGTCAAACTATTTGATGCTATTTCTCCATTTGAAATACCATACTAGTCCGATCAATTTATTTTGAGTCTAAAAAGATGTGGTACCTACAACTATATCCACGGAATATTGGGACTCCCTGTACATGTTCGCAGTTGCCTTCTTTCTAGGTGCGTTTTCAAACTACCTGATGCCATTTCTTCATTTGAAATGCCATATTCGGCAATTTGTATCGACTGATCCTTATTGGAAAATTCTATAATAGTGCAAATTTTTGCTCGCAACTGTATATGCATTATGTGGCATCAACAATAATTAGAGGATTAGCTGTATCTATTTCTGAATCATCAATTATCAAGAACTTGGAAGAATTACTTATAATTACTACCTAATCGCCCTGTTAAAAGGCGTTCCGATATCCAAAAATTAATATATTTTAATTTCTGAAGCGATAACGCATTTTCATTGTCGTTACAGTTGAAATAGTGGAAAATATCGCATTTTCAGAAATACTTCTATTCGTGTTATGTAAATCTGAAATTGTGGTCTTCGAACACCATGTTTTCTAACCGCAAAATGAAACCACATATTTGAAAATTACTATTTATGGGTATGCCCTCTTGCTTGACGCTTATACCAGGGACCAACGAAAATTTGAGATACTCAAAATATCATAACATAAGAGTCCAAAAGATCTAAACAAAATACTGAATCGCTAAGAAAGAAGGATGTAATATGTGTGAAATTATATGAAATTATTATTTATTATGAAATTTGTCAAAAGAAAATCATTAATTTATAGTAGGAGGGTATTCCAAAATACTCCACAGATTCGAAGTCAAAAATAATAATAACGAATGCGAGATTTTGATTGACAAACCAAACTGTCTAATATTCTGCCTAGACATAACGAAACAATCCCTAAAGCCGGACAAAGGCGTTCAGAGATAAAAAGTTCGTTGTTCACTGGTTGCCTACGTGTAGACCAGCACCGTGTTATTTGCCAAACTAATGTTGCAGTTACAGAAATCAGTTTACGAGGGATCAACGATATTTTATGAGGAAATTTCTGAGATAGTAATTAATAAAATATTATAACATTCCTGTCAAAAAGATTTCAACACAATACCGAGTCGCTAAGAAAGAAATATATATCTAATATATGTGAAATTATACTTTCAAAGTTTCGAGCTCAATTGATTGATGAATAAGTTATGAGATTTGCCAAAAAAAATCATTGAAAAATGAATCGGTACTTTATCATTAATGAAAAGAAATTCAAATTACTGGTACGTGATCAAAATAGTAAAAAAATGTTATGTGATTTTGGCACGTTACACAGCTTTGCTGATGACACCACTTTTCATGCGGGAATTCAGAGTATCAAAAGCCGATCTCTATCAGTGTGCTCGGGAAAAGACGACTAGCACCGACTTCCTTTCGTCAGTTACTAGCTATTTATTTAGGGCTATTTGCTAGCATTTTTCTTTGAAAAACACTCAATGTGACACTAATCAGGTGTACGCCATGAATTAATTTGTCTCTTCACGTTGGGTCAAGTTCAATAATAATGTTATTTTTTAGAAGCTTCCAGTTAAACAGATAAAAATATATAAACAAGGCAATTTCGATTAGATTGGAGTTAACGCGTTTAAAAAGTGAAAAGACTTGTTAAATTGTAATTAATATTAAATAAATCATGTGATTGTGCAGTGTCGCCTAATTATGTATTAAAAAATGTTTTTTGCGACTTTTTATCAGTTGCAATTACTCAAAGATTTTGATATGTGTACATTGTGAATCTGCACTGCGTGATTGTCCGTGAACCTTTTTGAACTTTTGAGCTTTCGAACCTTTTCCACAAGTAATTCGGCTCGCTATATTTAACGATTTCAGTAGTAAATACGGAAGAAATAAATGGCATCAAGTAGGTGGACTCTGAATAAATATAGGGCAAATGGACTTTGTAAAAATACAGGATACGATTCCTTAGCTCATTTTAGGAAGAAAAGGTTATATGAACATATATTCTAAACCTCTTAACTTTTAACCTACAGGGTGTTAAAGTTTTAGGAGAAAATTCGTTTTTTTATTATAGCTTTAATGCAGTTCTAGATACTTTCATGAAATTTGACATGCCCCTGCTGAGCAGCAATAGGCATTTTGTGATGTAGAATATTGTTTAATATTTCTACCAGTGACGTCTGTACGGGGTATACTGAAGGTTTTTTTAAAAAAATATGATACGCTATTGTTCTTTTCGAAAATAAAAATCATTTTTGAAATCCTTATTTATTTTGCAACAAATTTGACCTCATGACTTTTTTCCGTCCGATGCACCGTTTTCGCGTAAAAAATAAAAATCATTTTGGATAATTTAATCAAATAACTTTAATAAAAATTAAATAAATACACATCTTATATCTTTCAATGCATGAAAATTAAAAAAAAACTTTGTAACAAGTTTTGACACTTTCTGTGGAACAAATAAAATAATAGGTACTATTTAACTTAATTATCACAAGAATTGTTGAAAATGTCCTCCTTCTGCTAGAATACAGGCTTTTAGAAATTCCCTAGCATGAATGCTAAAATGTGCAGTACAACCATGCATGTACCACATTTCTTCTCTTGATAAAAGAGGTACATCCTCTACCAAAATTGGCAAATCGTTTTCAAGAAAATGACGATAGAACTGTCCATCCAGTTCAATCTCCAATATGTTTAGCCATCAATTAAATTACACCTTGTACTTCCTTGCCAGAAAAAACATTAAACGCCTCTCGTAAACGATCGGCTCATTGCTTAGAGCTTCGTCGGAAGCATAAGTAAAAAAGCGCAACTATATATAACAATCACATTATAGATTTGGCACAGCAAGTTTTGGCTTATGCAATAATTACAAAAATTATCTTCACTTTTCAATGTTAACTCGGATGCTTCGATAACATGTGGTTGATTGATCTCGTCTTTAACAGATGATAGGAGTATGAAAAATAGTTATATACCATTTATCGCCATTTCGTCAGCTGAATTTCTTTGAGCTGCTTCTGAGATCAGCGTTTACCGTATAGTTGAAATCTATAACAGTGATCAATTCTCAAGCATTGAACTGATGCAATGATTGTTCTTTATGGAGTCGGTAAATTTTCCACGTGCGCGCGTTGATCACAAACAGGACACGGATGTTTATAACATTATATTTGTCTGTCCTTTTATATTAAAAAACATTATCAGTCTAAAGCAAAGTTAGACATGATTCGTGTACTCAACACCAGGCGTTTTCCATAGCCAAATAGAAAGACATGCATGTAAAGGATGATTCGTTTTAAAAAAGAAAAAATATCATAACAATCAACCTTATCAGGTTTTCTTTATTCGCGGCATACGCCTGGTCAGTGAATGAAAACCACATGTACTAATTACAATATGAATAATATCGCAGTTCGGTAGTAATTAATTAATTTATCTTCGGTTCTATAATGAAAGACGATAACATCAAGATTTTTTCGTTAGGACGTTCCTTTTTAGTTCTGTTTGTAAGATCAGAGTTGAAGGATATATATTATCGTTCATATAGCATCAATCAAAATTCTTTTATGAATTTTGAAATTCAATACGTTAGTCGATGCATGCTTTTAATTTTAGATACTCCTTGAAATGTCGTGCGAAATGCGAGAAAATAGTCGAAATTTCTCAGAAACAATTAATTTTCTCCCACAAAACACAAAAAAGACTATTCTTAAAAAAAGCTATTGTTTCCATTAAGCACTTATACATATGCTCAAATTTTTATATACCCCAAAAAAAGTTGTGACGGAACTATGGATGTACCTATCTTTGCATAAAAGAAGATCTATCGTCAACCAATCGTAAAATAATTACGCACAAAACCCACAAGAACATTCCATTGATAAATCCTCTCGAAATTTTCCAACGCGTTGAAGAAAAATAGCAGGTCGTGATTTGTTTGTCTTGCTTCGAGACCGTTAATAAGGCGGTAATAAACCATTCATACCAGTCATCAGTCAAACCAATAGCTATTTGATAAGAACGAAGTCGCGAGTAAATGTACGTTTAAGATAACAAGGTTCAAATTCAAAGGATTCTGAACTTAAGGTGGGTGAACCATTGAAGGCAACGCTAACAAATGAACAATTGCATTTTTTGAAACAAGAAGGGTACTTAAAATCCCATAATATATTTTCAACCCATACTATCAATCATACCCATACTTTCCGAAAATTTGACTATTAAAAATCATGGAGATATTTATATTTACGTATTGGCAGCACTGATTTAACAGTGCTGTCAAAATAACGTCATTTGTCAGCCCCTGGCCAGATTCACCTTTACTCGATGTGTACTCGCAGTGACGATATATAGTTGAGCAGTGTTGCCAGATTAATTAAATTATCTCGATGTAAAGGACTTAATGAAGTTGTGCACGATTCAGTCGTTTCGTAGTGCCTCACATTTATTGATTTGCATTTCTTTGGTCTTATAAAAAAAGCTTGAGACGGTTAAAACTCGACCATAACAAAATATTCTATTCCACAAGCTGTATCACTTTTAGATACTTCTGTTGATAGGAGTGGTGCAAGAGACCCAAAAGGGCATTTATGTTATAGTGATCCAAACAGCAAACGGCGAGTCAAAATGTGTGATAAAATATTCTAGGGCACAAAGCACATCTCAAAATAGTAAAGAAGGTTCTTATTCTCTTCTTTAAATGACAGAAATTTAGTGGATCCGAGGTTTTGAATTGCAAACTAACAATTGTCTTTTTGAAATAATTGCAAGTTTGACGGCCTCCATCGACTACATATGATACAGATTTCACTAAAGAGTCGTGATCAATTCAGTTACCCTCACATGCACTTCATTCCCGGGGAATAGCTATGAATTCGGATAAGATACAAGGATTTGTAGATGTGTTTGCAATCGAGAATCGAGAAAACGTATTTGAAGATTATACATTTTGTCCTGGTTCGGTACACACAAGAAATATTGAAGTGGATATGTTTGGCAACATTGCTTGAATATGCTGCGAGTATAGGAAACCCGTGGCACTCATCGCTGTCATTTGCTTGTCAATAGTTTTCGTGGTGCTGTGTTGTCATTGGTTTTCATTTTCAAGTTTGATTTGAACTATTTTTGAAAAAGTGTCATTGCCGATATCAAAATATCAATGAAAAGAAGTGGCGGAAAAATGAGTTTCACAGTAGAAAAGAAGCATATTCTCCACAGTAGCATCTTTAATCAAACGCTGCGCGATTGGCACAGCCTGAAGTGTGATATAACCCCCAAAAATTTAATGTATCCCGTTTTTATCGTGTAGGTCAACATTTTTATTAATAGAGTTCAAATTAATTTACATATAACCATTGTTATACTGTTACGTATTTTGTAGTGAGGACGATGAAGCAGTACAACCTATTAGCAGCTTGCCAGGGGTCTCGAGATTTGGCATAAACAAATTGAAGGAACATTTGGACAGTGTCGTACGGAATGGCCTACAGTCGATTTTATTATTTGGGGTCATAGAGAATATTCCTAAGGTATCAACATTTTCTTGATTGACAATATGTGTTCATGAATGGTAGTGTGAATTGTCAATAATCTCACAAAAATAATAGACCTTTTTTGTTTCTTTGTACTCTATACTTTCTCCCATGATGCTGCAGAGTTTTAGGCCTGCTAGACTGGTTGATCAGGCTGCTTCTCGTTCTAAAACTCTGCACAGACTGAGAGCATATTGATCTAACTTTAAGCCTGACAAAAAGTGTCTCTTAATAATAATAATTCTGTATTCCAACTGATTTATACACAATCACAGGAATAACTAGTAATAAACTTCAAGCTCTAGAATGTGAATTTAATAATTATTTATCTCCTACAGGACGAATTCGCATCAAATGCAGACAGTTTAAAAAACCCAGTGATACGAGCCCTGCCTCTCCTCAGAAAGTGGTATCCTGATCTAACCATAGCTTGCGATGTCTGCTTATGCCCATATACATCGCATGGACACTGCGGTATTCTTAATAGTGACGGAAGTATCAATAATCCCTCCAGCATCGATAGAATTTCCGATGTTGCCCTCTCATATGCTAAATCAGGTCAGTAGATTCCTCAGAGGGCTGACAGACACTATGTACTTATTTTGCTGACAGTCCAAACGTGGAGCATTGAGTAGTGTTTCTTTGTACTTTCAGTATCTACGGATCTGCTATAAGTTGGGCATTTAATTTTCCTTTAAAATAAAATTGTTTATTCTTAACCTTGATATCAAGTTTCCAAGCAGTTCACCACTCAACCTCCCTGTGGAAGATTTTGATATAACTGACGATTGCTTCATTGGTATGGAGAAATAATCCGAGATATTTGCAGGTGCCCATATTGTCGCCCCATCGGACATGATGGATGGTAGAATTGGTGCTATCAAAGAAAAATTGATCAAACATGATCTAGGAAATAAAGTTGCTGTGCTATCGTATACGGCGAAGTTTGCCAGCAATTTTTATGGGCCTTTCAGGTAAAAATTTAAGAGTCTAAAGATACGAGAGCGGTCCGATAAGTGCTTAGCCTACAAAAGAAAAACGAAAATTTTGAAAAAGTGGCGATTTATCGTTATCTTTCCATAAACATTTGAAGAAACCAAACATTTTTAATTTGAAATCAAATTTTGGGGTGTCATTACTGAGACAGGAACCCAGTTAGATGGACGTCTTAAAGACGTATTCTGTGCAAATTTCGTGTTCATTTTTTGTGACTTTAATACTAGTATTTTTTATACAGTTATTAAGCATCCTTATTTTGTTGGTTCGGTTCTGTACGATATTTTTCAGGGACGCAGCAAAGTCTGCCCCGACTTTCGGCGACAGAAAATGCTATCAGCTGCCTCCTAGTAGCGCGGGTCTACCTCTTAGGGCAGCTCAAAGAGATGTGGAAGAAGGTGCTGATATGCTGATGGTGAAGCCCGTCATGGCTTATATGGATGTCTTGAAGTCTGTTAAAGACGCGTATCCTAATCATCCCATGTTTGTATATCAGGTATTGAATATGCTGCTTCTTTATTCCTACTCTGTCAGCAGAGAGACAATTTCTGACACATCCGAACGAGTTATTCCTTGATTCTTATAATGTGAAACAGGTGATATTTGCACCGACTAGGAAATCTGAATCGACACTAACTTTCCTAGGTCCGATTTATTTGAGCAAGCCTAAAAAGTGTCACTATTCATGCTAATACTTAAAAATCAGCAGACATTTGTGACATTCAGGGTTTTTCATATTTTAAATGAAATAGGATCTCAAGAATTTTCCATGGTGACATATTGTCTATAGAAGGTAAATTGACTTTTTAACAGACAATATTTTGTTTGTTTAATGTTCACTGTACAAAAAAGGTACCTAGTGGATGGACAACGAAAAAAAGTGGGACAAGCCTAACGGAAAAAGTGGGATAAACCTTTTGAAGAAAAGCCCGACAAACCTAACGAAACTACTGGTACATTTGAGTTACTGGTCATTTGAACTACTAAGCACTTCAATTACTAGTCATTTAAACTACTGGTTATTTGAACTACCGAACATTTGGACTACTGTACATTTGACCTACTGTGCCTTACATTTGCCCTAATGTGCATTTGTCCTACTGTGTACTTGAACTACTTTGAATTTAAATTACTGTCCAATTGCATTTCAACTACTGGGCATTTGAACTATTGGGAATTTGAACAAGTGCGCCACACAAGAGGCCAACAACTCTTAATTATTATTATTATCATTAATATTAGTAATTATGAGTGATTTGTTTTTTCTTTTCGAGGTGTCTGGAGAATATGCTATGATATACTGGGCAGCACAAAAAGGCGTTTTTGATCTCAAAGTAGCGTTGACTGAAATATTTTCATCTCTTAGGAGAGCAGGTAAGAACCTCAGTAATTTCATTTCTTTTATTATACGATTTTCGTTAAATTACACTAACCAAAAAAATTCGAAAATTAAATGCACAAATATGGGTACACCTTGGGGGGTACCAACATCCGCCCTTCCGTATTGGGTTTGGTTAAACTTTATCCTCATGAAGACCTCTTATTATTAATTTATACTCGAAATGAGTAAGATGAATTTACATCATTTTCAAACTTAGACCAATCGCTCCCGAGAAATCGTACAATGGACTTGTCGTGCAGGGTTGTTGGGGATACATTGAGGTATAAAAATCCAAAAACATTGGCCTTCTCATTAGCAGTTCAGACAATGCGGTATATTTTTCAAAGCAAGGCAAACAGTGACTTTTTTGGCGTTTTTAAAATCAAACACAGGAAACAAAAAAAAAACCTCAAAGGCTGCAATCAAATCGTATTTCTTTCAGTTTTTGGAAATAATAGCATAAATAATGGTTATTGAGATATCAGTGGACGATGACAAAAGGATTCCTTTTTAATTCAAAGTCGGATATCTCGGCGCCGAATGATCGTATCCAGATTTTAAAAACAGGATATTGAAGCTGAATAAACGGGCTATCTGATACATATGGTGGCCCAGCAGCAAACATTTTTTCAGGCCGTTGGATTTTGCAAAATTTTCTTTTTGCGATATCTGTTGCATGAGAACCGTTGCTCCTTAAATTCACCGAAATACAGCCTGCCAAAAATCACCGAATAATTTGGATTTTTTCTTGCTCACCTAAATTTTTTGAGTAGCGTAGACAGATGAAAAAGCTCGCATTCGGGGGTCTTGTCTCAATTCATGAGCATTGAAAATGGACATTTTTACGGCTTGTATACTACTCAGAAAAAATTTTCTTGTTCAAAATGATCCAAAACGTATACATATTTTGGTTTTAGGTGCAGATGTGATAATAACCTATTATACCCCCCTCATATTGGAGTGGTTGCAGTTGAAGCACAAGCTGTAAATGCAGAAAGAAAAAATAGACAACTTTATTTTGTTTTTGGTATGTGCGTTGGTTATGGTTATTGTTTTTTGTTGACTAATGCCAAATGCATTTAGTAAACTTTATATTATTTATGGAGTTTTGTTTATATCCCTTTCTGATTCGGGCATAGAAAGCGGCACAGAAGCGTATCAAAAACGTAGCATTCAAGTGTCAAGGATGAAATCTCCTTTGAACAGACAGTGACCTTCAATAAAGAACCTTTCATCTAGTTTCAAAAAATCATAAAGGTTTTCATTATCAGTCAGTTTCAACAAATTCTTAGTTTTGAGGATACTTTAAGTGGTAAATCATCTTCTTGGTCAGCATTATTTAACTGGTCTTCACTTTGTGTATTTCATGCTTAAATCCTGCTTTGCATAAGCAATTTTGCACATAGATTTTCATTTACATTGCAATAGTAATATAATTAGCAAATCAATAATGCAGAAAGGACTACTTGAATTTAATAAACTAAAATGTAATTTTAAGATGTTTAAAAGAAAATAAAAGGAATATTTCGTGGACAGTGAAACTTCGCAGAGATGCAAGTTTTGTTTTTCTAAATATCTATATATGTAATTGTCGTAGTTTTCAAAAGAATGTAATTGTAGCAATCATGCTAAATAAGACTTAAACAAAAAACAAGAGAACGAAAAAATAAAAGTCAAATTACCTAAATAACTTTATTTACAGAAACAATACAATCCTATTTCATCAGGTTAAAAGAATGTATTAATGCTCTACAAACATTACACAATGCTGAAATAATATGATATTATAAAAAGGCCCACAAAAAACGATATATACCCACTTTAAGAAAATCTACATAAAATAGCAAAACAAAATTAGTTACGAATTAAACACTGTGTGACAAGATCATATTTAAATTGAATTGATTTTGATATTGGCATTTTAATGAAATTTAAACTACAAACACTGTTTCAAGAATATAAAAAAGCATCTTCAGGTCGTGCCATCTATCTAGAGAGACGCTAATCTATATAAAACTTATATAGATATTATAAATTGTTGTCAAGTTGCACGAAGTCAATAGCAATGATGCAATTAAAAAACATTAATTGGGGCCTGCACCTTGTGGTTACAATATACGTAACGTTATTCTTGATGCATTCTTCATATCCTCAGCACACCCTCTACAGTGCATCATTAGGACACAAGATGCTACTGATATACATTCAACAAAATAGTGCATGAAAAAATATCCTTAAAAACAACAGGGCTGCGAAAAACATAAACGCATGTCAATTTGACAGATCTGTACGATAAAAATCTTTACCAAAGGCCTCATCCATAAAGAATGATGGATACATCAAAACAGAGGAAAAATGTTATAGAACAAAGTCGTAACGTTTGAAGATAGGCACCACCTAGAACGTGTCCTTGACTGTGACCATCAAGGTCATTTTAGGATATCCAAAAGGTTTGAGGTATCTCGAAAAATACGCTACCTAGGCAGTACGGTTTCCGGCATCAGCCATCCATGAGGTACCTCCTAGCTTACGTCACACAGCTGTGCAATAAACTCATCCAGGCTTATGGTGAGGCTCATGTCGAAAGCATTCGATCAGCTGTGGTACGCTGATCTCTTATGCTTTTTTATCCCACAGACACTGTACCTCTCACATATCAACGACCTCAGAGCGTCAAGCCGTTCTCTACCGGTGAGCTGGAAAAACAGACTAGCAGCGACTTCCTCAGACTTTGAGGTTATCACTGCTTGGGGATGTAACAATCTTGTATAGTTTAATGCTAAACATAGTACTGTAAGGTCAATTGGATCTGGAGAAGTACTCCTATTTTTGCTTCCCTGAAGAGTAAATTTGACGTCTAAATCGATCATCGTAAAACATTGAAGATCATGGTTAAAATCTCGTTCAAGATCACCGTCAGGTGACCATTTATTTAAACCTTGCAGATTTGCTCTACATTTTCCTCTAGGCAGCGTATATTTTGAGATTTTTGACGTCCGAAAATGACCTTTAAGGTCATATCCTTTGCATTTCCGGTGAAAATTTTCCAGTGTGAAAAATAGAGGTCATCACTTAACCATAAAATGATGAATGCCCCTCTTCAAACTTTACAACCTTATTCTACAAACGTTTTCTTTAGGAAATGTATTTTTCCAGACACTTTGATGTATCCGTCCTTTTTGGACAGAAAGAAAATACGTTCAAGACTGTTGACGTGCAGAATTTGCGCAGAGCTTCATTCAATTATTTGTCGATATAGCGAGGGGTTGGTGTAAGAACACTACCGAAATTCAGGCTTTGCAAAATTCCGATCAATAATCCTCGCTCATCAAAAGTACAACTAAAGCGCTCCATCCGGTAAAAGGCTTGCACCCGCTTCCATCGCCGGTGCTATCGTTGTACTGCTCCCAAACGTACCCGGTGTACCGATACTGGCTAAAAACGTTGCTGATCACCGATTTCCTCAATTCTCTGTACAAATCCGCTGCCAGCTTTTTGTAAGGGCCGTCGATTTCAGCGTAATGCCTCAACGCTCTCGCAGCTAGGAAGTTCATGTTGATCCAGATTTGGCCCCTCCAGTACGGCGGATCGTGTTCGGTATTTCGTTTCATGTAGAGAGGAGACGTTGTCGATAAAGAACGAAGTCCAAATTTTGAGAAAATCGAAGGGTTGGACATGTCTTTAAGGATGGTCTCAAGTTTGGGCGACGTCGGTTCGACTATTTGTAAGAGAAACGGGAAAAGGTTGACGTATCCGAACGTCATGCCGTCTACTAAGCGATACTCTGGTTTCTTGAAGACCACTCGTTGCATTTCCATGTTTTGGTTTTGCTGTCTCGGCAGAGGCTGGGGCCTTTCTAGTTGTACGCTGTCCGTGTGCAATCTGAAATAAAACAATACATTTTGAAATAATAAGACGCAAGTGGTGAAGTCAAAGTTTTTGCTGACAATACCACTATACTTGGCAAGACAGATACAGATGAAAAGACGTCCCCTAGAAATCAAAATTGACGTGTCCGAGCATTTTTACAAAATATATTATGAGAGTCACAAAGGGAGTGCGATCTTTTCGTTGGTCCACCCAGTATATCGATTAAAGATGCCGTTTTAAATGGCAAAAAGATGTTCTCGTCTTTCCTCATTTTTCTCACCTAAAAACAGCAAATGCTAAAAAACGGGACTCCGTTTCCAACCCAACTCATCCACGTCTCTGTGGCACTGCACAACAAAAAAAAAAAATTCCTGACGAACTTGAAACTCAGCCTTCAAACAGTCTCTCCAACCAATTGGAAAAACTTCAATGCAGCGAAATTTTGAAAGCAGGAGACTCACAATAGGGTACGACCTTATCATAGCGCCACACTGTATGTTGCAAACCACAGGATACTGTGACAAATAGCGCCATCTGTTGGACGAGTCTGTTACTCGCCAGAGCTTAGTTGCCGATCTCTGCTTTAACACGACCGCACAAGCCGCCTAGCGGCGTCTGTGAGAACCGTGACAGTGGATCGCTTTCTAGATCGACGCGAAGTGATCTCCAACATTCTAGATGTCGCTTTGTGGTCTTTCTCGAAACGGCAATTGGGACTGTATATAACTCGGCTTCCGGGAGATGGAGCAGAGTACGGAATACGGTAGAGTAGCAGAGCGGAGTGAGGTATAGTGCACTCAATGGTGTCATAAGAATTAGTCAGACATAAACAGTGGTGTATGTATACGTATATAAATGTTTTGTGAAATCCAGTGTTTTAATCCACACCCAAAAGAACCCAGAAAAACGCTACAATACGTTACAGATTTAAATGAATACTTACCCATAATCAGCGTATCTTTTAGAAAACTCCGACCAATGCAGACTGTCCAACAGGCGATTGTCCATCAGATACGCCGCCGTCTGTTTGTACTTCCTCCCGTCTTGGCCCAGGACGTCGGCCAAAGTGGCCATTGCTTTCGCGGCCATCGCCATCCAGCAGTACAGATCGACGTGGCGCTCCTCTTCGGTGGGGTGCGACGCCCTGGGGTAATCGTCCAGGCCCGACGTGAGCGTTTTGGGGTTCAGCTCGCGCGTCGTGTGCGGATCTCTGCCTCGCCAGCGATACGAACCGGGTAAGGGGCCGCGCTGCGTCGTGTTAAACCAACCGAACCACGCCTGGAGATTTGAGGATCGGAGTAAGTTGGACGCAAATTTTACTAAATGCGTGGAATATAAGCTGAATTGGTTAGAGTTTCGAAGATTTTTCAGATGCAAAGTAACTTGAAACGTATCAGGTGTCCCAGCCGATGGGAGCAAACAATTTTTCGTTCGAATTGAGATAGCGTATGACCTAAAAGTTTTGGCACAAAATTCGTTGGCTTTAATTTTAAAAAACACAAAATGATATCAAGTTGCCTTTGAAAAAAAAAAGGTTATAAAATTATCCTTGTTTCTATCGATCAAAATTGCAGCCACACCCAAAATGTCTACCTTTAATCTAAAACTTTATCTAGTGATCTGAAAATGTATATATTGAAGTAAAATTGACTCAAACTGATTACAGTTAAAGAAGTCCTGTTTTGGCACCTCCAAATCTCACTTTTATAGTTGCCATGGATACAGAAAGGATCGTTTTATACTAGAATGATAAAAGACAGACTACCTGCAAACGGGGATACATCCTCTCTAACGTAGCCCACTGATCTTCATTGAGTTTGTCTCCGTATTTTCTCAAAATGCTCTCCAAAGTCAGAAAGAACGTCGGGGGGTTCGCATAGGTGTTTCTTTGAATTGTAAATTCACTTGGAACCTGTCAAAAATTGAATGATTAATAACCAAAGTTTCGATGAATTCACAATAGCGTCTTTTAAAATCTGGAACATAAATTACTTGGAAATTTTGAAAAAAATTGAAAACTGAAAATATTTTAGAAATTTCGGAATTTGATTTTAAAATGTATAAATTCGGAAAAATAAATTTTCAATTTGGAAAAAATTTGTGAATTTTGAAAAAAATGGAAATTTCAAAATGTGAAAAAATTGAAAACTGAAGATATTTTGGAAATTCTGAAATTTGAAAAGAATTTGTTGATTTTGAACAAAATTTGGAAAATTCAATATAGGAAAATATTTTAGTAAGTTTAAAATTTGGAATAAAAATTGTGAATTTTGAAAAAATTAGAAAACTTCAAGAATTGACAACGATGAAAACTTTGAAAATATTTTGGAAATTATGGAATTTGAAAAAAAATTTGGATTCAAAAATTCATGAATTCTGTAAAAATGAATTTTAAATTTGGAAAATATGTGTAGATTTTGAAAAAAAAATTGGAAATTTCAAAATTTGAAAAAATTGTAAAACTAGAAATATTTTGAAAATTTTGGAATTTGAAAAGAAATTTGGATTTAATCATTTATGAATTCTAAAAAAATGAATTTTAAATTTGGAAAAAATTGTGATTTTGAAAAAAAATTGGAATTTAGAAGGAAAAAAATTGAAAATTTTGCATAAAAATATTTTGGAATTTGAAAAAATGGATCAAAAATTTGTGCATTTTGAAAAAATGAATTTTAAATTTGGAAAAAATTACTTGCTTTTGAAAAAAAAATTGGAAAATTCAAAATAGGACAACATATGAACTTTGAAAATATTTTGGAAATTATGGAATTTGAAAAGAAATTTGGATTTAAAAACTCATGGATTATGTAAATATGAATTTTAAATTTGGAAAAATTTGATATTTTTGAAAAAAATTGGAAATATCAAAATTTTAAATAAATTGAAAACTTTTAATAAAAATATTTTGGAAATTTTTCAATTTAAAAAAAATTTAATACAAAACTTTGTGATTTCGAAAAAATGAATTTTAAATTTGGAAAATGTGTATATTTTGAAAATTTCATAGTTTGATAAAATTGCAGAACTAGAAATATTTCGAAAATTTTGGAATTTGAAAAGAAATTTGGATTTAATAATTTATGAATTCTGAAAAAAATGATTTTTAAATTTGGATAAAATTGTGAATTTTGAAAAAATGGGAATTTCGAAGAAAAAAAATTGAAAACTTTGAATAAAACCATTTTGGAAATTTTGGAATTTGAAAAAAAATTGGATCAAAAGATTTGTGCATTTTGAAAAAATGAATTTAAAATTTGAAAAAATATGTGAATTTTGAAAAAAAATGGAAATTTCAAAAAGTATTTTGGAAGTTTTAAAATTTGGAAAGAAAATTTGATTTGAAAATTTAAGAATTTTGGAAAAATTAATTTTAAATTTGGAAAAGATTTGTAAATTTTGGAAAAGTCGAAAATTCAAATTCACCCAATCCCATATAAGATGAGAAACGAGTCGGGGGATAATTTTTAAAACAACTGAATTTCAACATTTGAAAAGAAATGGAATTAAATATTTGGAAAATTCGAAAATTTTGAAAAAAATAGAAATTAAAAAATGGAAATTTCGAAATTTGAAAAGATTAGAAAACTGAAAAAACATTTTAAATTGCCAAAAAATGAATTTCAAATTTGGAAACAATTTGTAAATTTTTAAAAAACCGAAAATTTAAATTCACCCAATACAATATAAGGTAAAAACCATTTCGAGGGATGAATAGAAAGTCTAACGGTCAATAACAAGCACCCCACGCTTTTTTACTATATTTCAAAGTTTTGCTAATATCTTAATTTTAATATTGATCTTATTCTAAACTAATTATCATTCTTGATTGTTGGACTTTCTATTGCAGCAATACAAACTCCCCTAAACTTGAACATTATTTTCCACTTTTTAGTTCAATTTGCTAAGAAAGCGTGTTTTTCCAACTGTAATTTATTATCGAAATGACCAAAGTGGTGTCGGTATACACTGAAAGTTTCGCATGTTATGATGTAATTTTTTTTTGAATAAAACTCGCATGAGGTCCTGTACAATTACCTTTGCCAGAGCCTCCACTCCCAAAATCTGTTCCCTCGGGATCCAACCTTCAACGTTCAGAAGGTCAAACCAATGACTCATTATATCCAGAGCAATGTCCAGATCCCACTGAGATATTAACAGCCCGTGGAAACCTTCATCCCACAGAAATCCTCTGGGGAAAAAACTCCTGAAAACATCCAAAGCATTCATTTAACAGAAACATACGATTTGATTGTCAAAATGTTTGATAAAAGGCCTAAGGCCAAAAAGTGAAAAATAACGAATATCAACACCCCGACATGAGAGACGAGTATGAAACATGATGCTTCTGAAACTTATCCTGAGGTTATTTAGTAATTAATTTTCATGTTACTGTTTTGACTTTTTTTAATACTTTTTTGGGGATTGCGCTTCTGATTCCATACCTTGAAGGGACTGCAGTATAAAGTGGTGCTCTCCAATAGTACACTGGCTCTTTTATGTAAGTACTTTGTACTTTAGAAGCACCATAGAAGTATCCGATGCCTCCGACCATGTTACTCAAAGCTGCTTGAGCAAACGCGTATTCTTTCGATGATGCCAAAATCCTGAAAAAGCACACAAAACTTTATAAGGATCGGATGTCCTTTTAAACAATCTCGCACTCATCTAAAATCTAGATAAATAAAATCTAACATAAAATAATATAAATCTAAAATATGTCTCCATAAAGGAAGAATCAATAAAAACAAAAAATCAACAAAATCTATGAAATATCAAAAGAAGACAGAGCAATGAATCTATTAGAGGTTCTACATATCCATTTCTATATTATTTTAATTTTTCTAAGTTTTAGATTTATTTTGAAGGCTAAAAAACAGTTACCCTTTATTTTTGAGGTGAAATTTTTCCTCAAACGCCTGATCGAAGTGCGCCCGGTTTTTCTCCAACAATTTTGTGTACGTTTCTCCGACTAGGGCATCCGGTCTGTAAGAAAAACTTCCTGATTCAAACACAACGTCCATTGTGAAGGGTATCCTTCCAGTTAACTGTACAGCCACAAAGTTTGGATCTAACTAGAAAAAATAAATCGATAGAAGGACCGCTGGAGGAGAAAAACGTAGAGTGACAGTGTTTTAATTCTACAAAATTACTGAATTGACAAAAGTCAAAAAACCAAAACTGTGTTCTCAAAATTACAAGTTCTACAAAATAACGCTTTGAGAATGATATTGGATAAGAAAAGAAGACCAAAATAAAATCTATGTCACAAGAAATGGTTGAATATAAAAAATTCATATATTGTATATGGTTCTTGCTTATATAATTAAAATAAAAAGAATTGAAAAAACTGGACACTGTAAATATTATGGAAATTTTGAAATTTGGAGTTAAAAATTTATGAATTCTGAAAAAAATTAATTTTAAATTTGGAAAAAATTTTTGAATTTTGAAATAAAATCGGAAATTTCGACATTTGAAAAAAATTGAAAACTGAAAATGAAATTTGGAAAGAAATTTGGATTTAAAAATTAATGAATTCTGAAAAAATGAATTTTCAATTTGTAAGAAATTGTGAATTTTGAAATAAAATTGGAAACGTCACAATTTAAAAAAATGAAAACAGAAAATATTTTGAATTTTGGAAAGAAATTTGTATTTAAGAATTAATGAATTTCAAATTTTTAAAAAAATGTGAATTTTGAAAAATGTGTAAATTTCAAAATTTAAAAAAAATGAAATCAAAATATTTTGGAAATGTTGGAATTTAAAAAACATTTGGATTCAAAAATTTATGAATCCTGAAAGAATGAATTTTTAATTTGGAAAAAAATTGTGAATTTAGAAATAAATTTGGAAATTACAAAATTTAAAAACAATTGAAATATGAAAATATTTTGAAAATTTTGGAATTTGAAAAAAAATTGGATCTAAAAATTTATTAATTATGAAAAAAGAAATTTTAATAATAATAATTGTAGCAATCATGCTAAATGAATCTGAAACAAAAAAGCTCAATTATTAATAAGTATATTCTGACAGAATATATGCGATTCAGATCTGTAAGATCTCGTTTTATATGGTCACGAAATTTTGACAATCCAAAATCGTGCGAATAATTACGAGAGAAGGCAAGAGGTTTCCTTGGAAAGATGATGTAAAAAATAAGCAATTTCCTTTAAAAGGTGGTGACAATCGAAATACAAATTTCAGCATCTTCTTTGAGAATTTTGAAGGAAATTTATCCACATACCTTGTCGTGTCCTGTAAACGACGGCAATTCACCGCCAAGGATAATCTTTTGAGGCGCAGCGAGCCTCAAGGATGATATGACAGTTTCTTTGAGCAAATGAAGTCCTGGAGCCGTTGTACTAAGGAATGATTCGTGGTCCAAGATACCTAGAAATAGTAGTAGCAATGTTAAGAGGCAAAGCTTGACAACTAGGTAATTTTTCGCCCAAACAAGTTTGTGAGTGAATTCATTTTCGGCAAAGAAACAATTTCCACTAAGTTTAGGTTGTGTTTGTATTTTATAGAACCTGAAAAACAAAAAAAAAACAGAAACAAAACCCAATACTCTTGTTTGCATGAAGGTGGCTACATTTTGTTCGAGTTTTGTTTTCGGTTCTTTTCCGCTGGTCGTAGCGAGGAACTCTATAAAGTAGCCAAGTCACCACTTTAACCATAAATATACATATATTTAATAATGATCAACTTTTTATAATGTTACTTTATGCAATATATTACCTGAACTATTTACAAATTTCAACTTGAAATCTCCCAAAGTAGATGTGTATCCTTTTATTCCAATTATTTTGGTCTGGGAGTAACTAGCTTCAATGTAACCTTTGGTTTCCTCATCTAGAGCTACATACCATATAAAGGAGACTGGCTCGTCTTTTATCTCCATCGCGACATTTTTCTAAAAAAAAAAAGAAATTTTTCACCCAAAGCAAACACCAAGATCATTCAAATTGTCGAACAAAACTATTAACAATTGTCTTTTTATGAATTTTAAAAACATACTCAAATTAATTTGATTTTAAAAATAAAAATCTCAAAGTTTTGTACCGCAAGACGCAATTTCAGTTGTGATTGCAAAATCCGCAATAGATACTGAGCGCCACCTACGGAGGAATGACGGAACCGCCGTTTTGGTAATATTTGCCTGAATTAATGCAACCCGCATTTCGCTAGCGTGGTTTGTGGGTTGCCGCCTTATAGGATACGATATGGCAAAATGTGACGAAAATATGACGTATACAAGTTCAGAGCTATATAAGAAAAGTTCGAAAACTCGAAAAAAAGAGACTTAACAAAAGTGCTTACATTTATATAGTCCACAGATATTCTAGCACTCCATTCCCCGCCATTTGATCCTCCAAGTCTTTTGACGAATGACGTGTTCAAACTGAAAGGTCGATCTATGATCTCTTGCTCTCCAAAGTTTTTTCCGTCATGTTTCACCCAGCCATATTTTGCAAGGTTGTCTCCTTGTTCACACCAATGCCTGAAAGAATAGAATAGCAGCAAATTAATATCGGATTCAGATTATATGCAACTCTAAGCAGCCAAAGTCAACGGTTGATAAGGAAAACAGAAATTGCCATGTAATGGAAATCGAGAATTAGCCATATAGATATGATTGGTGTTACCTGATTCCGTGGCCACCAGGATTCAATCTACTGGGAAAATACCACATTAAACCTGTGACCAACGATGCAGGATCCCTTGTTTTCAGTCCAAAGTAAACTCCAGGTCGGTAGCTGCCCCAAAACCTCTCGGGCACATCTAGCCCACTTTTAAGTACAACCTAGAAATCATAGTACATTACATACCTAGGTTGAGAGGCTCGTTTTCAACAAAAAAAAGGTTACAACTGTTCATTGAAAATTCAAATAGAATGGTTTCAGTTTCTCAAAAACAGTTGATCTAGTTTTTTCATTTGAATCTCATGGGAAAATGGGTGCGTCTCATCAAAAGGCTCAGGGAACTTTTAAATTCGAATTTATTGGCATTTAAGGGCCCCACTAAGCTGAGGGCCTAGATATTGGGGCCCGTGTGTGAATAGGGTAAAAAGATGATAGACAACTACTAAAAAATTACAAACCATAAACTAAATTGCAAAAATATACACAGAGTTCCTTTTTTTTCAATTAGTAGTATTAAAATTTTATTAACATGGTATTTTATAACATAAGTCTTGTAACTCAAGGATCTTAGACTAATAATTGTTGCCTAAAATATATGAAATTTAAACAGGCAGTTGCTTGAAAAGTCGGTAATCTTTGGATGTCAGTTTACCTTTTTTCCATCAAATGGTGTATTAATTCTAGTTTCTAAATATCCCATATACCCACATCCCACTGCTATACCCAGAACGACGCACAGAACAATTTGCTTCCAGTATCCCAAAATATTGAAGCTTTTCGAGGGTTTCCCATTGACTGAGCTTCCATTGCTGCTGCTACTATTTGCGCTATTCGTCCCTTTTTCGGACTTTTTTACTTCCGAATTGGACTGGGTTCTACGCTTTCGAACCATACTTCCTCATTTAAATTCATTTACGTGGCTCGCTATGTCACAAAATTTGAGAAAACCTGATAAGAATCACTTTGATCGAGCGGCTTTTCATCGCCACGTTATCACAGATTGCAAGAAGCGAACAATTTTGACATCAAATCAAGAGCCAAATGCATATTGATCGCAATCAGCTGATTTTTAATTTTACTTATGCAACCAGTCCTACAACTATACGTTGCTAGCGCCATCTGTCGAGCAATAGATTAAAAGCCATTACCTTGTAAATTGTATGTTTTTAATTCGATATGGGTCTCTGTAAGTAGAACTAATCAAGTTCGTATCAATCGTAGTGACGACAGGCTATGTCTTGTCCAGTGGTGTAGCAAAGGTGACACCCACCCGCTGACAACTTTAAGAACAACACAAAAAAATTGCACAGATTGCATAGCAAAGTAAAGGCTTAACTGTTGACGAAACTGCTACAAAAATAGATTCACTTCGTCTTCATATCGAAGAAAAACGGGGTCACATTGTGGAAGAGACAATAGATATTGCTACAAAAAAATCAGAAAACTACGATATTCCAACAGAAAGACGATTTCGAAAGGAAAAACGGATAGCTGGTGAGATATCCAGTGAGGCAGGACTTAGTCTGAAAGAAGAACTTCCAAAAGATATGTTGGAATGTCTTAACCGATTCAGAGTTGAACTCCAAACAAGATCAAAGTCTCTAAGACCTAGCTTCATTGTTCGAGATCGTACAAAGAAATACTTTGCTTTTGGCGAATACCGAAGAACCGAAATAAGCTACATCCAAATTGCGAAGACACTTAAAACGATTAATGTTACAGTTTCTAATTCGGTATCTCTAGGTTTCTTAAAGTTTATCGTAGAATAGGATTTTACAGAATCTCTTCCAAATCTTATGATTGAACTAAAATTGTTCATGAGGTTTGCGTGTCCGTAGCTTCATGCGAAAGAAGTTTCAGTAAACTAAAATTAATAAAAAACGATTTGCGGTAAGGATCGCAATTTGTTAGGAAACATCGACATCGTATCATTATCATCGATAGAGCTCGATACATCGGAACAAATACATCGATGCAACAACTCTTCTTTTTAACGCTTTCTGCTATCGGTTTTAGTGGAATGGTCATTTTATCCGTTGGTGGAATTCCCACCGCGTTTTTTTTCTCGATTTCTCGACCATTAAGTAAGAATAACAACGCGACAGCAACTTCACGGTAGGATAAAAGAAGGATACCGACTGCAATATATTGCAGTAAAAACGTATGATTATAGGAAACTGCAAGATATGTGAGATTGTCAAAATGAAGAACACATTGATGATCATTAAATCCTTTACACTGTTCACAAGTTGAAGAGTGTTTTTTAAAGTACTTCCACACATCACTTTTTCGTGGCATTTCGATTAATTAACAATAAAACAGCGATACTACAACTACATACAAGAAAATAATCAAACGAACCTGAAATTATTAAATGCGTAAATGCGCTGTTTTCAGTTTATTTTATTACATCCCTTGGGGAAGTACAGAATAAAGTAAAGACTACAGTCCATGTCACGGCTGTAATATTATAGAGATACTACTAAACAGCTTTCTAGGTTTTTAATTGAGAAGCTACCAGTCCTCGCTTAGAGATGGTAGCACAGTTAAGGATATACTCGGGGTATACCGATGCTTATGATACTTTCGATGTCGATACATCGATATATCGTCATAAAACCATCGATACTTAACATCGATGTTCTACGTCCGATGTATCGATGTCTTCGATACATCGATGTATCGTTGCCATCCCGATTTGCGGGCAACAATGACTCAATCGCAGCTTAGCAATGCAAAGGCATCTTAGCTATCGAACACGGGGCAATACAAAATGGAAATTTTGTTATGAAGTTATTTCTGAGTTTGCAGCTGTCAAAGCTAGAAAGAAGAGATTTTAATTGTAAGATAAACATATTTTTTCTGTCTTAGTTTTTATTGCGTTTTGTTATTTGTTCAATATCTTAAATAAAAATATTAAATGATCCATGACGTTTATATATCATATAAAACGTATTGCTTTTGACTTTCGATGGGGTGACACCACCAACTTCCGCACCGGGTGCCACAGAAGGTAGCTACGCCACTGGCTTTGTCCTAGAAAGTCAGAATAAATTTTTAAGTGCCAACAGCGCCATCTGTGGACGATTTGTCTTATTACACCTAACATACAGGGAATCCTACTTGTTCGTGCCCGAATTCAACAAAACTAAGTCGTTTTGTCAGGCAACCAATTATACAAAATAGCTTTCCAAAGTATTTTAGTTTGTGATTTAGGTAATAAAAGAAAATCTGTATCTCAAATTCAAATTATTTCTTCACAATGTCCTTGATAATGTTGGAAATTTTAAATAGGAGTTAAAACCTGCATGCCAATTTTTAAAATCTGTCTCTATTATCACTGCACGCGATCAAAAATAATGGAGAAAAACAAAAACATCAAGGGTCAGATTTTTATAAATATTCTGATATTATTTTCGAACTATACGACTCTCAAGAAAAGAAAATGGAATAACGCAATGCAGTACAGTATAGCTGCACAATCAATTTGACATCTTTTTGAATAACACGATGTATGACCAAATAATGCAGTATCGACCTTCTTTATGACAACTCATTTCAGTATTCATTGGTACAATCATAACTGTCAAATTTTTAGTTGAATTTTACCCCATTTACGAACAATATGGAGCAAAACATTGCCCTCATGTCTGCGTCATCATCGCGCAAAAGACACTCCATCGCAGACCGTTCCGGATCTAATGAAGAAAAAGAAGACACTGTGCCGCGTAAGAGATGCAGACAGCCATCATCAGATCCTTTTTCAACTTTGCCCAACGAGGTGATGATCAAGATATTCTCGTATTTGACACACGAGGAGCTATACAAAACTGCAAGGTGCGTCTGCACAAGGTGGTACGTTCTAGCCTCGGCGCCAGTTTTGTGGAAGACGATCACCGCTCAGCAAAACGTGCCTTCTAACGTTCTGTTAAAGTGGTTGGAACATTCGCCGTTGCTGCAGGAGCTGAATCTGACAGGCCGAGATGATGTAGACGTAGTCACCGGCAAGGTATCGAGACACTGCAGGAAGTTAGAATCGTTAAAAATCGAAAACACCGGTCCCTGCAAACTATTGAGAAGCAGCAACTTGTGTCGCTTATTGACGAAATGCAAGCAGTTGAACAACTTGCATTTCAGTGGCGTGAAAATCCTGTCGTGTAAATTTTTCAAGCTGTTCTCTCGCCGCAAGCACTCCGGAATGAAGAGATGCAGTTATCACGGGCCTGTGAGTCAAAAGCAGATGAAAGCTTTGATAGAATCGATCATCAATAGCGATAATTTCGAGGCTGCAACTCTGGTCACAGCGGATAACAGAAAAATCCCGATAAAAACCCAATCGAATCGCGAATTTGTGAACGTTCCTGTAACCGTCGAAAATATCTGGCAAGACGTCACCAGCAACAGCGTTAATGACTTCACCGATGTTGACGACGCTGATTACGAAGCTGATTTAGATGAGTGACGTGTGATGTGAGTTTATTCATGTTCATCAAGACTATTTGTAACTACATTGCAACTTGTAACTGTAAACAATAAAATTCTTGTACGGTGAATGTTTTTTCCTCCATATGAACATGACCTCCTCACTCTGTACAAGTCCTAGATAGGACCTAACATCGAGTATTGCTCACAGGTTTCTGTTCTGGAGTATCTAAAAAAACAGCTTTCTGTTTCCCTCAGGATCGACCCCGGCAAGAAACTTACAAAACGTCAAAAAAAAAAAAACCCAGAAGATGTCAACTTGCAGACTAGGTAGTTTGTAGGGCGCAAACAGTCATTCCACGTTTGCTCACTAGGATCGTTGTGAACGTCCATCTATGAGGGAATCACTCAACTAACTACACGCATCATTGGTTGCATAGTTTTGTGAGGCTGACGTGATCCGTGTCTGTAGTTTTTATCTCTGAGAAGATTGATAACGAGCCTCATGACGTTTAGGCAACACGTACAACTAAGTGCTAAGTCAATGTCTGGCGGAAAAACCTACATAATGTCAAAAAAAAAAAAACAGCATATGTCAAAAAAAATCGGCATAATGTCACTTTTCAAGATAGGTACGTAATACCAGCGCGGACCGCTGAATACCAATCTGCGCGTACTAAATCATAGGTAACTAGATCATGACGATAGATTGAGGGAATTGAAACGGTGGACGAGCAGTTCGATTTTGTGCGATGTGAGAATCTCGCCAGCCGGCGCGGATCGACCGACGAACGCTGCAACAGCGCGATTGTGCACCAGTCGGGGATATTTTAGTAGATTCGGTACTTTTTCCGATGTTGTAGTCAGAGATGTGGGGTTATGAAGTTCAAACAACTCAGAAAATAGATCAAGCAATTTATAATCGACGAGCTGGAACATTTAAAATGACGAATGAAAGCTACGGATTGGTTAAGGCTTTCGCGGCCAGTTGATAAACTGCTGTCTTGATTCGGATCTAAAGGACGTCGTCGATTGGAATTTCTTCCTAACGTTTTGCTAGTACGAGTGGCAGGCTTCTTCAGAGGTCCTTCCATTACCCGTTTTTGAGCAAAAATGAAAATTCGAAAAAGTAACAAATACGATAAAAGCCGAGGTGTGTTAGTTTTTTATACAAAATTCAGCACTCCAGATTTCAAAATGGCGGATTGAGAGGTTGCTGAAGCGGATTGTTTTTCTAAACAAAACACCTTCTATCTCAGTAGCTAATTACCAAAACCCCATAGTATGTTATATCAATTTTCTTCCTTTGAATTGGTTTATCCAAATATGCAATAAAATCTGAGGTATTCCATTTGAAAAATCACAACTTGGATATGTAGGTCGAAATTGGGACACCCTGTATAATGGACCATATTTTAGAAATGTGCTGTCAAACGTCATGTTTAACCACCCATTAATAGATTTTTTTCAAAACGTATTTGCTTATGAGTAATATTCTGTCCACACATAGATGGGCTATACCCTGTATACTCTCAAACTCCATTTTCTAATACACTCAACCGATTGATCAAATTTTCTCTAACAGTTATCGAGCCACATGAAATACTACAGGCAACTCTTGTAACGGTAATGAAGTTACCAAATTTAGAATATTGGGCTCGCAAAAAGATATTTAAAAATTTGACACATGCCAACAATTTCGATTAGAAAAGGCAGGCTTCACATAATACGTATTCCATTATTGAAATGATTCGATTAATTTAGGACGCAGATTGTGCCATCTCTTTTGCTCCGACTGCGTTCTCCCTCTCTCGTGTGCGCAATCCCATCCTCGTATTTCATCTTACACTTGACAAGCTGCACTTTAAGAGGGTGTAAAAATTTATCGAATTATACAGTGTCTTTCAAAGATTATTTAAGACAGAAGCTGATTTCTAGCAGAGATGACTTTTTCCTAAGAACTTGCGGCACCGTTTTATACGAGAGTCAGACATACCATTCTTGGACACCGTGTACGTGTCCGCCGTGTATATCAGGACACGTTTACGAGAGACAAACTTCCCGTATAACGCACTTCCTATGACCAGTCGTCAGACGTGCGCGCCGTTTTCTTTGCTGTGCGTCGGTTAAAAACAACCTGTTACATAACTGATGTAACACTAACGTTCGCAGATATTCTTAAAACCACTTTAGTGACCAACTTTCTCTCTCGCAGATAGTTGGCACACTCCGCGAATCGTTCGTAATCCCGTTTGATAAATATGCCTTCAACATGATTCAGGAGATTTGCATTCGGAAAATCGTGGAAAACGCGGACTGCGTAACACTAGGATACGCCGTACGAGCTATCAGGCCAACTGGCGAGCAAGTATTGCAATTTGCAATACAAATATGAGAAAACAACAATCCCATCTTACAAGGTTTCGAAGTGTCACCCTGTATCATTTTATTTTTATTACAAGTGCAGTACGTAAACAATTCGATATGGACAACAATGTCAGGATAATTTCAAAGCCACTTACTGGGTGACGTAAGAAATGCAGAAAAGTGTCTGAAATATTGTGTATGCTTACAGTTTGTATATTTGAAGATGTAGTCAAGAGTATTTTGAAATTATTTCATCCCTTTTCGTTGAAAGCTCCAAGGAAGGTTTAGGAAATATAGAGTCAATCTACTTGACGTCATTTTTAACACGCTTATATTAGCTTGGCCTGTATGTATGTGTGTAACGGAATATTTGAGCATAATTTTCACCAATTTCCAGAAGTTTGATTAACTTGAAACGGTGCTGTTGCGTCTTGTAGAACCTCACTGTTTTTTATCTTAAAACTTTTATAGGGTAGTCTGATAGATTATTTGGAAATAAAAAAAGTGTGGATGAAGCTCGCTTTTCATGAAAGAAATTTCCCAAAAGATTATATTTTTAGCAGTTATTTCCACCGCCATCTACCAGGTGACGCTGACGTCTGTGGATATGTCATATATGAGAGTCGCTTGCCTGCAGTGTTGCCGGATTGGGCTGCGCATTTAGGGAAAAATATGAAAAGTTGAAAATTTATATACAGATGTATATTAATTAATGAATCACAAAAACGAAAAACTGAAACAAACAACAGTATAAAAATAAAAGGCGATTCCTAATAAGTGTAAATAAAAAAATAACAGTAGTAAGCTAAAAAATGATAAATTATAAATAATTATAAAAAACGAAGAATACAAACAGTAGTAAAACAAAAACTAATTCCATGTTATTATGAAAATTAAAAAATAACAAACAGCAGCAAAATAAAAAGTAGTAAAAAAAACAATTCCATGTTGAATAAAAAGCAAATCTAAGTGACAACACAAAACAAAAAGTAAAAACAGTAGTAAAACGAAGAACAATTTTATTCCATCCAAATTGCTTTTTATTTTACTGTTTTTTATTTTTTGTTTTTTTATAATTAAATGGAATTGTTTTTTGTTTTACTACTGTTTTTTTTTTGTTTTTTATAATCACTTAGAACTGCTTTTTATTTTACTGCTGTTTGTTATTTTTTGTTTTATACTTAGTAAGAATCACTTTTAATTTTACTACTGTTGTTTGTTTCAGTTTTTTGTGTTTGTGTTTCATTAATATAAATGTATATAAATTTTCCACTTTTCATATTTTTCCCTAAATACGGAGCACAATCTGGCAACACCGCAGGCAAGCGCCTCTCATATATGACATATCCACAGACGTCAGCGTCATATGGTAGATGGAGGTGGAAATAACTGCTAAAAAATGCAGTGTTTTGGGAAAAAAATTCATGAAAAGCGTGCTTTATCCACACTTTTTACGTAGTCATGCCATAAGTTCTGTCCCTCGTTTTCAAACAAGTGTAGACCTGTTAATACTTGTCCGATTGTTTACATTGTGGTGTCAGTTGATTAAGCGCTTTTCGGGTAATTACATATACCTCAGTTTGTATTGATCTCTCGAAGCATAACGATGGAGTGGGGCAAGGCAGAGAACCGTATTGCAGTGATAGCTTTACATAAGTGTAATCACAGTGCTAGTCAGATTTTTGAACTCTTACGCGGCCTTCAAATATCGCGTAAATTTGTGTCTAGGACCATTCAGCGGTACAATGAGACGTCCTCTGTTGATGACAGGCCAAGAAGCGGAAGACCTCGTCAAGTAAGGACTCCAGCAGCCATCAAAGCCGTAAAAGCCAGGATTCAAAGGAATCCACTCCGGAAGCAGAAGATCCTATCCAGGGAAATGAAGATTCCTGTCCGGACGATGTCGCGCATCATTAAACAAGACCTAGGGCTAGGGGCTTACCGGAGACGTACGGGCCAGCGACTTACGGCCACCTTGCGACACATCAGGGCGACAAGATCCAAGAAGCTCTTGGAGAGGTACGCAGCTGGGGGATTCCGAAAGATTTTGTTCACGGATGAGAAAATCTTTACCATAGAAGAAAAATTCAACCGACAAAATGACAAAGTGTATGCAAGGAGTTCACAGGAAGCTTCGGAGATCATTCCGAGAGTTGAGAGAGGCCACCACCCTGCGTCAGTCATGGTTTGGTGGAGGGTGTCCTACGAAGGGGTCACTCAGCTCCATTTCTGTAAACAGGGCGTGAAAACAAAAGCGGCAAACTATCAGAGCGACATACTGGATCCTATCGTCAAGCCTTTAAGTGGTACATTGTTTGCCAACCAACACTGGGTCTACCAGCAGGATTCCGCCCCCGCTCACAAGGCTAAGAGTACGCAGCGCTGGCTGGAAAGCAATGTGCCAGAGTTCATTGCTGCGGAAGATTGGCCCTCAGGGAGTCCGGACCTCAATCCTTTAGACTACAAGTTGTGGGACCTGCTAGAGCAGTTGGCCTGCTCCAAAGCCCACCGTAATATCGAGTCCCTGAAAGCGGATTTGATCCGATCAGCGGCAGCTATTCCTTTGGAAGCTGTGCGTGCAGTGATAGATGAGTGGCCCGCGAGATTGAAGCAGTGTGTGAAGGCCAAGGGGGGACATTTTGAATAAAACTGTTTGATTATGAATTCTAAAAATGTTGTCGAATAAATAATATCTTTCATATAAATATATCTTATCTTGTTTCATTTTTATTATGAGATTATCATGGGACAGAACTTATGGCACGACTACGTATGATGTAAAATAATTTATCAGACTACCCTCTATAAGTTTCAAGTGAAAAAACAGTGAAATCCGAAGTTCTACAAGACGCAACAGTACCCCTGAAACTTCGCACACGTATTAAGGACCGATGAGAATGCAATAATTTGATAACAGCTTTCCGTTATCTTAATGAAATAAATTCTGTAAAAAGCAGATTTGTTAATAAAAAGCCACGGAGTTCATATGCCGCTTTACGAACGTCGAAAGTACGAGCCTCCGTAGGCCAAGTGGCAGAACACTGGTCTGTAAACCAGAGGTCGTGGGTTCAATCCTCACAGCGAGCCGACAGTGCTATACTTTTTTTTGAATCTCGTTATCACGCTTTTATTAGCTTGGCCTGTATGTATGTATGCAACGCATAACATTTTACTTTGATGTCCGTGACTGCATTGTCCCTGCCTCGTCTAATTGTTGAGTATCGCTGCACCTCTGTTCGAGAGTAGTCGTTGATGAAGTCGTAACTCAATTGGATCACCTATATGGCTCTGGTTTTGTCATAGCTTCTTTTGACGCCTTAACATAGTCATTTGGTAATTCAATAACTGTATTTCTCAGTTTTCCTTAAACGCAACTGTGTACAGAGTCACATTCCATTTGGGTGTGTCCTTTGGTGAGTCGTGTTTCATTGCAAAGTTAAGAAAAATAGCACGCGTAATTGTCAGATAGCTGGAATTGACAGACGTGTTGCCATTGGTAGGTATATAAATGCGCGTTTATTAGTTTTTTTAAACTATCATTTATTATCTACACCTGAAGATGTTCAGACTAACGTAGCAGAAACGAAATGCAAGATGTCGGTTGTGCAAATTTGATGATTACCGTTCCGATATAACATGTTGTAAGCAAACGACTGCAAAATCCATATTCCTCGATTTTGCAAGCGATTATAATTAATAACTCGCAATTTAGTGATTAATTGTAGATATATGATGTTTGCTGTGCGTGCAGATTAATGCTGGGTGTTGTGAAAGGTACCTGTTGTTAGCATTGATCTTTATTTGCTGATATGATCATACCACAGCGAATTAATATTCCCATTACCCTCTTTTGGTGTTAGACCTTAGAATAACATCCACAAAAATTGTTCATCAGCAAATTCTCAAATAGCAGACTGGAAGCTCAAATACCTAGGGTGAATGTCACAGTGGTCGGACAGGGAAGACAAAAGTGGAATACAAAATGTAATTACGAATTTTGTGTTCAAGATAACAGAAGTAGTACTTTTGGAGGTGATCATATACAGGGTGGCGCATCTAAAACGAAACAGACGCCAAAATCTTAAATGGAAAGGGGAGTCGAGTGATACCTTATTTTAAAGGTCTTTCAATTCTCTTTATAATGATATAAAATTAATGTACTTCAGTTTAGTAGTTTTGTGGAGATCAATACATTTGGCAGCAAAGTATCTATCAAAATTCAATAGATCATTCTGGGTGTTGCATTTTATATGTCACTTAGTATTGTATAACATTTTTCAGACTACTGGCAGTATCCGGGTTACTAGCACATTCATCCTACTAATTTTTACAGTACTCCAGATCATGTATCTTCAAGTTGTTGAGTAGACTAATTGAAACGTTTATTTGAAAAGCCACTTGACTCCATTATTTTCCAACATGCTTTTTTACTCAAAACGCTTTATTAAAAGTAGATTAGTATTAAGAGCAGTTTTTGTGGCTACTTCCATTATTAGTGTTAATAAACTGTAAAGTTTATTTGAGATGTCAAGCTATGAGTCCCAAGCAATGATAAACTCCCAAGTTTTTATCAAGGAAGTCTTCTTTTCTCTAGCTCACCAGCAAACATCTACCTGTGTCTCTGAATGTCTGCATGTATACCCTATTTGACGAGTATCCATCACACTTTGACGTCTACTGAGGTGAACAGCTGATCATCAGCAAGTGACATTTTTGTGTTAGTGAAATATCATAGAATTCGGACAAATCTTCGTCGCAAAAGTGCAAGCTCAACGCATATGCGTTACATAACCTTTCTCCACGTCTGAGACATAAACATGTAGGTATGGGCAGCAGGTCAGTGGGGAAATTCACTCAGTCTGTGCAACTCATTGGCGTAGATATACTAAGCTTACTATCTTTGACCCACTAAGGCCAGTATCGCCAGTCGCCCCTACAATTGTAGGGCGCGTTTATGGCCTCCTTGATTGTCATACCCCTTTCTCTCCTTCAAAAATTTCTAGATTACACTTGTCCCGTGTGAGCGTCACCGCTCTCCTATTGTAAAGATATGTTTTCTTTTTAAATTTTATGAAATTTCAGGCTGATAAAACATGATATAAGTCAAAAGCAAGCACAATTTGATGCAAATAGATGTTTGTGACATAACCTCAAAATAGAGCGCTGACACGGAGAAGTAGAAAACTATGACAATCAAGGAGGCCATAAAGGCGCCCTCCAATTGTAAGGACGACTGACGATACGGGCCTAAGTTCTTTTGCTATCCATCCTGCGCACAAATCTTCTTTGAAGATTTCAGTGGGTAATCTTACTTATTTTCCAACTGTATCGAGTATAGGTATACTAGTTGTATTGTATTCCAACTCAAGTAAGAAAAAAATATCAAGCCGGTCAAGCCTGTCCAAAATACTCAAATGGGTTCCAACCTCGGCCTATGTTCACTAAAGGTTATTTGTAAATAAATCGCTGGTACCTTTATCGTATTTGTAAATACGCAAATAAAACATTTGGATAAGGCTAGTGGGGCTGATTCAATAGCTAGTCTTATCCTCATTAATTGCAGATATTTTAAAGTCAGCTCACATCAAAGGAAAATACTATACAGGGTGGCGCATCGAAAACGAAACAGACGCATTTACTGGCAGCTCAGTTTTTTTTTTTTGGAAAAACGCTCAGACCCGTCGATTTGGTTTTCGAGGGGGACACAAGTTTGGCAAAAAATCACGTTAGCACGTGCAGCCCCCTAAGCGGGGGTGACACCACCCCCGAAATCTTAAATGGAAAGGGGGATCGAGTGATACCTTATTTTAAAGTTCTTTCAATTCCCTTTATAATGATATAAAATTAATGCACTTCAGTTCAGTAGTTTTGAAGATTAAATATTTCTGCTGTTCTATTAGCGCACTGATTATTTCCGAAAAATATTTCGATAATTACAACTCTTTCTGCTGTGGAATATACCATGGTTAATTTATGTAACAAAGCGTTTAAGTTATTTTAGCAACAAAGTTTGGTCAAATCAGTCGCAAACTATGTGCTAAATTCCTATTTAAAATAAGTACGAGATATTTCCTTATATTTCCTCAAGAAAGAACTTTTTTGACACAAAAAACGCTCCAATAGCTATTTTCAACAACAACAACAAACCATGGGCGTAGTGAAGAAAAGCATTTACTTATTAAGTAAATTCTTTTAGTCAAATTTCTTCTGAAAGTAGTACAAACTACTCTGATGTACCTATTAAAGTCTACTTTAAGCTTTAAATCAATAAATCTTCAAAACTACTGAACTGAAGCTCATGTATTTTACATCATTATAAAGGGAATTGAAAGACCTTTAAAATAAGGTATCACTCGACCCCCCTTTCCATTTAAGATTTTAAGGTTGGTGTCACCCCCGCCCAGGGGTTGCACGTGTTAACGTGATTTTTTGCCAAACTTGTGTCCCCCTCGAAAACAAAATCGACGGGTCAGAGCGTTTTTCCAAAAAAAACTGAGCTGCCAGCAAATGCGTCTGTTTCGTTTTTGATGCGCCACCCTGTGTATATATATGTATAATATTTAGGGATAAATTAGCCTCCTAATACAATAAATAATATGTATTGCCAAATTTCAACAGAAAGATTTTTAATTTTTTTTTGAATTTATCACCATGTATCTTGGAAACTTTTTACATATTCTTTGAAAAGGAATCACCCTCTAAAATATCTCACCCTGTATGTGTTACTATTACGTCTGAAAGGTGCGTATTATTGCAGAGATCAGAAACTATCCTTGCATTGAAACTCAGGATTGAATATTTACTACCGCTACACTTTTAATTGATCTAACCCGAAGTAGTTCGAAACCTACTATCTTATAGTCGTATTTGCAATAAGGCTGGCACGGGGAGTCAAAATAAAAATGCGAACCCTGCCCGAAACTGACTAATAATTCACATTCCGAAAAATCAAGTTTGTATGTCCCCTCTAGATACGTCTGTACTGCACCAATGCATTTGCACTAGGAAAGCGAAAGCAAGCGACTAAGAATGCAACTGTGAAACAGTGATAACAGTCAGACATCGCACTTCGTGTCTCACAGATACCGTACAATCACAAGAACAGCACATGGTAAAGTAAAAAGTACAAAGCTTCGCACTCACCAACATAACACGTGTGAACCTAGTCTAACGAAGAAGCAACAGTTTATACTACGCGGTCTTGGACCATGTTAAGAAGATGTTGTTAGTGTCTTTGTTAGTGGTATGGAGCTGCAAGAGGACAGTCGCAGAAGGTTCAGCAGATCAAGTTCTGCATACCTACAACTCATCGGATCTTTCTTATCTCTCTAATGGCATCCAGTTTCCGGTGTCGGACGCGGAAGTCGTGTCACTTTTAGAGCACGCCAACGACAACGTCACCCAGCAGCAGTGGTTCGCAGGGCTGTACGACCATCACAAATGGAAAGTGGGCTTAGATCGGGTCGACGAGGTGGACGGAGTCGGCTGCAATAGGGATATGAGGACGTATTTGGAGGAGTTGAGGAACGGAACGATGTGGGCTGTCAAAAGTGAGTATTGTCGGTTGTAGTCTGAGTTGATGGAACGTGAAATCAAGTAGTCTGACCTGTGGAAAATATGGAAGGTGTTGATTTCAGATTTCCTCCAAGCAATGTATGAAAATCAGCCGGAATCTCTGCAACGTTGTAACAGTATTTTCAAAATCTACCACTACCTAGACGATGGATGTATTCAACTTGCGATAATATTGGAACACACAAGTCCATATTTCTCATTTCTGTCGGTTTGTCACTCTCCGTCTGTTATATATCAATACGTCATAAGTACTGAGTCAATCTACTTGACGAAATATCCAGAGAACCATCATAGACGGAGTATCACAAAGTAAAGGTTACGCGAAATGGGCACTTTAAGGATCATAAAATTCAGAAAAAAGTGTAGAAAAGATCGTAAGTATTAATAAAATATACAGGGTGTTTCAGTTTATTGTTGCATAACTTTGAGATTCGATAGAACTTTTAAAATTAATGCATAAAGTCTATATCAACATGGGTCGAAAAATGCGTGGCTTCCGAAATACAGGGTGTTTAAATTTACTTTTTAAAATAGTTTTTTTTAAATATTTCGAACAATATTTGATGTATAACAGTGAAAATTGGTATACAAGGGTTTTTTGGTACGACAAAACGAACCATGGGCATAGTTTTACTGACCGAACATTTTTTCTTAGTGCAATTTTTTGCTTTTTGAATTAAAAAACTGATTCTTCGCACTTTTCTGCATAAAAAAGCTCTGCTGTGAGTTTTCGTTTAGTTAGCCGTTTTTAAGATATTTCGATTTTTAAGGTTCCATGCATTTTTAATTATTTATGGGAAAATAATATGTTTTTACATTTTCGATTTGGTCATTACAAGTAATTAAGATGATCGTTTAGATTGCGTTTTAAAACACAGCAATAATTCCTAACTCCAAATAAACACAAAAAAACAGAATATTAATTTGTTTAATTTTCCAATATTATTTTTAACAAATTAAATTAATTATTTACAACTAAAATGCTATTGGATAGTTAGGACAAACATACAAAATCTAAAGAAGGTGCTCGAAATGTAAACCCAATTGTTCAATACACAATTCACATCTACGAATGATGGAACGTGGTATAGCATTATTCAAATAAGGCCTTATTTCATCACATGCATTCCTGATTCTGTCTATTAGCATATCTCTTGTGGTTACGGGAGTCTGGTACACAAAGAAATCTAATGGATTTAGGTCAGGGGATCGTGTAGGCCAGGCGACTGGTCGTCCACGGCCGATCCATCTTTCTGGATAATTTTCGTCCAGCCAGTTTCTAACTATTCTCGAATAATGAGCTGGACAACCATCAAGCTGGAACAAGGCCAATCTTCTTAAATCTAACATAACATCATCCCACATATTTGCATGTTCAGCCTTTAAAAATTCCAAGAAGGTCGCAGCATTTAACCTTGCAAGCAAAAGGTAGGGTCCAAATAGTCGATTACGGTAGATACCAATCCACACGTTCATACTAAATTCATGCTGAAAATTTCTTTCCCGAACTGCATGCGGATTTTCATGCGACCAAATATGTTGATTATGAAAATTTACCACTCCACGTCTAGTGAAGCATGACTCATCGGTCCATAAAACGTTACTTAAAAACTCCCTATTATTATCAGTTATATCAAGAATCCACTGACAAAATGTGAATCTTCGTTCTCCGTCCCCTGGCTGTAGTCCTTGCACAGGTTGCAAATGGTAAGGACGTCTATGGTAATTTCTAAGAACACGGTGAGCATGGCTTGCTGAAATTCCAAAGGCACCAGAAACTCTCCTAACACTTGTGGTCGGATCTCTATCAAACTCACGCAGAATAATCATACGGGTAAATCTGCGCTGACGAACATTTATGTTTTGATCCCTTTGGAGATTTCCAAAACCATTTTCAATTATTTGGCGATGCACTCTTACAAATACTGAGCGAGTTGGATGTCGTCTGTTTGGAAATCTTCGTGCGTATTCTCTGGCTACTTCTGCTGCGTTTCCATTTACAAAGCCATACACAAAATGAATATCCGCTAACTCTTGATTGGAGAATAAAAGTGGCATTTTTATAAAACTTACAAAAAAAAACAGGCAAAAGAAACTAAACTTCGTGCATTCACAATTGCAAAAAAACGTTTCAGGTTTCAACAGACAACAAAACTAAGTGTCAACTAATTGACGTTTAACTTTATTCTGGTTTCAATTTAAAAAATTTTTGCAGGCACAGCCTACTTCTAAAAATTATCGAGATACTGACTTTTTAACGTTATTTTATAATAAATAATTAAAAATGCATCGAACCTTAAAAATCGAAATATCTCAAAAACGGCTAACTATAACGAAAATTCACAATAGAGCTTTTTTATGTTGAAAAGTGCGAAGAATCAGTTTTTTATTCAAAAAGCAAAAAATTACACTAAGAAAAATTGTTCGGTCATTTTAATACACTACAGGTAGAGTAGAGAGCGCCCTCTAGCGGCTACAGTAAAACTATGCCCATGGTTCGTTTTGACGTACCAAAAAACCCTTGTATACCAATTTTCACTGTTATACATCAAATATTGTTCGAAATATTTAAAAAAAAACTATTTTAGAAAGTAAATTTGAACACCCTGTATTTCGGAAGCCACGCATTTTTCGACCCATGTTTATATAGACTTTATGCATTAATTTCGAAAGTTCTATCGAATCTTAAAGTTATGCAACAATAAACTGAAACACCCTGTATAAATATTTTTGCTATAGCGGTGTCTCAGTGACGACACCACCGCAGACCAGACGATGCAGCATTTCAAATTTCAAGGGATTTGTAACTGATTTCTTGTTTAAAATACTGCTGGGGGCCTCAAATGGATTCCTTGAGAATTCGAAGAAACTAAACGGATTTTGAACGAAAATGTCATGAATAGGAAAAACACATCCTACGACCAAAAGTCATTGATAGAGAACTCAAAAACGTACAAAAGTGACAGGACTCAAAAAGCTATGCTCGCAAAATTATTTAAATCCCGTCAGATACCTTCAAAACAAACTCGAACGCAGTTCGAATGCAGTTTATATGAGTTAGGATTCCGAATTTAATGATCGTTAAATTAGTATTTGTGTATTGCGAAAATATGCACCAGAAGCAAAAAGCAATTAAATAAGGACAGGATAAAACAAATATCATTAAAACGCATTTATTCATTGAGAGTTTTCATATCCGTTCATTTTGCAACCGTATTGCCAAACATGACCTTGTCTTGAGCTTAAAATTTAAAAATCAGCAGTAGAAACAACTTTATTATCATGAGACCTTATAAATATAACAATTTTTCAGAGAACCAATGCGTTTTCGATTGGTAAATTTTATTATCAGGAAGAGCAAGAAAATAGTCGTTGAGAAGCAACTGATTGACTTTATGTTATACTTGGTGGATTTCACCTAGACTGTCAAATCAACAAGCCGTTATTTTCCACCTAAAGGGCAACAGTCCGTCAAATATAGCGAATCCATTCAACAAATTTTAGCAACCAATAGCTGTGAAATAAAGAAAAAAATATTGTCAAAGCATCAGATGACAGCTTGTCATTGAAACATCACCAGCTTATTGAATATTGAGAATCACATATAATTCAGTCAAAATTGAAAAAAAACTTTTTTTGCTATTTTTGATTCATGTTTGTATTATATTCTGCAATTGACATGCGATTCTACTGACTTAACATCACCTACCGTGTGTTTTTTCCTATAAACCTCTTGCAGATGGCTATGAAACGCATACTTGATGACAAAGACTCTACCAAAAATGATATTGCTCGTTTCCATACATTCATTCATTTTAATAATCTGTTCCCTAATTGGTCGGAGACCCCGTTAAATTTTAATGTTAGTGAAATGCATCGTTACACACTTTTCTTCTTATTTAGAGGTAAACAAATGTGATGTTTGTTACATATCAATTGTGTGACGTGTGACACTGCATTTCCAATTTAATTGATACACTGTTGATGTATATAATTAGGTAAAAAGGTAAAATAAGGAAGGAACATACAGTATCTTTTTTCCGTCATGTAATTCCAGTTTCCTTTTTGATCATTGCATCTTTGAGCTTGTATCGCACTTACGCAATTCAGAGACCATATACGACCTTGCCTTTCATAACAAACTTTATATAACTTTTATACGAGAATGGCATACGCACTTTTTCAAATATTATATCTCAGAACCTATCAAAGTTTTTTTGTTCAAAATGACCCGGAAACTATTGAAAAACTTTGTTAAATAAATGCCTAAAAAATGTCTGCCCTCCTTGAATAAGATTACGCAAAGAACCCGAATCAGAATATTGTTCCGAGCAGATACGAACGTGAATTTAAGTAACCGCCAGTATTTTCGCAAAATGCGCAAGTGACCATAATCAGCATCCGATACGGTGATATAACCTTTGCAGCATTGCGAGTATTTGAGAGTGCAAGTAGGTTGAAAAATGAAACCAGTCTGTAATAGCCGGTACCAGGAGCACGCTAGAACTAAGCCGCAAGTGAAACCAACGAACTCATAAAATCTAGTCTATATTGTCAGACAAAGATATAATGTTACTGAATCAATCGACCATTCCATTTTCTAGAAATCCCGGAAGGCCTTGTAGTATTAGTAAATTTGAATTAAATTTTGGTATAATTACTATTGATTGAATTTTTACTCCTGAAATCTAATTTCTTTCGCATGCGCAAGATCACATCTGTATGACCTGTAGTTCAAATGACCAGAGGTTCAAATGTCCAGTAGTTCAAACCACCAGTAGTTCGAATGACCATTAGTTCAAATGTACCACTAGTTTCGTTAGGTTTGTCCCACTTTTTTCCGTTAGTTTTTTCTTACTTTTTCTCGTTAGGTTTGTCCCACTTTTTCGTTAGATACTTCAAACGAATCAGTATTTCAAACAACCAGTAGTTAAAATGTTCAGTAGCCCAAATGTGCAGTAGTTAGAATGACCAGTGGTTCAAATGACCAGTAGTTCCAATGACCAGTAGTAAAAATATCCTGTAGTTAGAATGACAAGTAGTTCAAATGTCCCGGAGTGAAAATGTACAGTAGTTCAAATGACCGGTAGTTCAAACGTACCAGTAGTTCAAATGACCAGTAGTTCAAATGATTTTGGGAACATTCGTTTTTCTTTCATCTGTGTCCGGAAGTACTTTGAATTTCGAAACTTTCTATGCGGCATTTCGGAATTTGCAACACGCGGTATATGCAGAAACCATGCCATTTCATCATCTGCTCTTTAATTGGCCCAGAATTCATTGAACCACTTTTCAATAACCGTCATTTGTAATTACTACTTACTGAACATATTTGTTGAATTGCATCTTGGACTTCTGTATTATTATATAATGATTTTCATCGATATTATTAAACAATAGTGAATACAATAAACAATCCCAGGCAAATATGAGAATGTGTTAGGTAGATATACAATGCTTTTGAAAGAGGTATTCAATTTTCTATTTTTGAAAACGTTCCATATTCTTTTATACACACATATTATTAAAAAAAAAATTATATGATGTTCTGATGCAATTTGACAATAAATTGATTGTTGAGTTACGAGGGTGGTAACAAAAATATGTTTCCCACATTTTTTTCAGGCGCAATATGAAATTTTTGATGCGGCGAAAGTTAGATAAGAATCATTTTTTGCAGTGTTCGATGCATCAGGGAGGTACCCAGGCCAATTTTATTTCGGCAACGACTATTGGTTGGGCTCCAAAACGCTTTGTGGTGAATTGACCAATCCCGCAACGAATTCAGAAGTACCGCCTTTTCCAGTTCAGTTTTACGTGGCCAAAATCAGGATAAACATCAACGAAGTGGCGACGCCTGTTGTAAGTAAGGTGAATTTTTTTCTTTGGCCTAAAGTCTAACTCTTACAGCTCTGGTTGGTGTTGGAATAAAATGCCTTTGTCTGGATTTTGAGGGAGTAACATGCCTTGGATTAGATTGAGAAAGATAAGTGTGTGCGGTTAATTATACTCGTATAAGGGATTTTCAATTGCGTACCCGATCGCTTCCCGCAGTAAACTTTGCCTCGGTGCTCGCGTATATACAGGGTTTGTCCGGTAAGTAATAGGACTCATTTTCTTCCGCCATGACTGTACTTCGGAGCGATTACGTCGGTGTTCTCGAGTTAAAGGGAGGACCCAGTGTGGCCGGTATGAAAACAAGCCAAAACTTCTCATTCGTCGGTAAACACTTCGCATGCCAATAGGTCTTGCGTGTTCTGCAAATCATTCATTTGCAATGGACCTGGTAGTGGAGAAACGGTCCCTTAAGGCCAATAATCTTAGGCGGCGATCTTCACGGTCTGTTGTTTTACGGCGGCGTCCAATGCCCCTTGCTCTTTGCGTACGGCCTTCTCGAAGCCATGCCTGACAACACCTAACCACAATGTCTACACTTCTTTGCACTCTAACTGCAATTGCCCGAAAAGAAAGTCCAGCTTCCCGAAGTCCCAAACTCACTAAGTTGACGAAATCGTACAGGTCTCCGTACTCTATGCATCGTAACCGATCGTAAAGGATGTCAAGAACCAAAATCCGCGAACGTTGATTCTTTACTGCGGCTGAAATCTTCATTTTTAGAGCGTTAGTGAATTAAAAAAAAAGCAGTATAAAAACCGGAATGTCCAACTGATAAGGCTGAAAATTTTTTCACTTGTTATTTACAGTAAGATAAATACATTCACCAACTTTTATTAAAATAAAACCATTTAAACTGGGTGTTCAGATTTATATGTCACTTAGCATATTATATGATACTAAACTTCTTGTCTCAGGAGGTCTAATGAAAGATATTTGCTATGTCACGAAGTTATGAAACACCCTGTATATATTAAAATAATTCTAAAATATGTAACATATTATCAAGGTTGCCACGACAACAGATTTTCCCGTTTGCTCATAAAAGTATTTTCCATTTTTATTAGACTTTTGTATAAAATATTTTTTCTAAACGTTTACACAGGGTGATACACGCATCTAAGTAGGTGGCACCGTAGTAGTTGTTTAAAGCACATGTGTCCAATTCGACAAGGAGCGCTACATGATCCCAAAACGCGTATTGTTAAAACGTTTTACTTAAATAACGAATCGATTGTTGCAACGATCAGGAAGCTACGACAAGAATTCGATCGAAATAATGTGCCCAGTGTCAACACCATTCGTCATTTGGTGCGGAAATTTGAACAAACGGGTAAAGTTAGAGACTTGCCAAGGCCGGGTCGTGTTCGAACGTCTACCAGACATCGTTCTCAAGAACTGGGTATTCGTCGCACGTCATTATGCACTATTAAAAAAAATAGCATTTGAGGCTATACAAAATTCGGTTAAACCAAGAACTACAGCCTAGTGACCATGCTATATTGTAGCTCAATACATAAAATAACGATGTTTACCGACAACTGATAATGATCGATGAAATATTTCGTTTCACAACTAAACCAGTCAGTTACATATGGCCACCCTGTATAAAAAGACGTTGTTCGAACGTTGGCGTACCGTCTTCTGTCTAAAGTCAACCAATCTAAATCCAAAGAAGTAGATAAAGAAAAGACAGCATGTACTACAAACAATTCGCATTTTTTTCGTACGTGGACGCCGCTGTGAGGCGACAGCTACGTCCCGCTTCCTAAACAACTGACTGCAACCAAGTCCGGCCTGCTAGATTTCGTGGGCTGTAAAAACATCCGCTATGTTGTACACATCGCCCGAAAGCTGAAAGTTTGTGCGCTTGCGATGGTGTCGCGCGTCGAACATCGCGACGCGTGGGATGCGATTGCTGCCTTGCGCTTCGACATTGCAACTCCGTCACAAGACGCGATGATCGCTCGTACAGCAGGAGAGCAGAAAATACGGGAGGGGAGGTCTCTGAAACAGAACACGGAAAGTAAATTATACGTGTATGGGCGAATTACAAGTGGTGACCAAAAATGAAACATCGTACACAGGATCGCATTTTAAGGGGCGGTCTTCTATGTAACGTTTTTTTCATATTAAAAAGATGCGGGGTGAAGTTTAAAAATAAAAAACATTTTTTTAATATCTTTAAAACCGTAAACTGAAATGAACTTAAATTTGGTATGTGGATTTATCTAAGTATTTTCCACATTCAGAAGTCTTTCTTCAATGTAGGAGATGCATGGGATCAGTGACAATATTTTTCCAAATAAAAATGCTACGTCACTGTTTTCTTTTTAGAAACGCGTAATTTTTGGAATTGTACCTTCAATTTACTACAAATAATTACTATGTGTTTCTTTCCTAGAGTGCACTGTTTTCGTGAATATAAAAATAAAACAAATTAGATGATTCGTGAAGAGCCGAAATACAATTAGTTTCAAAATAAAATAGGAGGCCTTGATACCGACTTGACGTTTCCTGGGAGATAGTTTGCCAAAGTTATGTTATACGGTTGTTATCGTTACTACTACCATTTTTTTGTATACATTGTATACATTGTATACACTGTATTCATTGTATACATTCTATTCATTGTATACATTCTATTAATTGTATACATTGTATACAATGTATAGACTGCATTCATTGTATACATTGTATACATTCTATTCATTCTATTCATTGTATGCATTGTATACATTGCATACATTCTATTCATTGTATACATTGTATAGATTGTATACATTCTATTCATTGTATGCATCGTATACATTGCATACATTGTATACATTCTATTCATTGTGTACATTGTATACAATGTATAGACTGCATTCAGTGTACACATTGTATACATTCTATTCATTATATTCATTGTATGCATTGTATACATTGCATACATTGTATACATCGTATACACTGTATACATTCTATTCATTGTATACATTGTTTAGATTGTATACATTCTATTCATTGTGTACATTGTATACAATGTATAGACTGAATACGTCGTATACATTTGGTACATTGTATACGCCTTGTGTCTACATGGAACCGTAGACAGTTAAAGTATACGCGTAAACACTGCTGATTTGGATCCAATTGAACGTTGAAGTATTTTAGACGAGACAGCTAAACTTGGGAGAATGCTTGCCGAGATCTTGTGGTGTAAACGGAGTGAAAAAATTGCTCGCGTCTGATCGGAGTCACGGAGCAGCTGTGACAATCGTCGGCGTCAGAAAAGTACCAGGGGAGTATTCGCTGTTGGAAGACTTCAAAGTCCATCTTGTCGGGTGAGAAAAATGTGTTTTCAGGTTGAGAATTATCAGTATCAGTGGTGTCCCATTTTAATCTCCCCACCCCAATATTTCGAAAAATTTCAAACCAAACCTGTAGGGTTTCGAGGGGACAAGAAGATGGTGACCTTGACAACAATCTTTGAGGCCAAGTGAACATTTTTCACATCGCTGTCAAGGTAAAGTCGAAATTTGCACAGGAAATCTTTCATTTTTATACTGCAAATGGAAAAAGAACGTGACCTTGGCCTCAGATAACATTTAAGCTTGACTCGAGTTCAAGGTCAGATCAGAAAATTTCGTGCTTTCTTTTTTTTTCTGATTTGACATTGACAGTAACCTAGACCACGACGTTCAAGGCCTCTTCAAGGTCGAGTGGATATTTTTTACATCACTTTGCTCATAACCTCGGACATCGCCTTCAAGGCCATCTCAAGGTCAAATCAAGACATTTGCTATAGCAAAAATGTTCGAAAACACATTTATGAGTTTTGCGGCGATAACTCAAATTTGACCTTGAGATTGTCCTTCAAGGTCACTTCGAAATTTCTAAAGGGAATTGCTCATTTTTATAATGGAGATGGAAAAAGAGTGTTACCTTGACTTCGGATAACATTCAAGCTTGACACGACTTGAAGGTCACTAGAATTTTTTGCTTTTTTGATTTGACATTGACAATGTCCCCAACCCCGACTTTTAAGGTCTTTTCAAGGTCAAGTAAATGTTTTCCAATGGAACTCTTCCCATTTTAACATCGGAATTGAAAAGAGCAAAGTTTATGTTCGAATATCACCTTGGCCATAACCTTGACAATGCCTTCAAGGCCATTTCAAGGTCAAATCAAGATACCGAAAAAATGTGCTCTAGCAAAAGTGTTCGACAGCACAGTTGTGAGGTTTGTGAGAATCTCTCAAATTTGACCTTGACATTGACCTCAACCTTGGGCTTCAAGGTCAAGAACATCATTTTTGAAGTGAATATCTCATTTTTACACTGGAAATGGAAAAAGAGTGAGACCCTGACCTCAGATAACATTTAAGCTTGATACGAGGTCAAGGTCACATTCGGACGTTTCGTACTTTTTCTATCTTTAGTACAGAAATGAGAGGTTTCCTTTGGAAATTTCGACTTGACCTTAAAAGAAATTCACAACAGTGTTTTGAGGCTAAAAATACGTGGTACATCTATGTCTACGGAATATTGGTACACCCTGTAGAAACATTATACAATTTATAATTAAATTCAGAGAAATAAACGCCTTCACCTTTTAGGGGAGCTACCCTAACAGCTATAATAATAGTAGCAGTTTCAACTTTAGTCGATGTAGTTCGTCTCAAAAGGAAGAAAAGGAAAATAAAAGACGCTGAGACTGAGAGCAACAACAATTGCAGACAGGGTAATATAAATGTAAATGGCAGCACTGACATCATCCTGAATTCCCAACGAAAAGGGGAGCAAAAGCAGCAGCACCTTAGCGGTAAGATTAGGATTTCTCACAGGGAAAATTCTGCATTTCAGATGCATAGATAAGATGAAACATTGCATGAGAGATATTTTTCGAAAATGTCTCTCCTGATTATAAGATTGTTGCCCCGTCTACTACTAAACTTGTATGATCTTTTCACAACTATATGACAAAAAATTTATAGTGATGACAATATCTGTTTCAGGCATTCCTTTCAGAATCCTGCTTGCCTTCTCGGCAATAGGCAACAGCAAGAAGATTCTAGCGCTAGAAAATGTCTCGTTAGACGCTATAAAGTGCATACACGGCCTAAGATTCATTTCGATAGCTTGGATCATATTGGTCCACACCTATTTAGAGATATTTGCTATAGCTGACAACAAAAGTATGAGGCTGATTACCGAAAGAGAATTTGCTTACCAGACTATAGCGAACGCTTCGTTTTCGGTTGATACTTTCTTTTTCATCAGGTAATAAAATAAAAAAAATTGTTTTGTAGTACTTGAAAAAATTTAAAAAAAGCCTGACGGTATTTACAAAGGTTGTCCCATATTTTATTATACATTCAGAAAAGAAGAAAATTGGTATACCTACAGTTTTGATAATCACTAGGGTTTCCAAAGGTAAATTCGTTGTTTAAAACTTGCTGTTGCTTTTACGTAAAAAAGCTCAGTACTATAGCAATCTCATCACCCCAAATTTCAGCTTCTTTGTTAAAAAATAAGTAGGTGCAACCTTCTTGAAAAGCCCTGTATAATTTTTGTATCTTGTTCTTTTCCAGTGGATTGTTAGTAACGCTGACTTACTTCAGAACCGATTCAAAAATTGTAAGACCGAAAAAAGAAGAAACGACGTGTCAATCTTTGCAATCAAGTACATCGAGTTTTCTCATTTTGTTGACCTACAGAATATTTCGGTTAACGCCAGCATATCTTTTTGTACTAGGTTTGAACGAAATCATCATGAGGTACGAAAATAGCATGGTTTAGTCAAGCATTAGATCTTCAAGTCAATATAGTGTGGACGTAGAAGTACCCTTCTCGAACCCTTTACGGTTTTTTTTGTAAAAGTCAAATGTGTTCCAAATATTTTAAAAAGAAAATTATGACCAATAGAAAAAATACATGGTACTTCTATACCCACTGAATATTGGGATACCCTATATATCGATCATTTGCAAAATGGTTTTTTTGTAGGTATCTACACTCTGAGTCAGTCTTCTCGCCAGCCATTATAGACCACTTAAGTTGCACAAGTTATTGGTGGAGAAACATACTATACATCAACAATTTTTATCCACAAAAAGAGTTTTGTATGCTGTGGTCATGGTATATAGCTAACGATACTCAGTTCTATATTATAACGTCATTTCTTTTAGTCATTGCAGTCAGGTGAGATTTTTAGAAATATCGACGTATTTTGTTACTCATCGCAATGGTCTATCGCCATTAAAAGTATCATTGAACCACACATTGTCAACATTTATTTTCAGAGGACCAAGCCATTTGAAATTTGCCAGTATAGCTTGTGGAACTCTTATGTTAACCTCTTGGATCACAACGTTTGTGATTGCAATGAAGTATGACTACGTTATTAGAGTAGAAGAACCATTTGCGTTGTTTGATCAACTTTACGATAAGCCATGGTTGAGAATTGGACCTTATCTAGTTGGTAATGTATATTCTATAATTCTAAAAACTTTTAAGATTGTTCCCCTTTTTATTTGGTCGTCTGTGTTTTCACTGTCCAAAGTCTCATTTCATCACTGTAACTAATTTATAACCATATCGACTGGCCTATTCTCGCTCTCTAGCTCGATTGTGTCTGGCTGCTTCCGCCATCTGGTCAGGTATTTATTCCCCTATCGACGAGTCGAGAAACATTCTAGCGTTTTCGCGACCTTCCGTGGAAGTGGTTTGAAGTATGTCAACGAGTTGAGTCCCTCTTTAATTAATCGATTAAAGTATTTTGTAAATATTTTTCCGAAAATATATTTTCATTTCTGCTATGATTTCATCAAAATATATTATTCAACAAGGTAAGGAGATCAAGTCACGGTTAATGTGAATTCAAAATTTGAAACTTCTGGTATCGATATCTTTCGGAAATAACGTAAAAGAAATTGTATAAAAAATATCCAAAATTCTCGAACAAAGTACAAAAGCCTAGTAGTATGAATCATTTTTATCAAGAAAGCTGACTAATAACCATAGAAAAGTGAAATCCCAAAAAAGCTACAAAATACCTTGAAATGATAGGAAACTAATATTTATTTTTCAGGTATATCTATGGGGTATTTATTATTCAAAAAGGACTGTAAAATTGCCATGCCACCAATCATTGCTGTGATAGGATGGTCTTTATCGCTGGCCTGTCTTGCCAGTCTAGTTTATGGAGTTGGCCGAAAAGGCTTAACAACTCCCACGTCTGCCTTTTACGTAAGTTTTGCAATTTTTTTTTTGCCTTTTGCATTCTTAGCCACTGGACGAGGAAACAGGTAACAGTATGTTACTCAGTCCCATAATTACGCATCAGAAATAAAACAAGTTCAATCTCCCTGTATCGATGTTGATACGGGAGCTCCTCAGGGATCTATCTTGGGGCCTATCATGTTTATATTGTATATAAACGACCTGGGTGTTTTGTTTAACGATCAAGTGTATTTAACATTATAGACGGATGATGCCTCGATAATAGTGTCGGGTAGTGATGAGGAATTATTGCTAATAAAGTTCAATGAAAAACAATTTTTTTCTGTAACACTTCTGATGTATGTATATTAATTTAATTTTTTTTTTTGATTATTTGTATATATTATTTTAATCAGACTTTTTTACGAGTTCTATAATATGTCAAAAAGAATGATAACTAAATAAATTTTAAAATTGTTCTGTCTAGGGGAGCTTGGAAATTAGAGGGTTGATCTCGTACGCAATTGTTCTAGGCTGCGCTTGGCCACACAGCCTGGGGCCTGTCCATGGCGTGGATCACAGCAGCTTGCAGCAGCGGTTACGGAGGCATCGTGAACACTTTCCTCAGTTCCAAATTTCTGCTACCTCTCAGTCGGTTGACTTATTGCGCTTACCTGGTCCACCCGGTTTTGATGTGCCTCACCAGTTTCCAATTAGACGGTCCTTTGCATCTCCATATCAGCATGGCGGTAAGATTTTTTCAAGAGTAATACAGAGATTGAAATGAAACACGAAAGAATTTTATATGATCATATATTTTCTTTATTACAGGTGGTGATATACCTAGGCAACTTGGTGCTATCGTTTCTGTGTGCTTTCGTCATCTCGATAATGTTCGAGGCGCCTGTTGTCAACCTGTTGAAGATCGTGTTCGCTTGACGGAGATCGTTGTAGTCTAATTCTTATAATTTAAATAAACATTTATTTTGTTGACAGAGTTTTTCTCAGGATATGCATAAACAATTTTTGCCACAAACTCCATGTAAAATGAGCGCTGATGATGGTGAGACGTATGAAGGTTATGACATAAAAAGATACTATGGTAGATACTTTCTACATCACAATACACCAATTTAGACAGGGCGAGCAAAATTTGCCGCTGAATCCGATTCAGTGGTCCGAACCTCTCAATTGGATCTTGTTCCAGAGATATCCTAACCTGAAAATGCCAAAATTGCGACGTTCGTCTATATTTGAGGTTATCTAGTATGGCGAACTTTTTTTCTGGAAAAACTCAAAGAACCAGCCTTGCTATTTCAAATGTCTTTTACATTCGCTGAGATATCGCAATTTAAAATTTTTATTTTTGTGATCTAGATCGGTTCTGCTTTTAACAGCAGACATTTTTTATTTTGAAAAAAAAAATTGAAATCGAAACTGGCGAGTTTCATTTCATCAGAATACACTAACTTGTTATTGAACATTTCAGTTTTATAATCCAAATCATAACTCTGATGCCCACATTTTCACAATATGTAGACCATCAAATATAGCGATAGAAAAATATACTTAAGCAAATTTAAAGGCAATTAAAATGGTAAGGCTTTTGCTCTGAGATGATGTCTATGCTGTTTTTGAAAAACTATTTCGGCATGCTACATAACCTCAAAAATGAGCAAAACTGCCGTTATTTCACTTTTAGGTTAGTATATCTCCGAAACTAGAGCAAATTGAGAGAGTTGGGCCACGGGTTCGGATTATGCTTCAAGAAACTATATTATGCTTCCTTTCGTCGATCTGACTAATCGTTAGCATATACTAAAGATACTTGTAACAATTTTCAATAAAATTTTCTGCAAAAAATATCTTACAACAAATCTATAAAAAAAAGTTGCAGATAACAATAATAAAAATTGAGACTGAGTTTATAATATTTACCTTTCTTTGTTCTTAAACATATATAAAAATATTGAAAGTTATACAATGTATCTATATAAAAAATGCAACGATTGTAATTGACCAAACTTAATTATACTAAATTGTATGTACAAGTGTTCTTAAACGTTACTCCGTACTAATCACATTTTATATGAGGTTACTGAGTTAGACTTACATCAATTTTATTAACTAAAATATTTTGCACAATGCGCTTCAGCAAAACTAAACAACGATTGACATGGTGATAAAAAACTATATAATTTTTGCGATGGACAAATAAATATGATTCTGTTCTACTAGAGAAGCTACTGTTTCTAGTGGCACTATTTACAAAGGAAACATTCACTTCACTGTAAGTACTTTGGGAAATTTGCCGTTGCACTGCTGTCGTCAGGTCTGAAAAATAAAAATAATACAAGAAATATCAAATGAGAAAAAAATAAAGTACAACGAAAGTACACAAAATAGCAATGTTTGCCTATATTTGAGGTTATACGTAGCATATAATTTTTTTAAAAAAATATAAAAGTCATTACGAAGTGTAAGCTTTGCTCTTCCAAATGCCGTTAAGCCAGCTTGAATATCTCCTTTTTTCGCTGAGATATTGCACTTGAAATTTTCATTTTTCTAAATTTCAGTGAATTTGGTACTTGTGATTATGTGTGGTTCAAATTTGTGCTTTGGATTATAATACGCCAAAACCTTAATAACTAAAAAACCCATAAATCCTCAATGCTAAAACCATAAAATATCTAAAACTTCTGCACACTTTTTCAAAATGAAATTTACTTTGTTTTGGTAAAAGCTGAACGCGTTCAGTATCAAATATAGTTAAACTAGGAAAAAAATTAAAGTGCAATATATGAGCGAAATAAAAAGATATTCAAGCGAACTTAACGATATTTCAAAGGGCAAGCCTTGTAGTATGAGATCATGTCAACAGTGATTTTGAAAAATAAGAATTCCTCGTACTACATAACCTCAAATGTAGGCTATTTTTGATCTTTAAGGTAAAGACATCTCGAAAAACACAGCCAATTGAGAGATTTGGATCGCGAATTCGGAGTCTGCGCGTCAAAGACTTTGGGGAAAGTATACTCTGGCTTCTGGGTAATATTGTAGGCTACTTTTGCTCTTTAAGGTAAGGATATCTCGAAAACTACAGCCAATTGAGAGATTTGTATCGCGGATTCGGAGTCTGCGCGTCAAAGACTTTGGGGAAAGTATACTCTGGCTTCTGGGTAATATTGTAGGCTACTTTTGCTCTTTAAGGTAAGGATATCTCGAAAACTACAGCCAATTGAGAGATTTGGATCGCGGACTAGGAGTCTGCGCATCAAAGACTTTGGGGAAAGTATACTCTGGCGTCTGGGTACGAGCGTCGGGTCACCTTTGTAAGCTCTTTATTATAAAGCTTCGAACATTTGTCTATTTTTCCCATTCCGCACTCTTATTACGTACTTGAGCTATCTGATCTGATATAATATCTGCTTCAGAGACGGCACTAACTCCTATACCCTAAGCTGTAGGGTCGTTACGTTTGTAAGGTATCTCCAGAAGCTTTCCAGTTGCACCACGGTACCACCGTGAGTAACTTGCATATGATTTTTTTTGATGAGCATATCCGCTTTTTCTGGGATGCCGGCAGCTTGAAAGAGCGAAGGAGCAGTGAAGTGTGTAGGATTGAAACCCAAACAGCCGGACATTTTTGGACTTACGAGGTATTGATTTGAGATTGTCGATTTTATTTCGGATGCGTAAATATAGTATTGAACAGGTAAGTTAATGACTTTACATAATACAGTTTGTCTCCCACAAAATACCTACAGCAAGTTAGTCACTCTCAGGCAAGGTTAGGGCTAAGCCTAATGGCGTTAGTCGAAGAAACTAGGTTCTTTTGGCCACCACCGGCAGCGCCTGGTTCATCTCCGGGTATTCTTCGTACTCTTCCTCGGGGTCCTCGTAATCCTCGCCTTCTTCTACGGGTTCCTGGTCTTCGGGTTCCTGGGATGAAGCGCTAGGTGGGGCGGGGGGCGCAGGCCGAGCGCCTCCGACGAGGTCCTAAGGGTTAGCAGTGGTTAGTGTGCTTGGGGCGAAGCATATATGGTGAAGAGGCAATGATGGCAACGAAAAGAGCTAAATGATTAATATTTGAAACGATGAAGAGTGAAAATTTAATATTCGTATTTATCCACTCTTCTCGGAAGTGAAGCATTAATACACAGGGACTACTGAGTCAATCTACTTGACTGTTTTTTGTTTATTCTACCTTTGGGGGTCTCCATCCGCATCCTGGTAACGGCAGACCGTCTGGACCCAATGGGCACGGCGCGTCCAATCCTGGTACACCTTGATCACCCTTATCGCCTTTATCTCCTTTCCTTCCTCGTTTACCGAGAGGCCCCTGAATTTATGAAAAATTGAGAAAATTATTTTGCATATTTATGGATAATCCTGAAAGAACTCATTCTCAAAAGTACATTCTTTTCTTATTTTATTCAAATAATGAATCCAACACTGACGGTCCATAATAAGGCAACAACGGCTCGACATTGCACACACATCTATGAAGAACTTTCCGAAATTTACTCTCTATATCGTCGCCCTAATAAGTCACCGATTCAACCAAGTTTTCAGGAGAGACGAAAAACTATTTGTACCAATAATTTTAAATAAATTAAATGATTTTATACGCCAAACTATTTAAGAATGTTATGATTAGTAGGTTAGCAATGGGTTTTTCTTCTCATACTAAAATAATATAATATAAATAATTAAATATTACGATGGCTTTTGTTGTAAATACATTCTTGATGACATATCGTTATTTTGGAAACTCCAAATGCATGTTTTGAAGTATTTTTTTAAATACTTACCGCATCTCCTTTGTATCCTTTGTCACCCTTCGGGCCCTAAAACCAAAGAACATATGATTTGAATATAAGGTTTATCACAAGAAATTTCCGATGTATTAAGTATCTTAAAATGACATGCGTTTTAGTTACCAACAGCCAGCTGTCAAAAAGCACTTCACCATGCTTGGTTTTTAGTGAATGTTAAAATGGTTAATACCTCTTGACCGGGTATGCCGTCTGTGCCCTGAAACAATGTTTGCGTTAGATTTATAAAGAGATTACCAAGAAGTTTTCATTATACAGGGTGGCGCATCGAAAACGAAACAGACGCATTTACTGGCAGCTCAGTTTTCTTTTTGAAAAACAAGTTTGGCAAAAAATCACGTTAACACGTGCAGCCCCCTGGGCTTATTACATAAATTAACCATGGTATATTCCACAGCAGAAAGAGTTGAATTTGAAAAAATGCAACATTGAAAATCCCATAAGGAACGAAGCAATAGAAGTGGCGATTACAATTTGATTTGATATGAGTGATCGAATTATAAACGATGAACATTTTCTATTCAACACTTGCTTTTCCGACGAACGTTCCTTTTTCTTCAATGGCGTAGTAAATCGTCATAACTGCCGATATTGGTCCGATTCCAATCCCAGAATTTAACATGAGGTTCATACACAGCAGCCACAAAAATTAAATGTTTGGGCTGGAATTTTTGGCGATCATTAGTTGGTCCTTTTTTCTTACCTGGAAATTTGACCGGTGAAATGTATTTAGAATTACTGGAAGACGCCATAGATCCTGCATTAACAGTTAAAATCAGAATGATCGGCGGTACATTGCGAATAGGTTGATGTTCCAACAGGATGGTGCCTCACCACATTACGCATTACGTGTTCGACAATATTTAGATCAGACGTTTCCAGATCGATGGATTGGTAGAAGAGATGCCATTGAATGGCCCCCAAGATCCCCTTTATCACCTTTGGATTTCTTTATATGGGGTCATTTAAAAAGCAAAATCTATGCTACTCAGCGACAAAGAATTGTGAATGAGTGCGTTCAAATTACTCCTCAAATATTGCAAAATGTGCGGCAACGTTTTCAGCAAATTCTTTATTATTGCATGGAGAGTCATGGTGGCCATTTTCAACATTTACTTGCCTAACGGGTCAGTTCATTCTTCATTCTTAAATTACTTTGCTGCCAAATGTATTGATCTCCACTAATGATGGTCTATTAGTTTTATTTAAGCTTTAAATCAAGAAATCATCAAAACTACTGAACTGAAGTACATTAATTTTATATCATTATAAAGGGAATTGAAGGACCTTTGAAATAAGGTATCACTCGACCCCCCTTTCCATTTAAGATTTTGGGGGTGGTGTCACCCCCGCTTAGGGGGCTGCACGCGCTAACGTGATTTTTTACCAAAATTGTGTCCCCCTCGAAATCTAAATCGACGGGTCTGAGCGTTTTTTAAAAAAAAAACTGAGCTGCCAGTAAATGCGTCTGTTTCGTTTTCGATATATGTATATTAACGGATATATATTCGATAAATTTCAAATATAGGTTTGAAAACTTAAACGATGTGATAAGTGCGCCTAGATGTTAAACATTTTCCTTTGGTGTATTCCCAATGGACATGATGGCGCCAATGACGTCGTTATTCCGTTCTTTTGGAGATAGACGTCATATTCACGTCGTATCGATTTTGCATTTGGTCATATAAAGACGTCAATTGGGTGTGACATAATGCGTCATAATGATGTCATTTCTACGTCATTTTTGTTGGTCGGCGTACGGCAGTAAAACCCTAAAAATGCAGACATTACGGGGTCACTATGTTCAATGGGTGGAACTTGAATTTGACAAAAAAAGTTTGTTGCTTTTGCTTGGTACCCCGTTCAAGACAGGATAGTAAAGTTCATATCGGATTCTGAATCTACGCGCTCGATTTAACCTCAATCTTAAAAATTGCGATAGATATTTCTTGGCTTGTGGTCTCCTAAATTAACTTAGTTATGTCAAGCTACTATAGCGAATTTTGCATGAAATATTTCCAACTCGGGATATCAGAAGATTGCAAAAACAGACACGTTTTAAATATCAGTATGAATAAAATAATAAATCGTTCTTACCGGAAGTCCAGGATCTCCTCTCTCGCCCTTGCTCCCAGGTTCACCTTGAGCTCCCTATTGAATAAACCTAATCTTACTAATTTGCTCAAAATTCGCTACATTCCATTTTCAAGTATAACAATTATTTTTTAATTTGATCCTGCATGTCTAAGAACAAAGACAGACTATAGTGAAAATAGTGCAGATCTCTAGAGCATCAACACTACGGAGTTGATCTATGACCTTGAAAAAAGAAGAAAATATTGTGTCTTGTAACTTTTTCTCGGAAAATTCCCGATGACGTGACTTGAGAATATTCTCTAGCGCTTGAAAATCTGATCTAAGCCCTATCTTTCAAATTATTATCGAAATATACTCACTTTCATTCCGTCAAGGCCAGGCGGACCCTGTGAATAAGTAAAAGTAAAACCTAGTTAAAACCTACTTCTTCAGGTCTCAGCATGCCTTGCAATTCTCGCCAGTCCTTGATGCGTTTTTGTTCTTCCCAACTTCAGCATTATTGCAATATCTTTCATCGACAGCATGCTTTTACCGACAAGTGTACAAGCGTCAATCTCGGAGGAGTGTTAGTGGAAAAATTGCATGCTTGAAGCGCCGGTAGTGATTCATATTTTCAAAGAATTCTGTTGAGTTATAATTAAATATTTCAGTAGGGTAGTTTCTGGCGCACTATATGGTAAGTCTGGTGATTGATAAATTTTCCATTTTCTTTTACTGCTTCTGTATAATCTGCTAACTGTTAAATGAGCCATCATAAACTGCAATTCTGTCTATGGTTTAGATCAGGCCTCTCCAACTCGAGCACTTGGTGCTGGTGCGCTCCGGTGCTGAACCCAGCGGCACCGGTGCCGCTCCCCCTCCACCTCGACCGCACAGCCGTCGCGACATAGAAAAACATATTAGCCGACTGTCTCTCGGGGCGGGCCATTTCTTAATAGGACAAGACAAAGTGGAGCGTCTTAACGTGCATCTTTTTTTTTAAACGATGGAAGAAGCCTGTTTTTTGTAAATACTGATAGAAAAGCAAAATGTTTAATTTGTCACACGGTATTGAGGCCAGCCCTTCTAAGTTCTGAAGAGGTTATTATTAATTTGGTCGTAGTTGATTATTATTAATGGTGTCGTAATGCAAGTTATACAGGGTGTCCGCAAAGTTGGGGTTTTCCTCTATACGACGTGTAGATCTTGAAAACATAAGCAATTTTTCTTAGTACCATATACACCAATGTCTTAAGGGAACCGAGATAAAGGGCTCTGCAACATCAAAAATATCTGAATACCATCCTGTAGCCGCGACATCCCCGACTGTTACTAGGACACTAGCTCAACCCGACGACAGAACTGGGTCGGGGTCAGTGTGTCAGGTCAGTATGCAACCTTCAACCGACGGTTACGGTCACGCGTGTAGAGGTAATCGCGTAGACGAGAATCGCTCAACAAGCACTAGAGACGTGGCTAGAGAAGTGCAAGTATCAAAAACTAAATTGTGGCAAAAGCTGCGTGAAGAGGGGCTGTATCCGTTTCACGTGCAAAGTGTACAAGCCCTTCAACCTGACGATTTTCCAGCAAGAGTGCGGTTTTTTGAGTGGTTGTTGCATCAACATGACAATAATCCGGATTTTTTGAAGTGCATATTGGTGACAGACGAATCTACGTTCACGCGTAATGGGGTGAATAACTTTCGCAACACTCATGTTTGGTCAGTAGAAAATCCGCACGCTGTCCGTCGGGCATATTTTCAACAAACATTTTAGGTGAATGTTTGAGCTGGCATGGTGAACGGTATGCTCATTGGACCATTTATTCTCCCAAATCGATTGGACGGGATGCAATACCTAGACTTTTTACGCAACATTTTGCCTTCCTTGTTAGAAGATGTGCCATTAAGTGTAAGACAATCAATGTGGTTTCTGCGTCTGCTCGGTAGCGCAACAGCTGATTTCATTTTCTGTTGGAGCGGTATGATTTCGGGCAGAGACGTACTTAGCCCTTCTCGTCAACTGGAGAGTGAGTACTTTTTCCTTTATTTTTTTTTTACTTGGTCGCCCTCGTTTCACTACACATTACCTTTGTTATTTCAAGGGTAGTTGTTTCTGAAAAGGAAAACCCCAACTTTGCGGACATTTCTGACACAGCGTAATTAGCTGTTTTCGTTAGAGGGGTCGAAATAGTATTTACTATCACCGACGAATTACTACACGTTATCCCGCTCAAAGATACTGCATATTACATCAGGAACACCTACGTGCAAAAACCTTCCGTAATTTCAAATCTATTATGGATGTAGTAATAACATGTGTCAATTTCTGCAGAATTTTCCCAAAATTCTTGCACTGGCCTTGGAAACTTGCTCCATGTTCGGTAGAACGTACTTCTGCGAGCAGACGTTTTCTTTAACGAATTTGAACAAAACTAAAAACAGGTCTTTGTCTGATGTGGCCTTAGAGGCGATACTCAGAATTTCCGCTGCTCAAGCCATCGTACCAAATACTAGAAAACTTGTTGAATCGAAACGCTGTCTAAGATCATCTTAAGAATAAATGGTATATTCAATGCCACCAGTTCCCGGGTCACTTCTATTCGCAGGGTGCACCACACCTTCCTCGCGATGCGTATGGCGCTGCCTAATCCCTCCCCCACCATCACGGAGTCACTCCGCAGCATTGTACTGCTAGCGGTGCTCGACGCTGCACTGGCGGCACCTGAGTTGGAGAGGCCTGGTTTAGATGGTAGCTATTCTTCGTTTTTTCATTTCAGAGAAAAATATCGATGACTTCGTTTCAATCAAAAGCCAGTCCTTGTTCAATCGACTCAAAATTGATGACAGTTTCTCGACGAGTTTTTTCAACACGCTAAGAATAACGTGCAAATGGTTAACGATACGACATAAAGAGCAGTCAAATGAATTCCATGGCTTAATCACAGCTGATGAGGAACAAAAATAATGTTCATCACGTTGCGTATAAAAACACAGGCAGGTCTATCTGACTATAACAAAGAAAGCTTTGAAAAGAAAATTTAGTAATTAATGTTCTTTCAATGGTAAATATTTAAGAAATATAGGTTACAAATAAAGCAGTGTTTTATTTGTCGAATAAGAATCAGGTATTGAAAACCATACGTGGTTTCCATATTAACTTTCAACGTTCAAACTTTTATCTTTTGAGAATCAAACGGTGTTTGAAAAAAAGAATTTTAGTTTTTTTTGTACACCCTAATAGTCGTGTTTTTTGAGCCGAAATGTTTTGTATATTTAAAGCGCGTATTAATAATTACAGCACATGCACAAACATTTATTTTCCGTACATGTCGATGTTACATCAAGCTTACAATACTAGCCGTCATCTGTTATTTTAAAATTAGAAATATTTTACAATTCTTTCAGGTTTCACAAACCGTAAAGGCTAATATCAGTCACATACCCTCGAAGTTCTCGTATCGTCTTATCAACACTATCTCTAAATGCTACTATAAAACACCTATAAAAAATGTTAACATGTATATTACAACACTGTTTTTATAGTAACTAATCTAAATCTTATGCTTTTTTGCAAGAAAAATCCCTTTTTACATATACTATATCATAAATTATTATGGTATATTTATAATATCAAAGTTGATATAGCCGCTGAACAAGCAACATTTCTGAAACAAAACTTTGAATAAAGAAAACTTGCTAGAAAATATGAAAAGTAACTAAAAACAGATTTTTTTTATGTTTCTGTTTTCAAAGCGCTAAGCGATACGCTTTTTTCAGTGCATTTCAATTTTTGTGTTGCAGAAAGTTTTTAGGTATTAGGTATTTGACTTTGACTCTACTTTATTGGAAAACACTTTTTTCCTACGTTATTTGTTCAGCGGTTATATCTATTAATGTTGAACATGTCAATGGACAGTAAGTAACATGTTCATAAATGTTAAGTACGATATGGACGATGTACATTTTGTTAAATGTTAACAATGCAACAATGTATATGTGAGAAACTATAGAACAAGCGAAACGTTTTTTTTTTATTGTTTGGGTTTCAGATAGAAATGATCAGAACTCGGAGAAAAACTAACTTGACAATTTCTTAAATCGTACCTCGTTGTATGTAGAACGCTTCGATAAAAAATAATATTTTTGGTAAATCCGAGTTAAATACCAAAAAATAGTGACAATATTTCTAGCCCGCGACATTTGTCGAAAAATATAAGATGTTCTTTTCATTTAAAAAAAGATTCTGAAAAATTGAATCTTCTTTTATCGAACGGTGAATGTTGTGATTCACATTGCATTATGTGATGAGGAAGTCGTAGAGATGCAATTTTGGTTATTATTATATAAGTTATTATCTGTCTAGAAATAATGACACTTTTTTAAGTTGAGGAGATATACATTGTGTCCGAAAAGTTGGGGTTTCCCTTTACACGACGTGTAGATCTTGAAAACATAAGCAATTTTTCTTAGTACCATATACACCAATGTCTTAAGGGAACCGAGATAAAGGGCTCTGCAGCATCAAAAATATCTGAATACCGTCCTGTAGCCGCGACCCGCCGCGATATCCCCGACTGGTACAAGGTCTCAACCCGACGGCAGAACTGGGTCGGGGTCAGTGTGTCAGGTTAGTATGCAACCTTCAACCGACGGTTACGGTCACGCGTGTAGAGGTAAACGAACTCGTATAATCGATTGCGTTTCAAAAAACAACAAGCACTAGAGACGTGGCTAGAGAAGTGCAAGTATCAAAAACTAAAGTGTGGCAAACGCTGCGTGAAGAGGGGCTGTATCCGTTTCACGTCCAACGTGTACAAGCCCTTCAACCTGACGATTTTCCAGCAAGAGTGCGGTTTTGTGAGTGGTTGTTGCATCAACATGACAATAATCCGGACTTTTTGAAGTGCATATTGGTGACAGACGAATCTACGTTCACGCGTAATGGGGTGAATAACTTTCGCAACACTCATGTTTGGTCATTTTCAACAAACATTTTCGGTGAATGTTTGGGCTGGCATGGTGAACGGTATGCTCATTAGACCATTTATTCTCCCAAATCGATTGGACGGGATGCAATACCTAGACTTTTCCACGCAACATTTTGCCTTCCTTGTTAGAAGATGTGCCATTAAGTGTAAGGCAATCAATGTGGTTTCTGCGTCTGCTCGGTAGCGTTTCAGCTGATTTCATTTTCTGTTGGAGCGGTATGATTTCGGGCAGAGACGTACTTAGCCCTTCTCGTCAACTGGAGAGTGAGTACTTTTTCCTTTATTTTTTTTTTACTTGGTCGCCCTCGTTTCACTACACATCACCTTTGTTATTTCAAGGGTAGTTGTTTCTGAAAAGGAAAACCCCAACTTTGCGGACACCCTGTATATATATTTTGTGGAGCGACATGATTTTATGAGATGTGAGACAAAAATATGTGACAATAAGTGGACTAGAAAATATGTATTATTCAGGGTATATTATAGAAATAAATTATCAAAAAAATATAACTGAATATTATGCTATAGATAGCGTCTTTATTGAACTTGACTGTTTCGTATAGTTTGAAGCTGATAATTTTGAAAACCTAGGTCTATAGTGTTGACTTTTGACTTAACTGGCATTTAAAAATTAAATTTTGGATCAAATTATATATACTGGAAGTGTCAAATTTGACTCTCAACGTTGGGATCTCGGAACCTCAAAAGATACGAGATCGCTTAAACAGAGACAAAGTTGCGCATTTAGATAAATCCCGTGTATTTTCGGAGATAAATAAAAAAAATCTCAAATTTGTTTTTATGTAAATTAAAAATAACATTAATATCGTCACTTTTTTCCTCTGTAAACCTTATCTTTTTCAAAGAATCATAACTTTCTAAATAAGCCTTGAAATTATCAGCACATTTTTTATCTGTCATATCTAAGCCGATGCACATATCTTGACCTCAAATCCGCCATATCTAAACCGATGCACGACCATCGTGCTAAAATGAAGCATGTTACAGTCGATAATTATTATATGAATGTCTTTAAATATGCTTCTCATAAATTGAAGCATTGCTGATTTAATTGTATAAATATATGATAAACTGTCATTTTCAAGGTCAACTATGACATTTTTTTTCCTTTTTTTTAAATAACTTAGGTGTGATATTGTTAATGTATGACGAATTTTTGGAATCAGACTGAAAAATTCACTTTCCAACTGTACAAAAATCCAATGTGGGATTTATAAGAAAAAATACAGTTAACGATTAACGTCATATTGAAATTCATCTTGTAGAGGAGAAAAAGTGGTAATGTACTTTTTATTTTGAAATCTGAAATAATGCCAGGAGAGAATAAAAACGATTTTTGTGTCTTTCTTTTACCTCCTGAAATGCCCACATTTAAGTAACTTCCGATATCCCAATGTTGAGACTGAAACTTGAAACACCCACTAAAGATTTTTAAAAGGGTGTTAAAATATGCTTTCGAAATGGAACGCTCCATGTTTTTAATCGATGTATTATAATATTAGGCTAAAATATCAGTACAGTAATATAAGATCGTTAAATACAAAAATACAATCATACTTCCATTAAAATAAAACAGATAGGCATTATTTCAAATAACGTAAGTACTATATTCCATTTCTCATCACCATGAAATCAAACGTGTGCTGAAATAAACCGAATTGTGCAGATGATAATCAACCATATACTGTATATCGGCATCCAAGAAGGCATTTGGAAGATACTAGCGCCATCTGTGAGACAGTAGCAAAACAAAGTAGATTTTGTGTTATGCTACTGTCTTATAGATGGAGTTGTATCTTTCAGATCCTTTTTTGGACGTCATAATACAGTATATTGTTGGATATTGAGTACAGACGAGGCTAAAACCCTGCATTAGAGAGAGACCCCGACCTTTTTTTTCTAATAGTAGCTCGCGAGTAAAGGACCTCGCACAAAACATATAGAAAATGGGTGCCAGTCGTTTTGCCTAAAAATTCAGTACGACAAATTTCTTGCTTTTCTAAACAAATGTTGCCTGTGAACTAAAGCGATCCTATGATTAGTTTCTGAGAAATAGTGGATGAAGTTTGCTCGATTTGTAAAGATGGCGAATGTGCGATGACCAAAAACTCAGAGAATTGTTATTCTCAACAATTTAAAGCGATGTTCACACTTGAGCACTTTTCCTGGCAGCTTCAAAGCGAGCATCACCTTGTAAGGGTCTTAATCGAAGACAAGAAAATAACCACGACCTTTCTGCACCCTTGAGAATCGAAGTTATCTGGATTCTCGAACAACTCGTGAAAGATCTGCTTCAGCCTTAACACTTGCGCTCATATTGATCTTGTGAGGAACATGTCAACTCCCAACATCCTCCTGCAAGGTGCTTTAATGGAAGCAATTTTGGTCTGAGAAGTTCAATAGGCACATTCACCATTTTTTTTTTCAATTCTAAAAGGAATACATACCCCTATTTCTCAGAAAATAATCATAGGATCGCTTTGATCGAAAGACAACTTTTGCTTAGAAAAGCGAGAAATATATCATACTGCAGTTTTAGAAAAATCGACTGCGATCCATTTTCCACATGATTGTGCGGGGTCCTTTGTAAAATATTTTTTAACAAATAGTAAAAAATGTTTTTTTTGCTCCGAAAAAAATGTCTCTTTTTTTATTATTTGTATGTGAGCCAAATAAGCCACATAATCAATATAAATTACCGTTTCACATTGAGTGATATATTTTTAATCAACATATTGCTGCCACGAATGCGAAGTTCCCGTCTCGTCTGAAGAGGTACTTACATTTATTGATAAGTATAATGCAGGTTAAGGTTAATATAATATAGAAAAAAGATTCACATTGAGGTATATTTACAAAAATAAAAACAAAAAAATAATAACTAGAATAAATAATGTGAAATATGTGCACAGAATCCATTTGAACTAAATAAAACCATGTCAAAAAACGGATATTTTGCAATCAGCATAACTACTTGTATTCTTGTTATAATCCACAACAAAAATCACCGTTTCCGCGTATGTTTGATAGTGTTCTAATTTGAAAAAGGTTGAAATAATAAATTGTAGCTAGTATCATTTTTTGACATGGTGTGGAATCATACAAACCTATAGAATAACATTCCTAATATGAAACCTGTAAAAAAATTACATTGCAGAATGAAAAATAATTTGGAATAGTACAATAATACTTTATAAATACTATGTTATATTAGCGTGATGGCAAAAGTACTTTTTCGATAAGTACATCAGATATGCAGGGTGGGCCCAACGAAAAGGTTTGACCCCCATTTGTGAGTCTCCTGGTATATTTTTGGAAAAACGCTTTGATTTCTAGGGGGACGCCGTAGCCGTACTATACAGGGTGATCCAAAAATAATATATTGCGGTACGCTTTAGATTTTTGAATGGAAACCTCCATTTTTCAATTTTTAATGAGGTTTTTAGTAACTTTTGTATGATAAAGTTTGTGAAGAAAAAATCCGAGCCTTTTTCCCAAAATATACCAGGAGAGTCACAAACGGGGTGCAACCTTTCGTTGGGCCAGCCTGTATGCAACATTAGACGTAAATCCCACTTTTGAAGACTTTTTATTTAAAAACAGGAAAATTCTAGGAGCTATCCTAAGTTTCAGTTTCTTGAAATAATTTTTTGTATGTCATTGTGTTCCGATTCGAATGTGGTATCGAACGCCATTCTGCAAAAATGGGAGCTACATATTTTTTATACTAAAAATACAATAAACTCTGGATGGGAGCTAAATTTCGTGGCAGTCGTATATAATCAATATTTCACAAAATTATTGTCCTTCAAAACGATGCGATTTGTAACTTGCAACTGGTGGATAGACATAACCACTTTGCAACTCAAACTGAAAGCAATGATGGTAACTTGGCAACACGGCATAAACTCAACCTGGAAAGCGCTGTATTGGGTCAGTATTTTCGCGAAAGATAAAGCTCTATTTTTAGACGCTTTTCAATTTCCTGATTATTTTAAGGAGTAGCCAAAAAGGATCCTTGAGTAAACAATTTTCAAACATTTCAGTCGCAAATCATTTTCATTGATGGGCGGTTTTGAGAAGTTCATATTGGTCTGCGAGTCGATATCGCCTTAGGGTTGATAAAAAAAAATTCTGCGCAGTAAAATATCAACTATCAGATTACAAAGCGACTTTCTGTCTGTCTGGTATTTGGTGTGTCTATCAGAACTAAATGCAACATGGCTAAAAATATCTAACGCTTGCCCTCTTGTTGTATCAAGCATCATTAGAAAGCAAATTAGGCATTTGTGCATTTAACGACAAAATCAAACTTTTAGTGTTAGTCAAAACACGAAAGCTGCGTCTAAGATAACAACTTTTATAAAGCTCTGTTATTCTAGTTCTATAACTGTTTTTAATAAAGCTGTTTCATTTTATAATAATTTTAAAAACGTTTGAACAATCATCCGGTGAGAGCTGTGAGAGCTAAAATAAAACAAATTGCTGTGCCTTTTTGGTTTTATAAGCGTTATATAAACGTTGTCAGAACGTTTATAGCGTCATTGTCGTTTTATAAAAATTTGTAGGACATTTATAAATCATAAAAATGTTACATCATAGCTGTCATTTTGAGTTCTACCGTGGACAATAGCTGTCAGTTGTCACAGAACTGACACTGTGGGGTGTGTTAATCGAAGCTCAGCAACAGCGTATCGTCAGTCGCAAACGTTATGTTAAGAGTAGATGGAGTGTTATTATAACGAAAACTGGGTAGCTAGCTGGCAGTTAAGTCACACTTCTGCATTATTTGTTCCGGGACGGGGGTTGGTAGCATCGCATCGTGTATCATAGGCTGCCTGATTGCGTTAGGCCTAGTTATTATAGTATGTTTTCCTTACCATCGGGCCCGGCTTTCCGTAGTCGCCTGGTCGACCGCTTTCGCCGCGAAGTCCCATTGGACCCTGTTTAAAATTACGATCAGATTTTTGTACGGAATTAATTTCACTATTTATCGAAGAAAGAAAATATGCACGCATGAGAGCGCCAAGCACGTTACAGGGCCGGTGAGGCTGCATGCACCGCCGTTTCATCTCCCACCTTTCCAATTTGGCATTGCTTTTGTACAGGGTGTCCCAAAGAAAATGGAATGAGCAAACTGCTAAATGTATTTAAAATGTGTTTTCGTGGCAACCTTGGTATGTTACTAGTGCATATTTTTAAATTATTTTCATATATACAGGGTGTTCCATAACTTCGCAAACATATATTCTTTTAGCTTCTGAACACAGGAAGATGGTATCATATTTAGATATTTGGTCAAACGTCCGAAAAAATGGTTAGCTTTGACGTCCCGCAGCTCCGCCATTTTTGAAGATATTTAGATAATTCTTAGTTCACAAAGATTTTATTATATTCTAACAACGTTATTCCATTCAAATAATCTGTATTTTCGACAAGGTCATAATACAAAAGTTCGTCTAAATCAACAGTACTCTACTGGACAAAAAAATTTTTCTGGTATACCACAGGGATCCGTGTTAGGACCCCTGTTATTTTCATGATATATCTCAGGTTTATAAACACAGGTAAAATCATGTAGTATAAATTTTTTTGGCGACAATACTCAGATTTTCTATTAATTTCGGAGTAATGACTTGGAAACAGCTAATACTAAAAACTAATCAAAAACTCGCCCAAATTGAAAAATGTATTAGTAGTCATAGTTTTCGTTTGAATCCTTTACGCAAATAAAACAAAAAGGAATGCTTTAAAAAAGGACATAAACATAAATTTATTCTCAAATTGCAATTGTGTGTGTTCTTGTTTTCAAAAATATCATATTGCTTATTGGTTTACTATCCTATATAGATATTGGAACAAGAAATCGTATTCAAAGTATTATGTATACGTGCTGCATACTTGTAGATGATCTAAGAAAATAACATCAGGCCATTAATGACTTCAAATGGATGAAAAATGATAAAATGTACAAATACCAGCCCCTAAGTCTGACTCATAGGGTTCTTTATTCATATTTAGGAACCAAATTCATATGTATAGGGAATAAATATGCATTAATATTGTTACTTTTTTTCCTCTGTAAACCGTATCTATTTCAAGGAATAATAATTTCCTAAATAAGCCTTGAAATTATCAGATGCAGCTTCGTAAGCGTATTTTTTATCTGTCATATCTGAGCCGATGCACACATCTTGACCTCAAATCCGCCATATCTAAACCGATGCACCACCATCGTGCTAAAATGAAGGTTGTTATAGTCGATAATTTTTATATGAATGTCTTTTAAATATGCTTCTCAGAAATTGAAGCATTGGTGAGTTAATTGTATAAATATGTGATAAACTGTCATTTTCAAAGTCAACTATGACATGTTTTGTTTCTTTTTTTAAATAACTTAGGTTTGATAGTGTTAATGTATGACGCATTTTTGGAATCGGAATTAAAAACTCACTATTCAACTGTACAAAAATCCAATGTGGCATTTATAAGAAAAAACACAGTTAACGATTAAGAACAAGCCACGAAACGTCATATTGAAATTCATCTTGTGGAGGAGAAAAAGTGCCAATGTTAATGTACTTTTTATTTCGAAATCTCCAATGTAATAAAAAAGACGTGCTGAAGTTTCTTTCTATAACTATATGTTACATGATATCAAACTTCTTGTTTCTCGAAGCTCTATCCAAATATGCAATAAAAAATTTTGATAAAAATACTTATTTGCTGCTGTAAGAAGTTATAGAATACCCTGTATATACTAAGGCAGTTTTAAAAAATGCACTAGCGATATATCAAGGTTGTCACGAAAACCGATCTTTTAAATCTTCTCCAGTTTGCTCACAAAACTACTTTTCATTTTCGTTGGGACACCCTGTATATGGACTCAACCCATTCTGCGCAATAATAACGATTGTTGTTTTGGTTTAATGTCTTTCTTGGATAAATATACTTGTGACGACGTAATGTAACTTACTGGCAAACCCATTGGTCCCGGGTCTCCTTTCGATCCTTTTTCTCCCTGAAATTTATAAAAATAGATTTTTGAATACCTCTTTTGTATCAAGTTAATAGATTACAGGGTTTGTCCGGAAAGTAATAGGACTCGTTTTCTTCAATATTTTTTTTAAATCGATTCAGTCCTATTACTTTCCGGACAAACCGTGTATGTGCACTGCCCAACTCCATGCCCGCCAGAACCATTTACGCGGCTCATTGCCAAATCCAGGACCAAAAAACCACCGAAAGGTTCGCGCTGACCACGTTTTTCAACTTGAAACTTTACTCACAATGGTTTTTCAGTTTATGTATTCACGTTCACAACATGCTGATTCGCCGTTCATTATAAACGCGCTAATTAAGTTTAAATAATTTGGGGTGTATACTTACTCTTTCTCCTTTGATTCCGTCGTGACCCCGATCGCCCTTAATTCCCGGGGGGCCCTGTATCCCTGGTGTGCCCGCAGGTCCAGGAGGACCAGGTGGACCTATTATCTATCGAGAGAAAGCTCGAATAATATTGAAAGTTCATATAAGAGACATATTAGGTCACTCCACATTTCTATCTGAAACGTTAGGGTTACGCCAAGCCATTTAGGCGACAGCTATTCTTTTACTTATCTTCAGTGATATTGCTTATGGCTTCTTATACCCCTCTGCAATTGGTTTATGGTAAAAACTCTACGAATTATGTATGTGGCTTGTGTCGTATATTGTAACGAAAACGCTGTTTTTTCTCTCCAAATTAATTTATAACATTTTATTACATTTATAACCACGTCTTCTGGACTACGTCGACGCATCGGTTGCTGCTCGTTCAACGACTTTCAAATGCGTCTGTACATTCGAATGTGACTGTCTCGTTCCGCCATCTAGTCGGGTATTTATTTCCCTATCGACGAACCGATAAACATTCCGGCGTTTTCGCGAAGTTCCATGGAAGTGAAGATGGCAGCAGGCGCCTTCAGACGGGTCTCGATAATGCTTGAACCTCGGCCAAGCCTGCAAGCGCTGACGTCCGGTAATTTCTCATAGATGGCGCGTATGGGCATGTAAGAGCATACAGGCAGCGCCATCTGTGAGACACTAACCTTTTCAAGGTATACTATACAGGGTTATCCAAATTAAGTGTCCACCATTAGTAACTTTGTTATTAGTGAAAATACAAAGTTATTTGAATTAGCAAACTAGTAGCATTTTTAACGCTGGTAAAAATGAGAAATAAAAAAAACAATTGAGAGTCGTTATTTTGATTTTTTTCAGTAAAATAACATTTTTTTAAATGGAAACCCCTGTATATTATATTTTTTTCTGTTAAAGCATCAAATTTTAAACAAAAAAGTTCATAATGACTTTTCCGCTAAAGTCAAAAATAAAGTCAAAATAACGATAAATATTTTTAATTATTTGCAGTATTATAATATTAAGACGGCTATGAAAACAACATGGCGTTCGCGATTTGACAGCATTAAGATAAGCGACAAATTGTTAAACTGGACATACTCGCAACTAGAAGGCTTTGGAAAACAATGATAAAATCAAGTAATGTCAAACATTAGTGTAAATACTTGTTTATAAGCTTTATTGTGTCATTAATTTAAAGAAAAATGTTCTCCCATGAAGAAAAGTGTGATATGTTAGAATGCTATTTAGTGTGCAGAAAATCCTCCTTGAGAGCAAGAGACTACAGTGAATTATATCCCGCTCGCATTCAACCGTATGAACGATATTTTCTGAGACTTTATCGAAAATTTAGGGGCAACGAAAATGTTTTTGCTAAAACAAGGGCAAAAAAAGAATTCATAATAAGCGAGGCCACGGAAATTGCAGTTATTGGATATTTTGAAGCTTATCGTGAGAATTCAATAGCAGATATTCTCAAGGACTCTAATTTCAGTTATGGTACAGTTCAAACGCTTTTGGCAGGGGATCCAGAGAGAAGACTTGTTTTTTGCCATTGGTATCTTAGCTTCTGTCGCCAAAATGTAAATAACTTTCGTTACCTTTTATGGACAGATGAATCAAATTTTTCAAATTCTGGAATGTTTAATAGAAAAAACCACCATTATTGGTCAAGAGAAAATCTTTTGTTAGTACATCCAAGAGGCCCACAAGTCCGTTTCAGTTTCAACGTTTGGTGCGGTATAATTGGTTCAAAAATTGTTGGCCCGTTCTTTTATGAGGGAACCCTAACTGGTGAAAGATATGTGGAATTTATGTCAGAAATTCTGACTAATTTCTTAGACGAATTGGATCTTATAAGTAGACATCATCTCCATTTTCAGCAAGATGGCGCACCTGCCCACAACTCCAGAGGTACGTATCATTTTCTAAGTACTACTTTTAATGATCAGTGGATAGGAACAAATGGCCCAATACAGTGGCCTCCCAGATCACCAGATCTAAACCCACTTGATTACTTCTTGTGGGGTTACTTAAAGAACCAAATTTACAAGCGAAGGTACGATAACCTTGACGCGTTAAATACTGCAGTTAGGGAAAAGATAACCCAGATAGATGGTAGGACCATACTTAAGACAGTTCGAGCAGTTGAAAAACGTGCCCAAAAATGTATTGAAGAACAAGGTGGTGTTTTCGAGCATCTTCTTTAAAAAAAATTGTTATTGTATTTTGTAAGATTATAAGTTGATGTTGAAAATAAAGTTTGTCGATACAATTTAATTGTTTCAGATTGGAGGCCATAACTTCAACAATTTGTAACCTAGGAGAAAAGTTATTGTAAGCTTTTTTGTTTAAAATTTGATGCTTTAACAGAAAAAAATATAATATACAGGGGTTTCCATTTAAAAAAATGTTATTTTACTGAAAAAATCAAAATAACGACTCTCAATTGTTTTTTTTTTATTTCTCATTTTTACCAGCGTTAAAAATGCTACTAGTTTGCTAATTCAAACAACTTTGTATTTTCACTAATAACAAAGTTACTAATGGTGGACACTTAATTTGGATAACCCTGTATATGTTATTATGTTATAGTAAATGGAGAAACAGCTACTACAAATTCTCATAATAGACGCTACGGTATCTCATTTTATTTCGGATAATTTTTTTGACACGGATATATATATATAGGGTGGCGCATCGAAAACGACCCATTTACTGGCAGCTCACTTTTTTTTTAAACGCTCAGACCCGTCGATTTTGTTTTCGAGGGGGCACAAGTTTGACAAAAAATCACGTTAGCACGTGCAGCCCCCTAAGCGGAGGTGACACACCCCCAAAATCTTAAATGGAAAGAGGGGTCGAGTGATACCTGATTTTAAAGGTCTTTCGATGCGCCACCCTGTATATCTAGTTTAAAAATACTTGAAGCTTCTGTTTATCTTAACAAGATTATAACGAAATTCTTTATATCAAGCTATGTAGTTTGTATTTGTAACAAGAGTACCCAAAACACAATACAATTAGAATATTTGAATGGAATGATCTAATATGATAACAACACTCCTGGCACAGGCATTACTTACCATTTCTCCAGCCGTGATTTCTCCGGTGCCATCTCCCTGGAACAGTATAGAGAAAATAATACAAAAAGACAACGTTGTTAAGCATGGCGTTGGGTGGATATCTAGAAAGCATGTTATATACAGCGAAGCTGAGATCGCGAAAGCTTTCTGATCGATCATACGCAAATTGAAGGCATGAACAGCTACTAAAAGCCTTCAAACATCATCCGGGCAAAATGGAAATGGAACGCGGCAAACTTTATTACGAAGATATACTATTACCAGAGAGTAGTTTCCAGAATTGTATTCAGTACGTTTCTGTTGAGGACGCTTTCACGCGGAACGTAGTTATTCCTACATTTACTGGCTTTGATGAAAAAAGCTGCATTAAATAGCAGTGGAAATTATTTTAGAGCAGAAAGTACTTTGAGCATTGGTTTTGAAATTTTCTCTTGCCGAGATATAGCACCGTTTACTCTTCAAATAGGTTAATATTTTACGCAGATTTTACTTCAATTTTGCTTGAACTAAATGTTCAAAATGAACGATCTAACAAACATTTCTCAAAAAAGACATTAAACGGTAGTGCAGGATTTTTTTTCTTCTTTTGCGCTGAGTATATTTAACATTACGTTTTTTTATTGGACCTATTTTTTACCATAAAAATATTGCCACTGTTTGCTGAGAATCAACTGGTAAAAATCTGCGTGGAAAATATCGCGAACAATTGCAAAAGCTTTATGAACATTAGAAAGCAATGACTGTTAGTATGAGCCATCATCAACAATATTTATAAATATAATATATAGTTACCTGTCGTCTCCGCAGCTTTTTGTACTTCTAAAAGGTCACACCGGAAAAAAAATAAAAATAATTAATATTTTTTATATCAATATATATATACCAATGCAAAATACAGGGTGTCCGCAACGTTGGGGTTTTCCTTTTCAGAAACAACTACCCTTGAAATAAACAAAGGTAATGTGAGGTGAAAGGAGGGCGACCAAGTAAAAAAAAAATAAAGGAAAAAGTACTCACTCTCCCGTTGACGAGAAGGGCTAAGTACGTCTCTGCCCGAAATCATACCGCTCCAACAGAAAATGAAATCAGCTGATACGCTACCGAGCAGACGCAGGCAAACAAGGAAGGCAAAATGTTGCGTAAAAAGTCTAGGTATTGCATCCCGTCCAATCGATTTGGGAGAATAAATGGTCCAATGAGCATACCGTTCACCATGCCAGCCCAAACATTCACCGAAAATGTTTGTTGAAAATGTGCCCGACGGACAGCGTGCGGATTTTCTACTGACCAAACATGAGTGTTGCGAAAGTTATTCACCCCATTACGCGTGAACGTAGATTCGTCTGTTACCAATATGCACTTCAAAAAGTCCGGATTATTGTCATGTTGATGCAACAACCACTCACAAAACCGCACTCTTGCTGGAAAATCGTCAGGTTGAAGGGCTTGTACACGTTGGACGTGAAACGGATACAGCTCCTCTTCACGCAGCGTTTGCCACCCTTTAGTTTTTGATACTTGCACTTCTCTAGCCACGTCTCTAGTGCTTGTTGAGGGATTCTCGTCTACGCGATTACCTCTACACGCGTGACCGTAACCGTCGGTTGATGGTTGCATACTGACCTGACACACTGACCTCGACCCAGTTCTGTCATCGGGTTGAGCTAGTGTCCTAGTACCACTCGGGGATGTCGCGGCTCCAGGACAGTATTCAGATATTTTTGATGTTGCAGAGCCCTTTATCTCGGTTCCCTTAAGACATTGGTGTATATGGTACTAAGAAAAATTGCTTATGTTTTCAAGATCTACACGTCGTGTAAAAGAAAACCCCAACTTTGCGGACACCCTGTATATCTGGACCTACTTCAAACTTTAATAATGATTCCTTACAATCACGGTGAAACCTTTTCTCCAAGAACCGTGAATGTGTCTTTAGTATGTTTTTTAACTAACAGTTCAATTATCTTAACTTCACTTTGTTATAGGTTAAAAACGATTACGGATAAAAGGGAATCTATCAAAGCCGCATATTGTTGATAATAGAGAAAAGGCTGCTTGTGAGCCAAAACCGACGGTTTCTATCAAGAAGAAAATTGGATGTATTAACAACGGAAAATTGAGTTAAGCTTCTGCTTGGCTAGGAATTTAATCAATCAATATAGTTGAAGCTGAGTTTCCCTCTACAAAGTAATTATCCGTAATTAATTTTTGATCTGCTGTTATGCTATTAAAGTGATATTGGAAGTTAAGCGCTGAAATGTGTACAGCGGCAATTTATGAGCTCTCGAGAACGGCGGCAAGATTTCGATTGCTAAGGGTTTTTATAACGTTGAAGCGGATTGAGACAAAGAAATCAAGAAAGTTATAGATCTGATCTTTTTCCACTTTTCATGGTTATGTGATAATATCATAGTAAGTAAACAACAAGCAGATCTTCAGCGCAGAAGCTCTTTTACACATGAATTGGGTAGTAAAGGTACATTGCACCTGAATCTAAATATGTTCCAATTAATTCTACTAAGACTTGTATGTAGATAAATCGGACAATAGAGAAATTTTTCAACTAGATTCTTTGTCAGAATCGTGTTCGTTGGAGGCATTATTCAATAGGTTTTTGGACGGTAAGCAGGTGCACATTTTTAAATAAATTTCAAGCAATTGTTTTTTCGCTCCGAACAAACTTTTTTTTGAATTCCGAACAAAAGTTTACCGTTTTCAGGTTATATGCTATTTAGAGCCGTGTCTTCAAAATTTTCAAAATTTCCAAAATTTTCAAAATTTCCAAAATTTTCATAAATTATAGTTTTTAGGTTTCAAAATTTTCAGTCTTTCAAATCGACAAATTACGATCAGCGAACAGGTGGTTGAAATTCGTCGGGTTCTGAAAAAGCTGAGAAATTTTCAAAATTCTAAAAATTTTCAAAATTTTCAAAATTTTTACAATTTTTAAATTTTCTAAATTTCCAAAATCTTCAAAATTTCCTAGATTTTAAAAAAATTCAGTTTTTAAGTTTCTAACTTTTCAACATTTTCAGATCGACAAATTACGATCCGGGAACAGGAGGTTGAAATTCGTGGGCTTCTGAAAAGCTGAGAAATTTTCAAAATTATCAAAATTTTCTAAATGTCCAAAATTTCCAAAATTTTCAAAATTTTCAATATTTCCAAAATTTTCAGTCTTCTAGATCGACAAATTATGATCCGGGAACAGGCGGTTGAAGTTCGTGAGGCTTCTGAAAAAGCTGAGACTAATCCAAAATCGTCGTAGCCAAAGCGTCAGACTGACATTTATTGAAATTAGTAACTAAACTATAATCTAAGAAAACTTTGTCCGAGGAAAAAAACGTTGCTGGTTCACATTAAGGAGTATGCAAAAAATCGAGTTGGAAATTTTCTCCATAATACTAGGTTTTTGTCTCGTCTAAAGATGCCCTTCAAGTTACCGGTATACGGCAGAATCATCAATTATGAATAACAGAAAAAATCAACCGGCTTACTTACCGATTCTCCTTTCTCCCCTTTCTCTCCTTTTTGTCCGGGGTATCCGGGGGGTCCGGGCAAGCCGGGGGGTCCCATCAGTCCAGGGGGGCCGATGTCTCCGTATTCGCCTTTCTCCCCTTTCAGACCGATCATGCCCTGGATGCCAAACGTGAACATATTAAAAAGCCGCAGTATGCTTTCGGAGGTCGTATTTATTGCTTGCTTATCCGCGAGAGAGATGCCGAAGAATCCAGATTTTTTTTTTGAAGAGTATCTATGGAGGCATAACCTAATGACTCGCTCAAGTGCCAAAAACAAAAAAACAGAAATTGATATTTTTCGTGAAGAAACGTATCGCCCTATGGATTGAATTTTCGATATATAACACCAGAACAAATTAGTTTATTGCCTCTGTGGTAAATTTTTTGCTAGTGGGTCAAAGTCTTTAGTTATGTCTAGAATAGCAAAATTTTGAAGGTGTACTTACCGGTAGGCCAGGTGGTCCTTGAGGTCCGGGTTCTCCAAGCATCCCCGGTTCACCAGCAGGTCCAGAAAGCCCAATGTCTCCCTTTGGCCCTTGGAATTAAAAAGGATGCGTATACATATAGTTTCAAATTACAGATCCACCTAAATGTTGTGTGCCTACTTAGTACGAAAATCATCCATATCTCCGGTGTTTGATACTAAAAAGTATTTATAGCAGAAGAGCAAAAGTAACAGAAACGTTTTTTGAGACATACGTCCTGAGACGTCTCCTATACTATATACAGGCTGGAAAAAATATCCACGCCCTTTTAGATAAAACCAGAAAATCTGTATTCCTGTTGCAGTTATATAAAATCGTAACATCTCGATATCTTTGATACTATCTGCACTCCCGCTTCCTGTAAACAACCCTGGGAGAAAATACATTTTTTATCAACCGAAATATCACCGCAAAGACTAAAAAAACAATCTTGTCTCTCGTTTCGTACTTCTTCACTAACCTTACCGCAGTGGCAGCAAATTAAACAGTTTATTCGCCGTGGGGTTGAATGTAACGACTTTAACCGCAGTAAACTTGAGCGAACTGACAAGCTTGCGTCGATTCCCCTCACTCCCTTTTCAACCCTCAGGCGGTCAGGCAGCGTCCGACGTACCTGTTTGCCCTTCATTCCCCAAGGGCACTTGCGAATAACCTCACTTTCTGTCTCCCTGCCGCGGTGTACAATGTCTGTTAAAAGTTTGGAACCGAGTTCAATCCCACTTCTGAGTCTTAATTGTTTAATGGGCAATCTCTCACAGTAATTTGTTACCTGATACAGTGAGGAAGTTGGAATTTGGAGTTTCTTAAGTTGTACTTAATTGGAATATAATAACCTCAATTTCTGATGTCTCCGTGATGCGATGTACAATGACTTTCAAGAGTTTAGAAACCAGTTCAATCCCACTTCTGAGTTTAAATTGATTAATGGACCATCTCTCATGGCAGTTTGTAATCTGAGCCTATGAGAAGTTGGAAGTTTCTTAAATTCTAAGATATTACTTAATAAAGGAAATGATGGATAATACACATTTTGTCAAAACTGTCAAAAGTCAAATGTGGCCAAACATTGGCAAGTGTTTTATGAACGTCAAACATTCCAGCCTTACAACATTCAGACATCAATGTCGATTCCAGGTAATCCAGAATTTTTGGCCGACATCGTACAGATTGAAATAACCAAACCACGTAGCTGGACACACATACAGCTTCGCGTATGAGGAGTTAACTTTGGATATTTCCGTTATCCGTACAGGCCGTGTTTTCATTGAATCTGTGATATAGATGTCAGCCAGTAGCTGGTATTATGGAAACGTGATTAAATTTTGAGCTTCCCATTCGCCGCAAAGTTAATTACATTCTCATTCGATTTTTGGAAGTCTCCGATATCTTTATTTTCGTCGTATTCACTTTTGCGACTAGGGCACAATTTCCACCTATCAAAAAGAAGAGTTTGCGACTGAATCGTAAAAGAGACCAATCAAAAACAAAGCTTTGCGCTCTGCTCTAATCATGGATCAAGCTTAATACAATATCTGGATTGATATGACAGCAATTACTGAATATTTTATTGAAAATAAGTGTCACTGTTTGACTAATTTTGAAAAAAAGTAGATATTTAACAATCCATCGATATTTTCAATGATGTTATATTTTTTCTCTTTATAGGTTTGTATCTGGTGAGTCAATCTAGAAATAAATAAAATTGCAGAGTGCTTATTCTTCAATAAACATCGACTAAACATTCAATTTACTTGACTACCGTGTAGAAACCCTTGTTTCTTACTACTGTTCTGCTCAACACGTGTTTAGAGCTAATTTTCCTGGCTTATCTCAAGAGGGAGTCAGTGATACCGCTGACGCCATCTGCTGGACGGTGGAACGAATACGCTACCTCTAACCCTACCTTGCCACCGTTCAAAAGGGGGCGCCAGTGGTATTATGGGTTTTCTGTTGTGATAAGCCAGGAAAATTAGGTTTAAACACGTTTTAAAATCGTTTAAGGTTCTTCACACAGTACTCAAGTAAAACATTTGATATATAACGTTTAAAATCGTATATTTGAGATTCGGAAAAAGCAAAGGTCTAGATTAAGTATCGTTTCTTTTATTTTGAAGTCAGTTAAGTGATTATAATTGTTTCCAAGGCTAACCTGACCAGAAATGGGTTTCAATTGAGCAAGTCCCGTATAAATACCTGTTGTCTGAAATTACGCATCTGCTTTACAAATCGTTCGGTGAGAGCTGGGTGAGCAATTAATGCAGATTTGAATATCGTTAGTCGAAGATGTTAATTGGTCATGTACAACAGGCCGCAGATGTGCGCTAACCCAATCGGAATCCTGCTCTGCGGTAGTTTGTGGTGGGGAGTATCCATAAAGTACGTTTGGAATTACCTGGCGTCCGTCGCCAAGTTATGTTCCAATGCTGTTCACGTGTTCGCCAGTCTATAATAGTGCAAACTCTATGCTGTATACGTTTCGTTGAAGAAACCTAACATCTTGTTGATCCATTTAATTATTTTCATCTCGAGTAGTTACAACTGAATTTAGCTTTGTACGTCCAGGTAATTTTTTGGAAATATGCCAAAAATCGTAAATAACCCTGGGGCCGAGTTCGAGATCGAAAATTGATTGCTTGGGGGCCCCCATGGGTAGGGTTCGAATTGCTCAGAAAGCGAGTCCAAATTATTTACACCAGGGGCTTTTCACAATTCTCTTTAAGGATATCTCAGAATATTATACGACTATTGACGGCAGGGCTACTACCACCAGATAAAATAAAGTGTATTATAAAGAAAGCAACCGAAAACATATATAAATGCACTACTTGGGGTTAAGTTACAGCTACCACTAGTTTATGTATGGATTGTATGAAAACACTGCTACAAACAAGGCTAAGCGAAAAGTCATTGATATTGAAGATATATTGATTTTTCATAAAAATTATTTTCTTTTTCGTCGACTAATGAGAATTGTTATGATTTGTAGCACCATTCTCGTTTTACAATATGTTAAAATAAAGGTAATACTTACTCAAGTGTGTTAAATGAAAAAGTGAGCATTGCTAAGCAGCTGTGTATACATTAGCAGATTCCAACACCACTACAAAATTAAAAAGAAAACTCCTACTGGAAGAAAAAAATTAGTAAAAATTAAAAACACACGTGAAATGACAGCGTCTGGATGAAGTTAATGTAAGCCATGTTAAATATAAATTACACTACAAACTAAGTACATAAACTTAAATATGTTAGCAATATTTATTAAGTAAAAGGGTACAAAGCATATATATACAGTAAGTACAGGGTGTCCGCAAAGTTGGGGTTTTCCTTTTCAGAAACAACTACCCTTGAAATAACAAAGGTAATGTGTAGTGAAACGAGGGCGACCAAGTAAAAAAAAATAAAGGAAAAAGTACTCACTCTCCAGTTGACGAGAAGGGCTAAAGTACGTCTCTGCCCGAAATCATACCAACAGAAACTGAAATCAGCCGATGCGCTACCGAGCAGACGCAGAAACCACATTGATTGTCTTACACTTAATGGCACATCTTCTAACAAGGAAGGCAAAATGTTGCGTAAAAAGTCTAGGTATTGCATCCCGTCCAATCGATTTGGGAGAATAAATGGTCCAATGAGCATACCGTTCACCATGCCAGTCCAAACATTCACCGAAAAGGTTTGTTGAAAATGTGCCCGACGGACAGCGTGCGGATTTTCTACTGACCAAACATAAGTGTTGCGAAAGTTATTCACCCCATTACGCGTGAACGTAGATTCGTCTGTCACCAATATGCACTTCAAAAAGTCCGGATTATTGTCATGTTGATGCAACAACCACTCACAAAACCGCACTCTTGCTGTAAAGTCGTCAGGTTGAAGGGCTTGTACACGTTGGACGTGAAACGGATACAGCCCCTCTTCACGCAGCGTTTGCCACACTTTAGTTTTTGATACTTGCACTTCTCTAGCCACGTCTCTAGTGCTTGTTGAGGGATTCTCGTCTACGCGATTACCTGTACACGCGTGACCGTAACCGTCGGTTGAATGTTGACCCCGACCCAGTTCTGTCGTCGGGTTGAGTCAGTGACCTTATACCAGTCGGTGATGTCGCGGCTACAGGACGGTATTCAAATATTTTTGATGTTGCAGAGCCCTTTATCTCGGTTCCCTTAAGACATTGGTGTATATGGTACTAAGAAAAATTGCTTATGTTTTCAAGATCTACACGTCGTGTAAAGGAAAACCCCAACTTTGCGGACACCCTGTATAGTCAAAAACAAAAATGTATGTGCACGCCCATACCATAATGAATATTACATCACCACTACAAAGATAATTGATGTACCAATCTGTCTGATACCTTTAAACGAGTAACTTGAACCAAATATTTCATCTCGGTATATCAAGTCAACGTTGAAACTAACAGAGGAACGACATAATGCAGCAGCAGCGATAAAAGTATGCTGTCCTAATAAACATATATATTTATTGGAATTCGATCTATGTAACAAAGAGAGCTAGAGAAACATATGTTACAAGGCTGGTTATGTATTGAATCTGAAACAGATAGTCAATCTAACACAACAAGCAAAACAAATGCTAAGCAAATTCGCAGCAGGCAACCATGAAATGCAGATCTGAACATGCCATGCTTATTCCAAGATATCCCTCCATGAAGCTGTCGCAGCATCTGGCATTGTGGTTTCGTTCATTTCACGATGTCATGAGTTTTCGTTTAATATTCGAGGTAAGTTCGATTTTACTCCCATTTAAGCATACTTTAAATTTGCTCACAGTAAACTATCTATCCCACTTCTGAATGCTGACGTCTCAATCCCACTTCTGATGCATTTTTATGCACTAATGTAAAAATATAGGATTAAATAAAAATTGTATATCTAGTGATTCTTTCTCAATAAAAGAAGGTCGTATTGAGGTTTTAAAAGAAGCATTTTGAAGCTGTCTAGGTTTTTTGTGTCTTTAGTCGAACAATTTTTGAAGCTACAGATTCCACGCAATGCTGAGGAATACTGTAAAGAAAATAATTGCATATTTTTGTTGCGTTCTTTAAATTTTCCATCAGTGTATACATTCAAGTCATGACATCGTACGTATCGAGCAAAAGGGTCGAGCATTGTACATTACCCTCTTGCCCCGCCGTCCTCGAGCTCCTTTTTCCCCTGGTGACCCAGGAGGTCCTACGGGGCCCAGCTCGCCTTTCTCACCTTCACACACATATACTCCAACATTAGATATTTAATATGATACGCGCATACGGTGCAAGCCACGTAGAGACGAGGTCGATATCGAATAATATGTGGGCGAGTTGGAGCATATTGCTCCTTGTGCAAAAAGGAAATAATATAGAACGAGTTTGAGACGGCATGGGGATTGTTTTATTGGATTTTTTTCGACACAGTTGGAATAAAGCGGCTGTTATTACCTTTGAACTATGCCAAAGAACCACGAAATTTTCTTATGGAAATCGGATCTCACCGTCCTGAACAAATATCTCATTAGGAACAACCTCCTAAACCTCAAGTGCTATGAGATAAAAATGGTTTAAGCTAGAATTATCGTAGATTATAACGTACATGGCACATCCACCATTATTTGAGGTCAGGTTTATCTTTCCGGTCGAAAAAGATACAGAAAGAGGTTAAGAAATAACTTTGCATCAATTTTCATTAATCAAAACGTTCAGAGTATGATACATGACAATAAGGATAACCCAAAAAAATGAAAGTTGTTTTTTCAAAGGCATTCCCTCTAACAATGTCAAAACAATTGTAAATAAAGTTCAAATGCTGTTTTTATTATTGAAGTAACCATTGAGGCACGTTGACATGACACTGACGAGTTTCCTATAAACAAGTCCTCCATTCAAAGGATTAATAATTATTGATAAAGCAAAGCATGACTAAAAAAGAACGTCTGCCGTATGACAATAAAGAGCAACTTATAGATGTGGATAACTCTTCAGGCAGCGAGCTGGTTCAGTTTCGGATATTATTATTGACTGGAATCTTGAAGATAAAGTTCAGAAAGCTTATTTTGGCTTGCGGCCATCTCGTCTACTAATTGGTGTTAAAAGGCGAGTTTAAATCAAAGATCGACCAAGGATCGACTGAGGACATAGTCCTTAGTGGCTGATGACACTGTCATCTCATGAATGTTCCTTTATCATTTATAATGATCCCGGAAATATTCCAACGTCAAATAGCAGGTTATTTTGGACGTTTAGTGTCATAACAATTCATGTAAAGTTACTTCTAAACTTTGTATCTCTCCATTAAAAAAATGGTGAATGTGATATCTACCTTATAATCTATTTCAACGTCAACCATTTTTATCTCACAACCCTTAGGGGTCCAGTGGGACATTTATTTACGGCGGCGGTGAGATATGCAACATATCAGAAATTCAATCAATTTAACGGTCCATAAGGAAATTGCGTGTTTGGTTATTTTAGAGTAATTCAAAATATAGTGAGAGAGCACTCGAAGCGTAATAGCGCTACATTCGCCATTTTTCAATCAGTTACTGATTGCCGTATCGGTAAGAATATGACAAAAAAGATCTTCCATTTCCATGATATGTTTAGCGAAAATTGGACGCTTCTCGCTTTTGCAAAATGGGTATCTTTGTGTGTATCGATTGTGTTTGAAAATGTCTCCTGAAGCTCTTCGTTATGTGGTATTTATATGGAAACAGTACGTTTGAACAAAAAAACATCCAGCAGGCCGTTTTCAAGTAGATCCAATCTGGCTTTACTATTTTTGTAAAAACCAGTGTGATGTTCTATTTACATGCAAACACTGAAGCGTGTTGATGATTCCCAATAAGCATGAAACTTCGTCGTACTCGGTTGGGTGGATATAAGAAAGCAGTTTTATCTCCTAAACAAATAGGAACAAAAAACGATCCGACGATTTTGATGATGATGACGATGATGATGATGATGATGACAAATGATGATTCAATTCAACCGACTTCATTGTAACAAGTACATACAGTATTGTAACAAGAATGATCAGTACTGTTGGCGCCATCTGTTGAGGATCGTACCAGTGACTCGCCTTCTAGATCGACGCGAAGTGACCTCGACGATTCTGGAATGCCGCTGTGTGGCTCACTGGAATCTTCTCGAATCAACAATACGCACTATATAACCCGACGGCCGGGAGAGGGAAGCAGAGTGGAGTATAGTTCAGTCAATGGCGCGGCATAAGAATGAGTCATACATAAATAGTACATAAATGTTCTATCTAGTCAAGTTAAATAAATTAGTGCATTTATTTCTGTAGAATCCGGTGTTTTAATCCACACCCAAAAGATACTCAGAAAAACGCTACAGTATTTTTAACATAAAAAACAACTAAACTTTCAACAAACAGATCAGACTCTTTTTGGAAAAGTTGCTAATAACGTTTTGATCGAATTAATAAATAAAAGTGTGAGACAGTTGTATTTGAACATATCGAATATTTTTAACCAATTCATGAAAGCTATCGAGTGAGAAACGTCATCGTACATTCTTAAATTGTTTATATAGCGGGAGCATGTTGTTGACAGGGATAATAAACAATTATGATGACGATGACGATAATGACGATGACGATAATGACGATGACGATAATGACGTTGACGATAATGACGATGACGATGATGATTACGGTAATGACAATAACGATGACGATGATGATAATGATGAATATGATGATGTCGTCGATGTCGATGTCGTCGATGTCGATGTCGTCGATGTCGATGTCGTTGATGTCGATGTCGTCGATGTCGATGTCGATGTCGTCGATGTCGATGTCGTCGATGTGGATGTCGTCGATGTCGATGTCGTCGATGTCGATGTCGTCGATGTCGATGTCGATGTCGTCGATGTCGATGTCGTCGATGTCGATGTCGTCGATGTCAATGTCATCGATGTTGATGTCGATTTCGTCGATGTCGATGTCGTCGATGTCTATTTCGTCGATATCGTCGATGTCGATGTCGTCGATGTCGATGTCGATGTCGTCGTAGTCATCGATGTCGATGTCGTCGATGTCGTCGATGTCGATGTCGTCAATGTCGATGTCGTCGAGGTCGATGTTGATGTCATCGATGTCGATGACGTCGATGTCGTCGTCGTCGATGTCGTCGTAGTTGTCGATATCGATGTCGTCGAGGTCGATGTTGATGTCATCGATGTCGTCGTTGTCGATGTTGTTGATGTCGTCGTAGTCATCGATGTCGATGTCGTCGATGTCTATGTCGTCGATATCGATGTCGTCGATTTCGATGTCGTCGATGTCAATGTCGTCGATGTTGATGTCGATTTCGTCGATGTCGATGTCTATTTCGTCGATATCGATGTCGTCGATGTCGATGTCGATGTCGTCGTAGTCATCGATGTCGATGTCGTCGATGTCGTCGATGTCGATGTCGTCAATGTCGATGTCGTCGAGGTCGATGTCGTCGAGGTCGATGTTGATGTCATCGATGTCGTCGTTGTCGATGACGTCGATGTCGTCGTCGTCGATGTCGTCGTAGTCGTCGATGTTGATGTCATCGATGTCGTCGTTGTCGATGTCGTTGATGTCGTCGTAGTCATCGATGTCGATGTCGTCGAGGTCGATGTTGATGTCATCGATGTCGATGTCGTCGATGTCGATGTCATCAATGTAGTCGATGTCGTCGAGGTCGATGTTGATGTCATCGATGTCGTCGTTGTCGAGGTCGTTGATGTCGTCGATGTCGTCGATATCGATGTCGATATCGTCGATGTCGATGTCGATGTCGATGACGATGACGATGACGATGACGATGACGATGACGATAACGATAACGATGATTACGAGGATAACGATGACGATGATCAAAAATACAATGGAAATATAGCCAATCCTTACCTGGAGGCCCCGGAGGTCCTGGCGGTCCCTCGATGATTCCCGTCGGGAATTGATCGCCCGTCAAGGTGGTCGTCAAGCCTCGTTCGCCCTTGTCACCCTTTTCGCCCTGCAAAACAGACACACCAAACGTGTCATTAGCATCCCAAACGCAAACCAGTATCCGATTTCAAACCCGCAGCAGACGCTGATTAATAGCTGTACAACCATTGGCGTAGAGTCGATTTCAAAGTTATTATATATTATCAAAATAATCTCACAAATATGGCTGACAATAATTTAGCAGCATTCCATACTATATAACTTTCGCCTCACGATAGAAATCATATATTTCTGCATTGGATTTTTTATACCGAAGCAGCCACGACAAGTCAAGATGGGAGGCCAAAGTCAGGCGGAGCAAAACCTTGTGCAGAGTGAAACGGTTATGAAGACACACTCCAGAAACTCCCGATTTAGGCACCTCTCCATCACCGTACTTATAACAGAATGCAGAGCTACAGGTCGGTAATTGTAAGGGTTTTCTTGGGGACGCGCTGGATATAAGCAAATTTCTAGTCTCCTTGGAAAGAACTGGATAAAGCTCCACTGCACATCTCCTTAATAAAACATTTAATTATGAATCTGTTAATTACAGAGGTGTGAGCAAATCGTTGTCAGCTGAAAATAACTCTACGCCAATGATTTAGCACCCTATAGTTAGATGTATACAATTACAGCTGGTTGTGGAATAGAGCACCCTGTGTCAGTAAAAGCAGCCCAAATCCGTTGTAACTACAAATCTGGAAAATGACTACACTACACCCCATGCAATGTGATATGGAATGAAACATCAAAATACGAACCAGTCATTTAGGTAATGCTATCGAACGATTTGAAACGGAATCGGCTGGTGTTTCATATCAGACAACATTACATAAAAACCAGTATATTGATTCATTGTTATAATCAAAGTATACTGTATAGCTGAAAAAAAAATTATAAAATATTTCCCTATAATATGTTAGAACCACATTTTTGTTAGAAATTGTACTGAAAATATCTCACACTTCTTCCTTTAAGTCCTGGAAAGCCTGGTAAGCCCATGTAACCTCTCTCACCCTAAAAAATATTTCCTTTTGAAATCGAAAACCTTGTTCAGGTATCCGGAAAGTATGGATACCTCAAAATATCTCGAAAAGTATGTTTCTCAAACAAAAAAGTCGTTAGAAGTTATAAGGTTTGGAAAGGACAATCTAACGGCGGCCTTCAACGTGAGCTTGAATATGATCTTCAACAGTTTTTGTAATGGAAATCCCTATTTTTGATTCTATAGTCAAGAACAGCAGTATGCAGTTATCAAATTCATTTGACCTTGAAGATAATAGTAAACGTGACGGTTGGTTCATGATAGTGACCTTTGACTATATTATATTACTAAAAATTAAGGATTTTTCGTTTCGTTGATGGTCATAAGGTCATTGACATAGTTGAACATAATTTTCTGTTCTTTACATTTAATGCGTTAAAAATAGAGTTTTTATTTGATCTTAAAACGAGCTTACAATCATAGTCGCCAGTATGTGACCTTTTTCAAACCTTACAAGTTTATTATACATTTTTATCTAAGAAACTTATTTTTCGAGATACTTTGAGGTATCTACATTTTTCGGAGACCTTGAGTTATTGGCAATATATGGATATCCTACACGTAAGTAAATATGAAAGGACATGATATGACGTCATCTTTAGAGGAGATCCAAAATCTGGAATACATCCTGTATACTGGGCATCGGTAAAGCAGTAAAATCCTGCAGAAAGTAGTTTAAATAATAAATAAAGTTACCTTAGGGCCGGTAAGTCCATCCATGCCTGGGGGTCCAGGCGGCCCTATAGGTCCAGGATCCCCCTTAGGTCCAATAGATCCAGGTTCACCTGCCATTCCTTGCCTGCCGTCGTGTCCCGACATTCCCTCTGGACCTGGGGGGCCAGGGGGTCCTGGGGGTCCTGGTTCGCCAGGTTCGCCCTGAACATACACGCGTCCGAATTTAGTATACTGTTTATTAGAAGACGCGACAAACTGAAGTTGGATCATTTGGTGGTTAAAGTTTGGATATACCGGGCGATTCAGTTATATAACTATTTTATTATTGAAGATAGAAAAACGAAATTTGGGGGTTACGTATTATAGATGAATTTACATTTTCTGCTTTGGCGTACTTCCGGTTCGACAGGAAACGGCTCCAACTTTCGATTTTTCCATAGGATAGGGATGTATTTTTACTTATTTCGATCGAGAGTGATATTCTGAGATCAACAAGTTATTCGTGACAAACAATTGAAGGTGTCTTTCCTAATACAAAATGTGCAACGAACCATGAAGAAATGCGAACAACTTTATCGTCAGTGAAAAAAAAATAGATGTTGTTAGAGTAAACCATACAAATGTATTAAATACATAGTATCCCATCATTATTATAACAAAAAATAAAATAGTATCTGTGGGATTCGACTTTGCTGATTCGTATATTTCCGAAATTGTTAAGATCGATGTTTGACGTGAAACATTTTTATAATCCGTAAATGCACGCGCGGAAAAACGGCCAGGTATAATTTAATAGTAAATTTCTCTTGCGATCAACCAGTTAGGCTAAGTATTTAACTGACCGCCCTCGTATAACTGTCAACTGGTCATACTGCTTCCATACGTTTGACCACAGGCAGCCAACCATGGATAGCTGTTTTGTGCTTTCCGACAACTCGTCAGCATGGTCTCAGGTGGGCCACAAATGAAAGCATAGCAACTAACCTCTAACCGAGGCATGTGATCTATCAACATAAAACTCCACAAAGCGCCATCTATTACCAGAGGTAAACGCAAACTAACATCTTTACATTCAGCTATTCACTCTTGCGGTGGTCGATTCTGGTAACAGATGGCGCGTTGTGTTATCTCAAAATAGCTACCAATTCACTACTCAATCCTAAAACATGCTTTAACAAGTATTGCCTTAAGCTATCGCAATTTGCATGACGCATAAAAGCACTAGCGCATTAATTTCCATCATCTAACTAAGCTGAAAGTACGAGAAAAAAACGACAAACTTTTGTCAAATGAATATAGAGTGGGACTCGTAACTATGAATCTAAACAACTTCCATAGCATGCAAACTCTACAGTGTATGAAGATTGATAGTTGCGGCAGAGGTAGAGGCAAACTAATATCAGTCGTACCTCTAGCCACAACTTATAATTAGAGAGACAGTTGAATGCGAAATGGAGCGTTCCAGCCAACCAGCTTTCAAATTACCTCGGCCGGTTCATATTTCACGGAGTTGTCTAAGCAGAAAAAAGAGTGCGGCAGCGGATAAGGCTCCGGTGCTCGGACAGATCCTGCATTATTTAGAGATCCGACAATTGCTTTGTTAATCTTAGAAGTAGGAAACTTGAAGTATACGGCTCGTCCACTTTTGCCTTTGCAACAAAGAGCAGAAAATAAGAAATGTCCGATGCGTGTCTGCTTTAATATAAAAAGCTTTGCATTATTTACTTCATATCAGACGTGATTTCCATGAGATAGGAAGCTGCCGTTCCCCTGATTATGGACATGGGCGTGACTACCATGCGATAAAAAGCTACCGTTCCCTCGTGCGAGGTATTTCTATATCAGGCGTGACTTCCATGCGGTAGGAAGCTACCGTTCCCTGATCATGGACACGGACGTGACTTCTATGCGGTAGGAAGCTGCCGTTCTTCCGTGCGAGGTATTTCTATATCAGGCGTGACTTCCATGCGGTAGGAAGGTACCGGTCGCCTGATCATGGACACGGACGTGGCTTCCATGAGGTAGGAAGCTACAGTTCCTCCGTGCGACGTATTTCTATATCAGGCGTGACTTCCATGCGGTAGGAAGGTACCGTTCCTCCGTGCGAGGTATTTTATATCAGGCGTGATTTCAAAGCGGGAGGAAGCTACCGTTCGCCTGATCATGGACACGGACGTGACATCCATGCGGTAGGAAGGTACCGTTCCTCCGTGCGAGTTATTTCTATATCAGGCGTGACTTCCATGCGGTAGGAAGGTACCGTTCGCCTGATCATGGACACGGACGTGACTTCCATGCGGTAGGAAGCTGCCGTTCTTCCGTGCGAGGTATTTATATATCAGGCGTGACTTCCATGCGGTAGAAAACTACTGTCCCCCGAGTATGGACATGAGCGTGAAAAATCCAAGCGGTAGGAAGCTACCGTTCCCCCGCGTAAGGTCGCGAGCGAAACTTCTATGCGGTAGGAAGCTACCGTTTCCCCATGCAATGCGTTATAATTTCTAATAATACATTTAGAAATATCATGGTCATTATTACATTGATTGATGATCAGTATCAAGACAGCTAATTGACATAATGAATATATAGTAGAGTTGTGCATGTTATGAGTCGGTAGAATCTGGAAGGTACTCAAAAGATTTTTCCCAACTAACGATCCAGATATATCGTCCCTATCTCTCGCCGAGGAAGGACAACTCCCCGGTCGTTACGTCACCAAGTAAGTGGCTTCGAAATTTTCCTGACATTGAAGTCCCTGTTAAAATAATTACGTTTTTATTACGCTCGTCATAAAAGTACGAAGATTGTTGTTTATCATCATTATCACCGTCTGATCCTGAAATCGTAAAACTAGAAAAAAAAAACAAATATATAAAAGTTGTTGGTTTTTACATAAAATAAAAGCAAAGTTTCGTATTCCTAACAAAGTAGGAGTAATCATTGAGGTCGGAGCCTTATCCACTGCTGTTACTTTCAAACATGAAGAGAGGGTGAATGAGAATTAGCGATGATAAAATTAAGTTTCGTGTATGATACCAAACAAAAAAGTAAAAAGCCGTTTGATGTGATTGCCGAAAAAACGATGAGTGAATTAAAATTTTCCAGATAGCTTGGTTTTTGTTTCATCTCCATCTTGAATTCAAGTTTTATTTGCTCATTCATTTAATCACAGTTTGAACTTTTGCGTGCCTTGTTCCACGTATTACGTTCGTTTCCTCATATTTTTTGAGTACTTTTTTTGTCTAATTATGATAAATTAGGAGAATTTTTTGGGATTTTTGAACTGTCACTAACATCTCGAAGAATATTTCGCTATTCATGTTTCCAGATTCATTAAAAAATCAAGCTATCTGAGTGAAATTATAATGAAAAAATAAAATGAATAATGATGGCCAATAAACTAAATAAAACTCACTTTCAGTGTGATGATTGTTTCACCGGAAATGTTATGGCCCCTTTCCTGTAGCCCCTAAAAATTACACTAATCATGAATACACACGAATCTACTATATAATAGAAATAAAATTCAAAACACCAACGTAGTGCTACAAAATACAACAATACTAATGTAACAATTAAAAAAATACATGTCTGGTCCACCACAGCCTGCATGCTAAAAAAATACTCTAATGAACACAAAAATAGACAGGTCGATGGAAGTGATTTTGCTGTTATCAGAAGTGGGATTGTTCTACTTTTAGCATATGACAAAGTTTCCGTCTTATCTTATCCCAAGATATTATTTTTCTGGGCTATAAATCATATAGCGATGACTAGCAAAATCCCAAGACAATAACGTCTAATGACTTCCAACTGACGTTTTACAAAACAGACGTACAATTCAAAAATGAAAACAAAGAGATCAAAGAGACGCAACAATAAACCATAGATCGGTGCGTGCGACGTCAGCCGTCACCTGTCAACTGTCAATCTCACCTTGACAGCGACGATCTCCGCGTAGCCCAAGGTGCCGCCTCGCAGCGTCGTCACTGATCTTTTCAGGCCCTGCAAGACGTTCTCTCATTGGTCAGTGCGCCTACGTTTGTTCGTTTGTTTGGAAATAACGGAGAATAACTCCGAAATGCATTGTGAGCAGTAATTCTTTTTCAGTTGCATCTCCCACATTTTATGGTGTAATAATGATAATAAATTGCCTTTATTTGATTAATATATATAATATTCTGAGTTTCGTTTTCACAGGACAATTGATTTTTTGTTCTTTTTAAAACACATCTAACAAGGTAATTATCGCGAATTTTCTGAAAACGAAAAAAAAAAAAATGCGCACGCCACTCGCTGCCTAAGAAAATGGCACCCTATTAATTATATTTTACATTTCAAGCGCAAGCCTGGGGGGGAATATGCCCCCCCTAATGGGCGCCCGCAATACGTTACTCAATGATAAATAATAAAAAATCAGTGAGCATCGATAAACGTGAGTGTATTTTTATCTATCGGAGTTATTTTCCATTAATTTATTAAAAATCCGAAAAAAAAATCCTTCGTACAGAGTAAATATTTGTCTATGTGAAAATTAAAACTACTACAAGAATTTAATACTGGAATGGATTAATTATATAAAAATATTTACTTTATCTGATTTGATTTCATTGACTAACAATATATTTTACGGTAAAGACTTCCCCGAATGTTAGATTTTTTTATTGTGAAGTCTGCAAATTCCAGTAGAAAATATCTATGAGGGAAGGAATTCAGAAATACCTAGCACCTTCAGCATATACCATATTAGTTGAACCATTCACCATTTTTTACGTTGGTCTAGATTTTCCAAATCTGTATTTAAAACCGTACCAAAATTTAAAAATGTGAAAGGTGTTGCCTTGGATGCGGATAGTGTACTAGTGATGGTGCGTGATCCTTGATATAGCCAACACACAACACAACATCCATGACTCAGAATTGACTTCTGAGGCGGCGATTCGAACCCGCGAGCCTCGGGTCGACTTGGATGTTGATAGAAAGTATTGTTTTCCTTAATGCTTTCTAATGTGTCCACTGTATAAGGTGTTTTCAAAGTTGAGTCATTCATATTAACTCGTCAAAAAAATCACCTATATAAAAGTTGCATAATAAGACAGATTACATTATTGAAAATTTTTTATAAACAAACATTTTTGTATAGAATTCCTTTGCCTCATATCACAGTCTTCATTCTATACTGCATCAAAATTGAAGAGCAAGAGGTTTAGTTACTTTTCAAATTATGAGTTATCCTTAATAAAAGTGTATAATCGATTCAACACCTATTGAGTTTTCGGCTGCGATATTTCTATTATACGTAAGCTTTGCCTTACTTTTTAAAATTGACATTGATTCGCTCTTCAATCTTGATCGCTGTGTTACACAACAGACTAACAGCAAAGAAAAATGTAGAAAAATTTAGATAGAGAGACAAAAGGACACTTGCCATGCTTCTCGTGATACGTACCCTCGCCGGCAGCTTAGAAAAATATAACAAAAAGTGAAACGAAGCTGTTCAATCTTAGACTATTGTTCTAAGCCTAGTTTACTAAATGGCTATGGTTCCTTTCCAATATGTTATCGGTTAACCTTACTATCATTTTGTTACAATCATGCTGGATTTCATTGAATCATAGAAATGGCCTAACAAAAAAAAAACTACATATTGGAAAAGAACGTAACAACCATATGTGTTATATTATAATTGTGGCTATAAGGCACCTAACTCCTATAATGTGAAGTTATTAACAAATATTTGGTGGAAATAGTCGACTCTCAGACGTGCTAAACTTCATACTGCATTTACTTTTAAATTCATTGCTATTTCTATTTATAACCGATAAAATGCTGCAGATTTTTGATTGAGGGATAAGATTGATATAAAATTTCATCTCTGTTTGTAGCTGACCGACGTTAAATGTTCCCGTATTTTGTTGTAAGCGTAATTTCGACTGTTCTCGCCAAACATTCAAGGCGTGTTCTTCTTTTCAAGCGGAAATTCAAGATTTTTCGCGACTTTTCTGTAACAGAATATCTGTGATCTACGAGGTCTGTAAATTAAGCGACGTAGCGTATGGTCTGGCAACACTGGAGGCGTCGAAGAAGACAGATCCGCCTTCAGTGCAAGTTTGAACTCCTTCGAGTCATTTGGTTGTCCGTAGGCATTTTTTTTTTGTAAAACGGCTTTCACTAGTGTGACTGAGTGACATAAATTTCGAGCAATACGTTATTTCCAGGGTGACAATTAAATTGTAATTATATTTGAATTGAAAAAATAAAAAAAAATCAGTCTCGTCATCTAACCTTGTTTGGGAAAGACTTCGTAAAGACTTCGTAGTTCTCTACCCACATGTTTGTCAGAACATCTAGGAGTATAATGAAATGCATTAATGTTCTGCATCTTGTCACTGCGCAGTCTCAGTAACTAATGCTTGGAATTTGTTCGATGAAATACTTAGTTTTCCACGATAGTAAAATGAGGTAGGTAAAAGAAGAGCACGCCTATATATCGACAAAATATTCGCAAATCGCTGTTGAGCAATTGAAAATATACTCACTTTGACAGCTTGGAGTACGTCAATGCCCGCGCTTCCGGCGGCTCCCTTTTGCCCTTTATCGCCGGTTCGACCCTGAAACGTGACTTTATGATATTTGGGTTGAGCGACACACAGAACTGACGACTTACTGGTTCTCCTTTTGGACCGTCCAAGCCAATCGGACCCTGCGGAAAGTAATCACGAATCTTTTTAGAGGTTGAAAATACGATACATAAGAAAAACAACAAGAGGTATCAATAGTATGTATTAGTTTGTTGCTAATAGAAAGACTCAATGTCCTGTTATGAAATAACAGAAAAATTTTGGTCCACATATACAGTCGACCCTTGAGGGTTGAGTACTGATTGAGGGTTGAGGGAGACTTAAGTGACCCCCATGTGAGAGAAAAATTCAAATTTTAAAAATTTCATCAACATTTTTCATCAAGAGTTCTGGTTCCAATATTCTCACAATTTCCAGAATTCACCACAAAAGTGCTTAGATTTTTCTAAAAAGATCTTACAAAATTTTCAATTTGTCAGAAATTTTAAGATATTGGAACTATTAAAAATGTTGGTTTTGAAAATTTTGTAAATTTGAATTCTCTCCCAAAGTCAAAATTTTGTGTATCTTAAAAATTAAAAAAATGTAATATAAATCTGAGACCATTTGAGGTTGTTTAAAAACTGAACATTATTAAAATCTCGAGGATTCTGAAAATTTTGGAAACTTTGAAAATATATTGAATTCCAAAACTATTGAAATTTTGAAAATACTGAATATATTGAAAATTTTTTAAATCTTGAAAATCATAAAATCTTGGCAATTTTGAAGACTGAAAACTTTGTAAAATTTTCAAAATCCACATTTTCAATAGTTACACCATTTTTTAATTTTTAAAAGTTCAGGAAAATTCCAGTATTATCACAATTCTTAAAATTTTCCGAATTCTCATGATTTTAAAAATTTCTAGGATTCTCTGAGTTTTCAAGATTCTGGTTGTCAAAATTTTCAGTTTTTAAACAACCTCAAAAGTTCTTAGATTTTTCTAATTTTCATTTTTTTTTTAATTTTCAAGATGCACAAGACTTAATTTGTGAGAAAAATCTTCGAAAAGTTTCAATTTGTCAAAAATTTAAAAATACTGGAACCATTAAGAATGTTGGTTTTGAAAATTTTAAGGATTTAGAAAATTTTTAAGATTTGAATTCGCTCCCACATTCTAAATTTTTTGTATCTTGAAAATTAAAAAAATGTAAATAAGAAAAATCTGAGAACTTTTGTGGTTGTTTAAAAACTGAAAATTTTGACAGCTGAGAATCCTGAAAAATTTGAAAATATTGGAAATTCCAGAACTATTTAAATTTTGAAAATACTGAACTATTAAAAAGGTTAAATGATTGTGGAAATTACAAAAATTTTGAAAATTTCGGATAAAAGTATTAAAAATTTTCAAAATATTGAAAAATCTTGAAAATCTTGAAAATCATAAAATCCTGAAAATTTTTAAAACTGCAAGTTTTGAAAACTGAAAATGTTTGAAAATTTTCAGTTTTGAAAACTGAAAGTTTTGAAAACAGAAAATTTTGTAAAATTTTCTAAAATCTACATTTTTAATAGTTCCACCATTTTTTTATTTTTAAAAGTTCAGGAAAATTCCAGCATTTTCCCAATTTTCAAATTTTCTGAATTCTCAAGATTTTAAAAATTTATAGGATTCTCTGAGTTTTCAAGATTCTTGGCTGTCAAAATTTTCAGTTTTTAAACAACCTCAAAAGTTCTTAGATTTTCCTAATTTTCATTTTTTTTTTATTTTCAAGATGCACAAGACTTCGAATTTGTGAAAAAAATCTTCCAAAATTTTCAATTTGTCAAAAATTTGGAAATACTGAAATTATTAAAAATGTTGGTTTTGAAAATTTTAAGGATATAGAAAATTTAGAAGATTTGAATTCACACCCACATTCAAAAGTTTTTGTATCTTGAAAATTAAAAAAATGTAAATAAGAAAAATCTGAGAACTTTTGAGGTTGTTTAAAAACTGAAAATTTTGACAGCTGAGAATCCTGAAAATTTAGACAATCTTGAAAATTTTGAAAATCACGAGTAGGTATTCTGAAAATTTCGAAAACATTGGAAATTCCAGAACTATAGAAATTTTGAAAATACTGAACTATTAAAAACGTTGAATGATTTTGGAAATTTCAAAAATTTTGAAAATTTCTAAAATTCTGAAAATTTCGAAAATATTAAAAATTTGAAAATATTGAAAATCTTGATAATCATAAAATCTTTAAAATTTTGAAAACTGAAAGTTTCGAAAACTGAAAATCTTCAAAATTTTTAAAATTTTGAAAACTGAAAATTTTGTAAAATTTTCAAAATCCACATTTTTGGTAGATCCACTATTTTTTAATTTTTTTTGCAGAATCTTCACAATTATTAAAATTATCGGAAATTTCAAGATTTTCTAAATTATCAGGATTCGCAAAATTTTCAGGATTCTCAGCTGTAAAAAATTCCTGCAAAGAATTTTCAAAATTTTCAAATTATTTGCAGTTTTCACAATTTTACACATTTCGTGATTTTTAGAGTTTCAAAGATTTTGAATATTTCTAATTTTTGGTGAATATGAAAATTTTGAGCAGTAAAGGTTTTGATAATTTCGGAAATTAAATAGTATGAAGAATCGAATACTCTGCAAATTTCAAAAAAATTAGAAATCTGTAATGACTTTATGAAATGCAAATGCTAAATTGCAACTTAAATGTCACTCAAGGGCCATACGGCCCTCAGTCATGGTTCCGATCCTGGTAAACTCTCTAGTCTTCTATTATTTCTCTTCTATTTGCTCCTGTTATTTTTCGATAACGTAAAAAAGGTAAATTGTGGCCCTGTATCTAGATACGTAAGAGGAAAAGAGAAGTGTGTGATGATGTATGGTTAAATGAAAATAAGTAAAACCCTGGCTACTAATATTAATTGGTTAGATAAACATTTCAAATATGTTAGACTGTTAGAAACCGTTTGCAAATTCTACCGAAAATTAATTTTTGTTAAGCGATTCCGGGTGCCCTTTCCACATCTAAAGGATTATGAAACGAGTAACAAAATCCTTATGCAGTTATTTTCTAAACTGCCTTCCTTATATGATTTATAATTTTTGTAATCAATAACGCATTCAAAAGGAACAAGATCTTTCTTATTGATTGAACACGCTGTATGAGAGACCAAATATGATCTAATCACTAGCGACAAATCACTTTTCGTATTCCGTTTCAAACTCCATTGGTTTTGTTAATTTATAGACTAGTCGACAGATACTCCTCTATTTTTATACTTTAGATGACTTTACAATACTGTATCCGTAGCCGCAGTGTATGCGACTCTAGCGAATTACTCAGCAACTATAAATGAAGTTCAGTCCTGAAGTGTGGTACAATGGGTGTTTTTTATTTGTCATATTCTCAAAAATAGAGTTGAATCTGCCGACTCGCCTACGGGAAGGCGGAAGGAATTCCGGAAATTCCTCCCGGCAGTTCCCCGACTGTGGATCACAGTTATAGCAGCGTCACGGCAGGCCACCACCACACCCAGCAGACAGAATGGAACAAATGAAAATCAACAAACCGGAAATCCCGGATATCCTCGCACCCCTGTCGGACCCTGCAACAGATTTTTACTTTGCACTTCATACACTAATACAGTCATCATTCAATGTTAGATTGCAATTGTAAACATTACAACTGTTCGGAGTCTCCGGTAGGGATTCGAAACCTACTGTCATTTCTCTTTTTCGCTATTCAAAAACATGGTCGTAATATCTCACTCGAAAAATTACAAATTAATTAGTGTCAACGTCATATTTCGCCAAATATCTTAAAAATAGGACAGATTTAATTTTTTGTTGTGTATTTTCAGTTTTTCTCTCAAATATTCTCATGTTTTCTAGAACACTTTTTTATCCTATATTTAACTAATCAAAACTTTTTTGTGCTACCCTGTATACAACAACTGATCGAACAATATTATTTTCTCGAATCTCCGCGTCAAAAAAGGTTTAGCAGTTTCTAAAACTAATAGTTTTCGAGATATTTGCTTTTAAAGCATTACGTCTTGCCAGCAGTACATTAAATGCATATCAGAATATTCATCAAACGTATACTCCATGATTAAGATTATTCATGAAGTTTAAAGCAATGTTTTATCATCATGGAACAAATAATGCATTGGAACTTTTAAAAACAAATATCTCTGTAGTATCTCCAGTTTCGAGATTTCCCAACCTTTCGCAGACACCCGGTATAAAATGTCCAGTATATTGTATATTCTTACCCTGTATCCCATTTCGCCTTTCTGACCCTTGTCACCCTGTAACCATTAATTTCTGTTGAAACCTCCCTTAACAGGACGCAAAAAAGGACAAGATAGAGTGCCATCTAGAGCTCCGTGTAAACAATAGCGACGGTCACTCGACGGCTTTTGTTTTTCTCGTGATGCGGACATTTTGTTCCACTTGCAAGTTGAACTCATTTAATGGCAGTTGAATGCGAAATGAGGAAAAAATACGGTGGACGTTGTTCCGCTGAAGGGTCCCCAGTTCCAACCGTATAAAAGCGTTGGACGAAAAATAAATATGAAAAATGAGAATCCTCTATTTTAGTTTGAAGTGCAGATATTATAAGTATACTCGATGCCTAATATCAAAAGGAACCTTGAGGAACACATTGAAAAACCTATATGAAGATACCTTGGGGCACACCTTAAATAAAGTGACCTTGAGTTAAATTACTTCATTTATTTTTTACTTTATCACACTCTGAAATTCTTCAGGCTATGGCCACAACGTTCACCATATTTTTCCAAGAAAACATTTCTAGTTTGTAAGTGTTAATATCCTAGATACAAGTGTGTCTTAGAGCGATTTTCATTTCTCAGTATGGCAACACCAATTAATATTAGTTTTCGAATATGGTATTTTATGAAAGAAAATGATATTGTAGCATGAATAGTTACTGTACGCTTCTTTAGGGTCTAATCGAATCGCTTCATTGAATTTTTGACATTACCACCAATTTTGGCACTACGTGTAAGGCATATTAATGTCATTCTTCAAGTAATATTGGTATATGACCAATTATCGACGTATGTGGGACGTCTGACCAATTATCGACATAAGTGGGACATCGTTGCTATAACGTTTCAGAAACGTCGACATTAAGGTCATAAAAACATCATATTAGACCTTTGCAACGACTCATTAGCTCTTAGCTCATTCGAGTGATGTAATACAGCAAAAACATCGCTAAATGGCCTTCATATGACATAGTATGACGTATATTTGGACTGCAGAATTTATTAGTTGTTTCATGACAAACGTTGGAGAGTTTTTTAGCGGATCCTTAAAACAGTAAAGTAACTGAATCATGCTACGTTTGGCTTCGTACAGTAAAATGAAGAATTAGGAATAGTAGAAAGTGAAGACAAAATAAAACAAAAAAATATCTACCGGAAAGCCATTCTTGCCGGGAGTTCCTGGGGACCCCTGAGACAAAAACAAAACATAAATCAGTGTGTATCTGGTGTGTACATGCGGTTGTTTTGTGTGCAAATCGTTTAGTAAACACTATTTTCTAGTCATTTGTTGTAACTTATGGCCCAGTCAAATTGGATAACAATAGTATTAGAAATGTGGGTGAATGATATGAAATCTCAAGCCTTCTTTTTACTTTAGATCAAGATAAGCCAAAATCAAAATGCCCAGGACGTTTTCACTTGACGCGTTATTTTCAGTGAACATGGAAGAACAGCTTGATATCTCAATTTTTCGGTTTTTCATTCGTTTTTGGTAACATTAGTTGCAAAACGAATTAGGTCCCTATCTTGTATATTCCTATTTTCAATTTTCTCGGTGCAAGAATTATAAAAAAAAATCCTATCAGACTCGACTCTGCTGCTTACTGTATCTTATTCCTCATAATTGTACAATTGAATTCTGCATTGATTGGTACAGTTTCTATTTCTTTTTAGGCTTCTTGTGAGTTCCCAAGAAGAATTCTACCTTTTGCCGGAATCCAGACAAAGTCCCAATACTATGATTCTTATAATATCCAACGTCTCCAATTTGACTGGGCTGTTCTTCGAATGTGCACTTTTTAACGCTCTCGCTGCGCGGATGGTAAATTTGATAATTATCCTGAGGATTCTCTACTCTATTCTATTCAACAAAATCCAACTTTAGGCCAAGTCTGGTCGTAAAATTTTATCTTTGACCCATGTTACAACATATTATTGAATTTTTCAATTAGAAATAAAGGAAGTTTAACAAATTCCTTTTGTCTAGAAATCAAGAGTTGTCGAGAGAGTAGAAGTGCACATTGAATACTTCAAAAAGACCTTATCAAAGGCTTATAATTAGGTGATTCCAGAATTCGGTATAAAGATCTGGATCTCATAAATTGTTGACAAACCCAGACGAAGATTTATGAGATTTTCACTACCAGCTATCTCTCGTGTTTACGGTCTATGTGCCTCAGAACTTTATATTCATGCTCTTGGATTTGTTTTAGGGCGATTTGCATGCTGTTTACAGCTGGTATGGTTAATTATGATGTAAAGACCTGCAAATCAACTTTCTTGTATCTTCGATGGTCACATTGATAGCCAACCATATACTGTGTTCAATCGACCAAAAAGGAAACTGAAAGATACAGATGCCATCTGTGTCACATCAGAGTAAAAACTTGAATTTACAAATTCACTTTGAAATGAGTTACAGTGTTTGGTTCTGCTACTGTCCCATAGATGGCGCTATTAATGTAGGCATTAAAGAGGTCAAAGCGAATTGAAGATACTAGCGCGCTCTGTGAGGTAGTAGCAGAACCAAACACAAACAAGAATTTACAAATTCACTTTGAGATTAATAAGATTGCTTGGTTCTGATACTGTCACATAGATGGCGCTATCGCTATAGGAATTAAAGAAGCAAAAGGGGATTGAAGATGCTAACGCGCTGTGGGAGAGAGTACCAGAACGAAACTTCAAACATGAATTTACAAATGCACTTTGAAACGGGTTAGAGTGTTTGGTTCTGCTAATGTCCCAAAGATGGCGGTATTAATATATGCATTAAAGAGACAAAAGGGGACTAAAGACACTAGCGCGCTCTGTGAGTGAGTAGCAGGACGAAACACATACCTGAATCTACAAATTCACTTTTTAAATGAGTTAGACTGTTCGGTTCTGCTACTGTTCCATAGATGCCGCTATTAATGCAGGCATTGAAGAGACAAGACCAAACCAAACATTCTGACTCTTTTAAGAGTAGATTTATGAATTCATGTTTGTGTTCTGGCACTGCTCATTTTTGGACGCCGAAGTACAGTATATGATTCAGGTATAGTACGTTAATCAATCAATTGATATCTTCGTTTGAGAAATAAAGGAGTGTGTGCGTGTATCCAAATCTTTTATACCGTTTCCTGAGTTCCTGTCTTTAAACTTACTGGGGGTCCGGATTCTCCTGGTTCTCCTTTCTTTCCTTTCCTTCCCCTCTTTCCAGCTGGCCCTGGGGGTCCTGGCGGACCGGGAGGACCTGCAATTCAAATGAAGTAGTAAAATTATATACTTTCTGACACTCAATCCGATTTTAGAAAAAATCCTAGTGGAACATCTGGCCTACTCAATCTGCAAGACTATGTTTTAAGTGCCTTAGAATTCATCCCTTTAATTTTTTGACAGTTACCTTCATAAAAGTATTCAGTGTGTTTTTGTCTAGCAAGAAATGTATCCAGTGACAATAATTCCCTTAGGCCCTAGGGTCATAGTTTTCTACTTCTCCATGTCAGAACTCTATTTTGAGGTTATGTCACAAACATCTATTTGCATCAAATTGTGCTTGCTTTTGAGTTATATCATGTTTTATCAGCCTAAATTTTCATACAATTTAAAAAGAAAACATATCTTCACAATAGGAGAGCGCTGACGCTGACACGGGACAAGTGTAATCTAGAAATTTTTCTAGAGAAAGGAGTATGACAATCAAGGAGGCCATGAACGCGCCCTACAATTGTAGGGACGACTGACGATACGGGCCTTAGGCGCGCCTCAGGGCTCTGTATTGGAGCCGCTGCTATTCCGCACACAGTATTGATCATTCTCTTGTCGTCTTTTGCAGGGGATACGCAGTTGCTCTATTATTTTAATACAGACAATGTCAATATTACTATCCAAATGTTACAAAACGATCTTATTAAATCTGTTAAGTACTCTTCAGTTCATAATCTACTTATTAATAAACAATTTTTTACGATTTTGCGGCCAAAGGAAAAAAGACAATGTAACACAGCTCTTGATAAATAACCAAATCTTGTAATTTTTTGATCCTGCAAAAATTCTCGGGGTTGTTTCTGATACAAAATTAAGGTTTATTATACGCATGTCGATTTGCTCACCCGCGCTCTATACGTTCTATGGAAAACATCATCTTATTCTCATACATCTTATTTCATAATCTATTCGCTTTCTTGAGGCGCTAGACAAACTGTGCGCGTAGCACCTTGTTACACGTCAGCTCCGGTGAAACAGGAACCTTTTCTAAAAAGAACATCACCTCAAAGCGATTATATAATTACGTCTTGCATCGGACAACTTTGTAATTGTATTCAAAGTAACCGCTGCACGGCTAAGAGGCGCGTTAAAATTAGCATACAGTTGTGGTTACAACGTTACAAGACCACACAGGCTGACGTTCAACAAAAAAAAAGGCGCAATAAAACGGCATAAACTGCCACGCCGCAAAGCATTATGACATAGATATCGGATACCCTTCAAGCTGTATAACTGTAGGAATTGCCAGTCTGGTCAACGACAGGGTTGTATCGTAAAAAATCAAAACTAGATTGATGCCGAATATCAAAAGGATCTCTTCTCTAACCTTGAGGAAAACATCGAAAAACCTATGTGAAGATACCTTGGGGAACAACTTAAATAGAGTGACCTTGCGTTAAATTACTTCATTTATTTATTACTTTTTCACACACTGAAATCCTTCAGGCTATGGCCAAAACCTTCCCATATTTTTCCAAGAAAACATTTCTAGTTTGTAGGTGTTAGTATCCTCGATACAAGTGTGTCTTAGAGCGATTTCCATTTCTCAATATGGCAACACCAATTGCAGCATGAGCAGATACTGTACGCTTCTTTAGGGTCTAATCGATTCCCTCCATTGAATTTTTGACACCTCATTGTCCTATATCAATTCTGGCACTACGTGTAAGCCATATTAATGTCATTCTTCAAGTAATATTAGTATATGACCAATTATCGACGTATGTGGGACGACTGACCAATTATCGACGTATGTGGGACATTGTTGCTATAACGTTTCAGAAACGTCGACATTAAGGTCATAGAAACGTCATATTAGACCTTTGCAACGACTCATTAGCTCTTAGCTCATTCGAGTAATGTAATACAGCAAAAACATCGCTAAATGGCATATGACATAGTATGACGTATATTTGGACTGCAGAATTTATTAGTTGTTTCATGACAAACGTTGGAGAGTTTTTTAGCGGGAATCGTAAAATAGAATTTTTGGAATTGTAAATATATCTCTCTGATTTATTTAGAAGAATTGTTGATGAACTTTGTGAATCACAGAAATGGCAGAGACTTAGAAAAAATCAACTATCTGTTTGCAGCAGTATTCTAAATATTTTTCATGCTTAAACCAAGTCAATTTTTTTGGAAATATCAGTTGAACCTTCCAGTGCTTAAACCATCTTTGTAACAATAAATTGTGGATATTGAAGTGTATAATTGGTTGCCCACACTGTCAGCCAAAATACGATTTATGAATCTGTTTTAATTCGCATTGAGCTATTACTCTATTCTATTCAACAAAATCCAACTTTAGGCCAAGTCTGGTCGCAAAATTTTATCTTTGACCCATGTTGCAACACATTATTGAATATCGGATACCCTTCAAGCTGTATAACTGTAGGAATTGCCGGTCTGGTCAACGGCAGGGTTGTATCGTAAAAAAATGGGGTCAACTAGATTGATTCTACAGGGTGGCACTACGAAAAGGCTTCGTGACTATCCTGGTATATTTAGGGAAAAGTGGACGTCTTCAAACTCGAGGGAGTTTGTTATGCCTAACACTAGTAAATGAAAGGCAATAACTAAAAATATCTATACTGCTCAGCTCTCAGAATCTGTTTACTTCACAAAAACTAAGAGAAAACATTATAACAAAGGTAAACAAAAACCAACACAAAACGTTGACATTGTTCCCACATCATGATTTAACACAGTCCTTACGTTGCGAAGAAGACAAGTTGAAAATTTTTTCTTCTACTTCTAATGTTTTACAGTTAATTCATATTCTTGTGCTAATGTTTTACTATGGTTAAGAGGTAGAGTAGCCGTGACTAAACTTCGCAATACTATAATCATTTTCTGAATAAAGACATTATTATTACTTAACTAATACATCGGACTTTTATCATTCAATTCCACCGTTGTTACCGTAATCAGAAGCTTCTTGTTGATCGAACGTCTTTGACTAACACTAAAGACGTTACGTAAATGAACTGTGCTGCGTTTTACCTAAGCACGTCACTATTATCCTGTGCACCGAGAATCGCTGAATTCTGATATCTCGAATTTGCCTTTGAGCAGATTGTTTCCAAACGCGGCGCATTATCCTCAAGCGCCGATGTCAAAACAGCTTAATTTCGCATAAGCCATACAACTGTATTAATAACATCAACCAGGCTGGTGACGAGACCGAGTTACATGCGAATCGAACATCGCAATTGGAGCGGCAACGAGTATGCAAGCAACGAAATACCGCAGTCTAAGCGATAATTGGTCTAAATTGATACTCGTTTGAGGAAAATTGAACCTTTCCCAAGAAATACATTGGTGGGAGAGACTTGAAAATACATGTTCCTGAATCCTCTTATGGGTAGACTAAACTGCAGCTTCGATTTCTGCTCTCGCTATGTTACGTATTGCATTACGAATCCGGCTTTTCATATCTTCTCTGGTTGCAGGTTGAGTCTGGAACACGATGTCCTTTAACCGTCCCCACAAATGAACCGTTTTTGAAATACTTCATTGATATGCTCTCGCACAATTTGACCACCCTGTACATGGATCAGTCGAATGTTGACACGTGTGATATTCCAAAAACGAAACAAAAAAGTTAAAAGAAACATTAAAGTTTATATCAAAGAGATGCTTTGACAGGAAGATAGTCGTCACAAGAATAGAGTGTGAAGCGGTTGACAGTGAGAAAATTTTGCTGACATTGAGGAAAAAGTACCATGCGTTGTTGTTTGTCTATGCGGACACTTGGCAAAAATTAAAAAAAAAACAGACAGAAAAGTACTATCTATTTTAAAGTTGATACCTGGTCATGGAATCAGAACAGTGATTTCACTTTCTTTACCATCGCAGACTATTAAACTAGGAGTTTGTAGGGTATCATTCGTCACTACTTTTTTAAGCGCAAAATCGGTAGCTATATGCGAGCCATATTCTGTATACTTACAGTATATTCAGATAAGAGATAGACCGGACATAAACAAGACCACGTGATCATCGAACGCTGTTACATTCGGCAGGGACGTATTAAGAGTCACGCAGTACATATTTTAGATAGTAGATGCTGCTTTGCGTAACTTTGTAGTAAATTAGCACAATTCGATGTGTATACGATTGGTGATGGATATAGGATCATGTGGGGGTGGGGTAAGAAATATATAATGATGTAAATATACATAAGGGTTTCAAAATTTTCGCTTCGATTTTCCAGCTTCGGATGCCGCCTGATGTTTGGTGAAATACAGTCGAATATAATCTCAAAATGGCGTTTAAATTAGCCTAAATTAAAAATAATCGTATATCTCTTAAAATTGCTTTTAGAATATTGATTAGTATATTTTTTGATTTCTAGGTAAATATGTAACCAAATTAAAACGTTCAAAACGTAAAAAAATGTGCATGGTTGAACATTGTCAGAAAGTAGATTCTTGAATAGGTTTTGCCAAAATGGGTTCAAAAATGTCAATAATTAATTAAAAAATACAGTAGCTTTATAATTACTTATAACTTACCGAATTTGATGAACGACATCTTTTATTGGAAAGATGAGCTTGATGAGCTTTCATCATCGCTACTGCCTGAAGCACCAACGTCAATAATGAATGGCTCGACTTGTTCCTCTAAAATATTGTCCAGTTCCCACATTCTCTTTTCAACTTTGTCTTTCACGTGCTTAATACAGTTTTCCCATTTTTGCGCTGTTATTAATTCTAGTGCTTCTTTGAAAAGTCCTTTGAGGTCACAAAATTTAAAAGTTGTATTGTGCTTAGCTATATAATTTTTAACCTCTGTCCATATGAGCTCAATGGGATTGAGCTCGCAATGGTATGGAGGTAAACGGAGCACAGTTTTATTTTGACTTGCTGCCATTTCGTCAATGGCGTATTTTTGATATTCCGCCTTGTGATCCTTGACAATTCTTAATAATTGTACTTTCAGCATTGCTTCTTCAAAGTTGATATTTTTAGAGCGGAGCCAATTTTGAACATCAACTTTCCTTGAGGCCGTTGTTGGGACCTTCTCCATTCTTCGAGAATGATAAGGCGCATTATCCAACACAATTACTGCGTTTTCCTCTAAGTTCGGTAAAATTTTTGAAAACCACTGTTCAAACGATTCGCCATTCATTTCCTCGTGGTAATCTCTAGTTTTCTTAGACTCAAAGCACTACAGACCGTCAACAACAAATCCATCCTCACTGCCAATATGGCAGATAATGAGCCTTTTCCCTTTACCTGGAAATCGAAGTACTAACTGGTGTAGATTTATTTCAAACTTTTTCAAATGTTTTCATCACATTCAGCGAAAAAACATTGAGACATGAGTATCAGATTGCTATAATTGGGATTATTTAGTCATATTGAAAGAAAGAATATTGAACGTCGTATGATTACTCAGCGCTTCACAATTTAATTTAAAGTTATAAACCTTTAAAAAATGAATGATCAGGAACCCGAAATACGCGCAAATATTAATATTAACAAATTATAACTTTATAAAGCTTAAAGTATGAATTAAAATGATTAGAAATATTAGGAACGGTACACAATATAAAACTTAGTAACTTTTTTTAAGTTTATAATATTCGACATATTTTAAGATTATATTAAAAAATTATTGAAATATCGAAAAGACATAAAAACATGGCTTAAAAAAGTTCTAGCAAATGAAAATGACAATAAAACATCCACGCATTTTATCGAAAGTTATAAAAGTTTTGTTACTTGTAATATGTTTTATCTGCCCCCTGGAATTAATGTTTAGAACCTTGTTCCCAAGGTTTGAAAAACATCCGATTGTTGTCTATTACTCGTATTTACCTGCTGGATTTTTTAATCCGATGGACAGTCCATCTAGAAAGGCCCTCCTGGATGAAGTTACAGA